TCTCAAACTTTGTTGGAACGTATAAATGGGCAATAGTTAAGTTTGTGTTTCCCCTTTTTTTCTTTCGGTTGTAGTGTACCGAGGTAAAAGTTCTGAACGTGACATGTAATTCGATTCGTCTCGACGAGCTGAGTCGAACGGTACCACTCAATTTCAGGAAATGATTCTGGACCGAGTTATTATTTGCATATTCGAATTTTTCACCCCAAAATCGACCTTTCTCCCCCTATGGTTTTTCAATTTTTCGGGGCCTATAACTCGGTCCAGAATCATTTCCTGAAATTGTGAGTGGTACCTTCTACTCAGTTCGTCGAGACGAATCGAATGACATTCCACGTTCCGAACTTTACTTCGGTACACCATACTACAGCCGAAGAAAAAAGGGGAAACTCAAACCTAACTATTACCCATAAATGTTCATGGAACGCATGTCCAAAAGTAGAGCCGTGTGTCCGGCTTTGACCTGCCTGGACCGTGTTTTGAATTCCTTTAGTTGTATCGAAAAATATTAAAATTGAATTATTGAAGTTTATAAACACTAATTTTATTTAATTTCCAATTTCAATTTCTGAAATGTCAAAAGCAAAATCTGCCGGACAGCTCGCTGCTATCAACCGTGATTGTTAATTCAGATGGGCATAATTTTAAACATAATTTTAAACAAATTATTAAGTAGTTAACCCCCAGGGTACGTTTTAAAAGCAGTAAGTTCAAATTCAACTATGGAGACAAAGACGCCTATGTTAGAAGTAGCCTATTAGAAGTAGCCTATGTTAGTTTATTTAATTTCCAATTTCAATTTCTGAAATGTCAAAAGCAAAATCTGCCGGACAGCTCGCTGCTATCAACCGTGATTGTTAATTCAAATTCCCATTTTGCAATATTTTAAAAACTGTTTTAGGTTCTATTATAGTTTCAGATTGTTGGGCAGCCTATGGTTGAAAAAAAATTACTGGGTTAGCGAAATTCACACTAAGTAAATTTCAATAAGGGGCAGCACACAAACACAATTGAATCAATGGCGATTCAAATAGCACCTTCATATTAATAATTGTAATGGACCGTCTGGGGCGGTTGCAATTAGATTAAATCATTGCATATGCATTATAGGGGTTCTAATGGGGGCAGCACAAAGCCGCGTTCGGTGGGTACAGCCCAAGTAGGCGCGCGGCCAAGTAGGCGCAAAGCCATAACTTGCTTCAAGATTTCCGAATCTTAACAAATTTAGTATTAAACGATTCCTCTCGAGCTAAAGAGATTGATACCAAAGTTGATAAGGAACAGAAATTTTGAAGGTATTTATGGCTTTGCGCCTACATGGCCGTGCGCCTACTTGGGCGTCCCGCGTTCGGTATTTAGGGCCGCGTTCGCTCCGGAAGTAAAAAATAAACAGGTCTATAGTATATAAAAAAGACAAATCATCCGATCAAGGGCTAAGTCTCAACAGATCGCAGCGAAGAGCTGCTCTACTGGATACAACCCCCTGACCAGTATTCAGGTTTTATATAAAAACCTATATAAAAACCCCTATTGTCTAAAGGTCCGGGCAATAAATGGTCCAGCACTAATGGTCCACAATTTATTGCTTAAAGAAAATGTCAAAAATACATGAATACAAGAATGCGGAGCAGCCGAAAAAAGGGGGAAACACAAACCTAACTATTACCCATAAATGTTCATGGAACGCATGTCCAAAAGTAGAGCCGTGTGTCCGGCTTTGACCTGCCTGGACCGTGTTTTGAATTCCTTGAGTTGTATCGAATATTAAAAGTGAATTATTGAAGTTTACAAACACTAATTTTATTTAATTTCCAATTTCAATTTCTGAAATGTCAAAAGCAAAATCTGCCGGACAGCTCGCTGCTATCAACCGTGATTGTTAATTGATGGGCATAATTTTAAACAAATTAAGTAGTTAACCCCCACGTTTTAAAATCAGTAAGCTCAAATTCAACTATGGAGACAAAGACGCCTATTAGAAGTAGGCATTTGGTTTGCTCGTCCGGGCAATAAATGTTCCAGCACTAATGGTCCACACAATTGAGCATTTAATTTTAAACATAATTTTAAAATTTTTGTTAACCCCGTTTTAAAAGCAGTCTCATTCAACTGAGACAGACGCCTATTAGGCATTTGGTCGCGGTTTGATCGCGATTGGTTATATTTTTGCTTGGGTAAAGAGTAAAAAATAAACAGGTCAATAGTATATAAAAAAGACAAATCATCCGATCAAGGGCTAAGTCTCAACAGATCGCAGCGAAGAGCTGCTCTACTGGATACAACCCCCTGACCAGTATTCAAGTCGTATACAAGTGATTTTGCGCCCCGACGTTACACCTGCACGAGGAGTGCTAAGCTTTTAGCAACCAACTACCAATTATAGTAGAAGGAAAATGCCAGATACTGGGGCTTGTACTACCACAAAAAGTGGCATACATTTTGCCTTCCGACACCGGAGAGCGATATATATTGCTATCATGACTGGGCGGGATTCTGACTTAGAGGCGTTCAGTCATAATCCCTCAGATGGTAGCTTCGCGCCATTGGCCTATCGACCAAGCACATGAACCAAATGTCTGAACCTGCGGTTCCTCTCGTACTAAGCAGGATTACCATCATAGCAACAAGTATTTAGTAGGGTAAAACTAACCTGTCTCACGACGGTCTAAACCCAGCTCACGTTCCTTTATCGAGATTCAAGCGTTAAGTATTTTTCAGCTGGGAATTTTGTCAAATCCCATTCATGTTAATATATTACTGCAAAGCTGCCCCCAGGTCAACACCAAATCCGCGAAAATTTGAATCGTCTGACTGCCCATGACCAAGTTTATCCGTTAAATCATCATTAGAACACTTTAAAACGACGACAAATCGATTTAAAACGGTTGAAAATAGAAGTACAGTTGAGTCTGCAGATTGTAGCATAAACGTGTTGATTGGACGATTAGAATTTACATAAGAAGGCACCAAGTAACCCGGAAGGACTTGAAATCTGCTACGTCGAGAATTATTTATATTCCTATACATTTTTCCTTTCCATTTCCTCAGCAACAGCCACTTTATTTTCCATTTCCGCCAGCACTCAGCCACTTTTACAATTGTACTCAACAAACAACCACTTTTATAATAATATGAGTCGAGGCGAAAAGAGAAATGGACCAAATGCAACCCCAAGCTATGCGCCATCATGAGAAAAATAAATGGAAAGAGAATTAAGCAAGAAAGAAAACAAAAAGTGGTCGTAGAATTGGTAAAAGTGGCTGTTTATATATAGTAAAAGTGTTTGCTTTAATAGTAGTTATTTAATAGTAGTAAAATTTGGACCCCTTTGCGCAGAGGAGCTTTGACAGTAATATTAAAAACAACAAAGACCAATTTATTAAAGAATGCAGTGAAAAATTTGGAATTAAAATTGAAATAACCCCAAGGGACGGTTGACCTAAGTCTAGGATATGTTAAATAATCTCTGTAGAATTAGTAAAAGTAGTTGTTTAAATAGTAACGGTGGTTGCTTTATGTTATTTAATAGTAGTCTTAAAATTTGGGATGACCCCTCTGCACAGGGGAGCTTTGACAGTAATATTAAAAACAACACTGAAGCCGAAGAAACTTATAATTTAGGGGGACGATTTTCACTACGCAATTTTGGTCTTTCTCAATGTATACTTTCACTTCCATTCGGAGGAAAATTAAACAAAAATTTAATTTCTCCAATGCAAGGTGCTCACTCTCCGCGAGATGCTCACTCTCCACTAAGATGCTCACTCTCCGCGAGCATTACGGGCATCACCCATTGTAGAGATGTTCCAACACTATGGCTAATGAATCATATTTGGCAATGATTATCCCGTGGCAGCCTGGGTGTTTATAACAAAAATGGCATTGTCTTGGAACACCTTTTTCAGCCTGAGACCCCTAGAGGAACAGTTGTTCGAAATTTATTCATTCCATAGTGTTCAACCCAGGTCACAGCTCAACCTAAGTCATAAAGACGGATAGACGGATAGTCTCCCAAAAAAGTAGAAATTTGTTCCAGCCCAAGTAAAGAAATGGTAAGTCCCCGGTTCCATTAACCACTAAAACCTATAAAATGTTTCCGATAATGTTTCAGAAAAATCAAAAATTCAAATATTTACCCTAATTTAAATTCAAAAATTACAGCTCTGCTAATGTGGAACAGCCCGGGTAATTCCAGCTTTTAAAGTATTTTCCTAATTTGCCCTATGTCATTCTCTTATTTGCCCTATGTTTTTCTCTTATGATTATTAAATTTGCTTTCTTTTTCAAATTTTAAATCATCCCCGCGGAACAAACCTTTCACGCTCACTTTGTACAAATTTCCCTATATTTTTCTACCCTCTACTCTAGAAACCCACCCGCCCACTTTCTCTTTGTTTTTGTGTCTGCTTTTTTTCTTTGCCTTTTTAAATTCTTCACACCTCGTACATTCTTTTCTCTCCGCGGTAAGAATATGAAGCAAGCAGAGAAGAAAAAAATAAATAATGCATTTTTTCCTCTTCAGTATATTCAACACCCCCCAAAGACGCAAATTTTGACTGACTAACTCCACTTATTTGTTAAAGTAAAGTCATCTAATCTTGGATGCGCCCCAATTATTCGCCAATAAATAGACACATAATTTTTTTTATTTTATTTAAAAGAAAATTTTTTGAAAAAAAATCAAAATGAAGTGGATCATACAGTCGGAGCTTGATTGTACGCACTTCTAAACCCTTGGCTGTAAGTAGACCTTTTTGCTCCCCCTCCGAAACAGAATTTTAAAAAGCAAACAGCGAAAAGATAAAAAAGGGAAAAAGCGTGAAAGGCGAAACTCGAAATTTCGCTTTTCGAATTCGAAACTCGAAATTTCGCTTTTCGAATTCGAAACTCGAAATTTCGCTTTTCGAATTTCGCACCCCTCTTGTGAACGCATAACCTAGATCCGACTGCCTTCAAAATTTCGAAAAAAAATATTTTTAAAAATTTATTTTTCAACATTTTTAGGTCCTTTTGGCTATTTTTGAGTAAACACTTGTTCCTCCTCCACTAATTCTTCCTCCACTTTCTTCAGAAATTTTTCTTTTATAATTTTTATTTTTAACTTCTGTTTGTGCTGTTGTAGACTCTTCAAAATTATTTAATTTAACATTTTTATTGCTGGTTTGTTGTTCTGTATAGTAGAGGTTGTATGCGAGAAAAGTACATTCATGGGCGATTATATGTTCCTGGAAAATATTTAAAGAATTAATTTTTTTGAGGGAAAATTTTTTAGATACATAGGGCAATTTGTCCATTTAAGAAATTTAGCTGTTATGGACATTTTGAGAATTTTATCCCTTTTGGACATTTTTAGAAAATGTAGCCTTCTGAACCTTTTGAGAATTTTAATTATAATGGGCATTTTGAGTAATTTAGAGTTTCTGGACGTTTTGAAAATTTTGGGTATATTTGACGTTTTAAGATAAGTATTTAGCCATTGTGTACTTTTTGAGAAATTAAACCTTCTGGACGCTTTGAGTAATTTAACCCTTTTGGACGGACTAGAGACAACTCACACCAACGGCTATTTATCCCCCTTTTAGTTTACCCTCCCCAAAAATTTTTTTACTACCTGATATTTTTTCTCCCCAAATATTTGTTGTCCACATTCACAGCACAGTCTACTCTTCATTTCAGAATCCCTCACTCTGACGTTGTCATATCTTCTTTGGGCAGTTACAAATTTATTATTTCTGTTATTAAAAGCTTCTCTTTTTGTTGTTGGTGAATTATTAAATAATGTTGATTTTCTCTTTTCATTAGTAAAATCCCGTTGCATTTTTTCTTTTTTGGTTAAAAAAATTTCTCTAAAATTTTTTTAAATTGAGGTAGAATTATAAAAAATTTTTGGCGTTCTAAGAAAAAAAATTTTGCGCACACCCCCAAAAATTTAAAAAGGACAGAAAATAATCCAGCATATAATGGAGAGTCTTGATATAACGACAACGCCCTTTGGACGAATGTGACGTGAGATCGAACGTTAAATGAGGCCATTAATACACACCCCTCAAGACTGAATTGAGGGGACGTTGGAAAGAGTGGACCTCTTTGGGCCAAAGTTTTTACTGACGTTAGACGGAAGGTGGGTAATATCAAGCGCCGAATCAGGCAAAAACACCCCCCACCTTCCCGACCGAATTGAAGTGATTTTGGAAAGAAAGTGATAAGTCGTTATATTGAGATTCCAACTGTTAATAAATAAAAAATAAAAGAAAAAAAATAAATTTTTCGTTATTTAAGCAACGAATTTCTTAAAAATCAAAAATTTTAAATTAAATTTTATTAAAAAAATTATTTATTTAGGCAAATATTCATTTCTAATAAGCTCCAAAGCTTTAGAAACTTGTCTCTCAGTTTCAGAATATTCCCATAAAGAACAAAAAACTACATTACTTTGTAGTATTCTTTCTGAATTTGATAATTGACTTGCCAATCTTTCCATTGCCTTTAAAAAAGGAGAGGATTATTTTTTATTTAAGAAGGATTATTTTTTAGTTAAACCCTATTAAGTCTCAATCACTCTCTCTATTACAACACCCTGGAGTAATAGAGAGAGTGATTTTTAATAACGTAAGAAAGAGTGACGTAAGAAAGGGAGGGTGGAGGGGAGGCTATTTTAAAGGGGTACTAAAAAGGGCTACTAAAGGGGGTGGTTAGGAGGGGGCTATTTTTGTATTTTGTGGACATTTTGAGTTCTGGGCATCTTGGTTGTTGGACGATTTGAATTAGAAGGGAGCGTCATTATGGGGAGTTCCATGTATTCATGTTGGTTAAGAACCTTAATGGAAGCTCACTATACTGACATCTCTCACTCAGGCCGTTTGTTGACTTTAGAAAGAGAGTAACCAATGTATAACAGATAAATCGTCGTTATGTAGAGGTTTCCCCATTCAAAGCTGAATTTTGCGGATTGTCCGCAAATTTTTTGCGGATAAATAAAAATTTTTCGGAAGCGTCACCATAGAGAGATTCCCCACTATTTCTAAAAAATTTTACATTTTCCTTCGAAACATTATCCCTCGCCACAATTCGTTCAATAGCTTCATTTTTAGGCACAAAAGTACACCAAACTTGATTTAAATATTTCCCCCATCCAGCCTCCAAAAGCAAAGCTGCATCAATTACAACAATTTCTCTCTCAGATTTTTTAATGATTTCTTTTACACGTTCAAAAGTTATTGGCCAAACAATGTTGTTTAAACGTTGTAATTTTTGCTTTAAAGTAGAAATTTTTTTTGCGGACAAAAATTTTTTTGCGGATTGTCCGCAAATTTTTTTGCGGACAAAAATTTTTGTGGACAAAAAATTTTTTTGCGGACAAAATAATTTTAAAATCGGTTTGAAAAATTAAATTTTTTGAGACAGAATTTATAAAAAATTTCGATTACCCCAGTATTAAAAAACGAAATCCGAAAAGAAATCCGCAAATTTTGTCCGCAAAAAAATTAAAAAATTCTCAAAAAATTTTTACAAAAAATCCAAACCTTATCTTCAAAAACCAATTCTCCAAGCTTTTTTCTGTCAATATTTCCATTAACCAAAATATCAAGTCCAAATTCTTCTGCAAGTTTATTTCGTAATTCTTCGCTTTCAGAATATATTTTATGAACTAATTGGTCACATTCAATTACCTAGAAAATAAAAATTTTTCTTTTGAGGCTTGGAAAAATAAATTTTTATGATAGGTTTTGGCTTTAAAAATTGAACTTTTAGAGGGAAATAATTTGAGGAAATTTTTTCATCGTATAAAAATCAGAAAAAAATCAGAAAACATAAAATCCGCAATAAAAAAAATTTCCCCAAGAAAATCCGCAAATTGTTTTGCGGACAGAATACTTTAAAAATAATTCGGAAAGGATTTTCTACGAGGAAAAAATTTAGAAAAAATTTTCCAACATCGAAGCTCTCAAGAAAATGAAATGCGAAAAATCCGCAAATTTTGTCCGCTAATATTTTGCGGACAAAAAAATTTTTTTGCGGATAAAATTTTTTTGTGGACAAAATAATTTCAAAAAAAAAAAACCTCGCATCCTTGAGAAGCCAAATATTTAGCAATGTGTGTTTTTCCAGAAGCTATACCTCCAGTCAATCCAATTAAATAGTGTTTATTCGAAATGATTTCGTCTGGAAAATCTTTAGGTTCCCTCAAAATACTTCCCAACATTTCCCTTCTTTTTGCGCTTGAACTTAATTTAATTTCATGTAAAATTTTGTCATTTAATTGTTCATTTCCAAGCAATTTAATTGGATGAATTTTTAGTGGCCTCAAACCTTTCTCCTAAAAATTGGGAAAATTTTTTGTGGGGATCTAGTTTAGTTTATGAGTCCCTCAGGCTGGAAATAAAATTTACCACTTTGGCTTTCAACCTTTGGAATTGGGTTCTGAAAATTGCTATGTATGGGGCAGAGATTGGCCGGGTTGGGATAAAAATATCGGGCCAGGTTTCGAGTCGAAAAAAAATCCAGGTATAGGGTAACCCGACCCACCCCAGGTTCGGGACATATAGTAGCTAGTCGACCCTAGATCAAGATAGGTATATCTTTATTTTTTTTCAGCGCCGCAGACGAAAATTTTGAGAAGTTTGGAGGATGTAGGCAAAAAATTATCACTTTCTTGATCATCCTTCTCCTATTTTTCCCCCTTTCCTAGATTTCGGGAGAGAGGGGGCTTCAGCACCACTAGCTACATCCTCGACTCAGACCGAACCTGCATAGGTTTATGACACAAAAAATCACTAGGGAACCCTCTAAAGAAAACCAAAAATATTATAATTTCAAAGGACACAAAAATAATAAAAGCCAAAAAAAAATTTTCAGAAATTTCCAAAAAAAATTCTAGACCCTTAAAAATTAAAAAAAAAACCTTTCTTTTATCATTAACAGCTTCTCCCCCTTTCAAAGTTTCATCACTAACAACAATAGCATCATATCCATTATCTTCAATTGACGGTCCAAAAGCATCATAAATTGGAACAGTAATGCAATTTACATTTTCTGATATGTCCTTTACAAAATTTTCTACATTGGCACAGCGTGTTTGAATTGGTTCCATTAATTCGTACAAGACTTTTTCTGAAGAAAAAAAATTTTTTTATTTGAGTAAGGAAGAGAAATTTAACCTATAAAACGCTTAATAGATGGCAGGGATGCTACGTATTGAGAAAAAGTCGGGCCGGGTTTTTCAAAATTTTCTTTGGAATTTTTTTTCAAAAAAAATTTTTTTCACCACCTACAGGTTTCAACAGATTGTACGTGATGAAAAAAATCCCCTAGACAGAAAAGACGCAGGATCGATATTTTCTCTTTTTGGCCCATAACCCAAACCTGCTCGGAAACCCAAAAATCTGTCTACAATTAACAAAGTTATGGGCCATGCATGGAATGTATAGGGTAATTTTTAGAGATGTCCTAGACACTTGGTCTTGATTCAAGACTTTTCTTGGGGTTAATTTGGTTTTGGGGTGTATTCTGGCCTCGAATCTTGGAAAATTTTCTGTTTTGGACAACTCTACTAATTCTGAGGGTTGTCGGCTCGAACTCGAAACGACCTGAGAAATTTTTTGTTTTGGTTTTGGAAATTTTCTTATGAATCCTTTTCAAAAAGTTTTTTTTCACCACGTACGGGTGGTGAAAAATTCCATTTTATGGCACCTGTTACGGGCCATAAATGGAACGTAGACTAGGGGATAATTTTTCGGTTCGATTCTGAAGATTCGAAGAGTATTCCACGTTCCATATATGTATGCCCGTAACAGGGGTGGGATTTCTTCCAAAAAACATAAAATAACAAACAAACTTTTAATCATGTCTCCATCAGTAACTCCACAAGTAATCTTTCTTGAACGATAAACAGCCTCGGAAAGTAATAGTTTATGACCTTATTAAAAAATTTTAAAAATTAAAAAAATCAAAAATAGCTTCCATCAGAATAGTTCGAACCCATGATCCTTTACTCACTTAAACCCATCACAAACCCAGTTAAAACCGTATAAGAAAAAAATTATGTGCATTAGCAGCGTTCGAAAAACGAACACATGGCCAGCAAAATCCAACAGTATCCCACTTAACCAAAAAGCTCATTTCATTAGATTACTTTGCAAAGGAATCAAATCAACTTTCCACAAAAAAATAATTTTTGCACCCACAGGATTCGAACCCACGTCCCCAACCTAATAAAACCGAAAGTATCCCACTTAACCAAAAAATATTTTTTAGTAATTAAAAATTAAAAAAACCATTATGTAATTTATCAAAAGCACCACCCAAAACTACATGTCTAAAAGGCTTTTCTATAAAATCAAATGGAGCTTTGATTAAATTAAACTTGGTTGAACAGTTTAATTTAACTTCGTTGAAAATTGGAAATGGTGGCTGGTCTGGATCTTTAATCTGAAAATTAAAAAAAAATTTTTTTAAAGCTAAGGGTTCCACCAAGAATCGCAAAAGACTCAATTTTGTTGGAAAATAAAAAAATTTTCCATGGCAGGATTCGAACCTGCGACCCGGTATCCACTAAATTCAAGCAGTATCCAACTTAACCATAACCTAACATAAAGTAAATAAATTGGGGTTGGGGTCATAAGGGCGCGGGGCCATTAGGGCGCCAGCACTAATAACTGGCACTTAGGCGAAACCGAAATTTATGAAAATTTTCTCAAATTTCTTTAACATCATTGACTACCTCCTCCAGAAATTTCAGAATTTTTCATCGAATATTTCTGAAGTTATAGTCGATAAACCGCGAAAAATTAGGGTTTTTTCGGAAAATAAACATTTTTGGCCACAATTTCCGAAATTCTTGATCAAAAATTCTGAAACTTTTGGAGAACGTAGATAAAGGCATGAGAGTTATTATTGCAAAGTTTTATCTTTTTTGATAAGCAACTCACTGTTTTATAAGCTCGCGCCCTAGTGGCCCCGCGCCCTAATGGCCCAGTCCCAATAAATTGTACACAGAAGAAACGAACTCACAACCTCTTACTTAAAATCAAGAATTCATCAACTTAGTAACTACAATGGTAATTCACCCTAAAATTTATTCAGTAAACCAGGGGTATGCCGAAATAAAATTTAAAAAGCAAGAGACAAAAGTTATAATTTAGAAAACGACTGGCGAAACTCCAATGGCAAAAACTTGATGAAAGGTCAACCACACTATTATACCTATATATCAAAATAGAAAATTCCCCCCTAATTCCACCCCCCATCCAAAAAATCCCCTTAAAATTGAAAAAATTCCAAACCTTATCATAAAAAACCCTGTCAACTTGCACCGTTTTTCTATCCATTAAAACACGAAAATCAACTTCAGATTTAATACAAGCAGCACTCAAGTAAATTGCAGGCAATAATTCTTCAAATGATTCAGATTCTTCCAAATGAACATAAAGTTTTTGGGCAACTTTTGAGGCTGCTAATTCCAATAAACGTTGTAATTTGCGTTTAACATTGTCTGTATTTCCTCGAATTATTAATAAACCAATGTTTACTGGCACAACCATTAAAAAAATTTTTTTTGTCTAGAAAAAACAAATTTATTTGCGGACAAAATTTGCGGAGTCCGCAAAAATTTTTTTATGTCCGCAATTTTTTGCGGACAAAATATTTATCCGCAAAAAATATGCGCATTAAAACGGTTGTCCGCAAAAATTTGCAGAAACAATTTTTTGAGTCCGCAAAAATTTTTGCGGACACAGAAAATGTTTGTCCGCAAATTCACCAACAATTTCCTTTCAAAATACATATACTACACAACTAAAAAATATAATTTAAAAATAAATTTAAAGAAAATTTGTTTTATGAAAAATGCAACAAATAAAAAAATTTTTTCAAATCAAATTTTTATTTTTAAAAATTAAAAAAAACAGAATTTGTTAATATTTGTATAAAGAAGAAAAAACGGATACAACACAAAAAGTCAAAATTCCCTAAGTAAATTTTATGGTTAATTGTCCACTAAAGGAGTCGACCTTCTGGGTTGATCCCAGAAAGAATAAAAAATTTTTTTTGAAAAATTCACAAGGTTCAAAATTTTTGCGGACAACATTTGCGGAATCCGCAAGAAATTTTTTCGTTTTTTGCGGACTGCGCAAATGTTTATCCGCAAAAAACTTAAACTTTATTCAGATATATTGCCCGACTCTACAACTACATTTCATTTTTAAACTAATAATACAAGGCTTGATTTAACGAAGAAAAATAATTTGCGGATTCCGCAAAAAATTAACTGCAAAAACAAAATTCAGAAAAAAAGCCAAATTAATTTTAAAACTAATTTTAAAAATCCAGCCTTTACACTACAGAAAGAGGAAAAAATATTTTACAAAAATTTGAAAGGAATTTTCTTAATAAAATAAAAAATCAATTTAATCTTACCCCCATTGGGTCAAATCAGGAAAAAAATTTTTTTACAAAAGTCAAAAAACAAAAAAAAAATAAATGTTCCCCTTAAGTTAGTCCAAAAAATGATTGGACTCTGGCCTACAGTTTTTAGTAGTTCAATGAACAGCATAAATTTTCAGATTCATAAACCTTAGGATCGGACTTTGATTTTTGGGCTCGAAATATGACTCGAACGGCCCGGTTCGATTTGATAAAAACGAGGTCCTAAAAAATAACCCGAACGTCGGTCAGGTTCGAAAACAACAACCCTACTCACAAACTCTTATATGTAAAACTCATAAACTGTGTGCCAGAACCCAATAATTGTTAATTAGTCTAAAAAAAATTTTTTTTTCATAAAAATTTAAATATATATATTTTTTGTTCAAAACCGCTTCAATTAACCATAAAAGACCATAAGATTGTCAAATAAACCTTCAACAGGTCCTTAAATTTTTTTAAACTATTCCTTGGCATCAACAGCATTAAAATTCTTTCTCTTACCCCTAATTGTGTTTATTGGATGTCGAACAAATGAACTTGAAAAAAGGAAAATTTTTTTTAATAAAAAATGGGTACTTTTCATTATGGCACCACACACAAATGTTTAAAAATGGTCAATATGGACAAAATATATGTCATCCGAAAGAGCTCGTCGAGCTAACAACAAGTCGAATAATACGAAAATCAGCCTTCAGTCTCAATTTTAGCCAAAATAAAAATCTCAAAATTGTCAAAGTAAGCTCATTAGAGTAATTTTGCTTAAAATTTTGTTTAAAAGCTTTGGTGTCATTCAACTCAGCTCGACGAACTCTTTGAAATGTGGCGCCATAAAGGAAAAGTACCAAAAAATGATTAAGAAGCGTAATAAAGATAGGGGTGCTTAGGAACTGTTTTCGTAATTGTTAGTGTGAGCCCACCCTAGAAGATTAAATCCAAATATTTGGGCGGGTAAAGGTGAATCAAGATCAGTATTACTTTGGCCTGCTCCCTCTTGCCTTATCTGACCTTGATCCATCAACAAAACCTCCCCTTCCCCAAACTCAAAAAAATTTAAAAAATTCAAACCGTAAAGAAAACCGTGACTTTTTCTTTTGCTCCAAATCATTATTATTAGAAAAAGTAATATTTGCAGAACCACCACCACCACCAGGTTGACTTGAAGACGAAGGCGGTAGAAATATTTCTTGACGAATTCTTTCATCAACAGAGCTTCCACCTCCTCCAATTTCTCTAACTCCATTAATTCCCTCAACATGTTTAACCGAAACTTTTCTTGTAAATTTTGCAGGGATTTTGCCTTGAAAAAAAAATTTTTTTTTTTGAAAAAAATTCAAAAAAATTAAAAAAGAAAACCTGGCTCTTCTGAAACTCCTCGACTATTAGAAATTGATGAACGTGGACGGGTTTTGAAAGAACTATTACTTCCTGTTAGAGAACGTCTTTCACTTGCTTGAGCAGCGATTGAGGCACTACAACAGGCCTAAAAATTAAATAAAAATCCGCAAATATGTAAAAAAATCCGCAAAACTTGTCCGCAAATATTTCTACAGAACATTTTTACGGACTTTTTTAAAATAAAAAGTTGTCCGCAATTATTTTTGCGGATTTTCTATACCAAGAAATTGTCCGGAAAAAGTTTTTGCGGACAAAATTTGCGGATTTTTTTTGAAAAAAAGTTGTCCGCAAATATATTTGCGGACAACATTTGCAAATTTCTTTGAACCGAAAAAATTGTCCGCAAATATTTTTGCGGACAAAATTTGCGGATTTTTTAAATGAAAAAATTTGTCTGCAAATATATTTGCGGACTTTTTTCATTAAAAAAATCCGCAAAATTTGTCCGCAAAAAATTTGCTGACGTCCGCAAATATTTTGACAGAGAATTCTTGCGGATTATTTTGAAAAAAAGAGTTATCCGCAAATATTTTTGCGGACAAAATCTGCAAATTTTTTAAATCGAAAAATTGCCGCAAATATATATTTGCGGACTTTTTAAAATAAAAAATAAACAAAATCAAAAACCATTGTTGAAGCATTCTCAGCATCTTCCCCATTAATATTAACTCCATGTACTGATTCAATAACACCCACATGACATCCACTTGACCAAATTGTGTGAACACTCTGTTGAAAAATTGAAAAAAAAATTTTTAAAAATTAAAAAAAAAATACTCGATTGTCATAATTATATTGTGAACCAGCAATTGCCTGAATTGAAGCATCCTCTGTATTTGGCTTGTCTGTTAGACTAACCAAACCTTTAAAAAATAAGAAAAAATCATTTTTAGGTACCCTGTGAGACTGATAAAATCATTTCACTTATAATGAGAGGTACATTAAATAGGAGGTATCGCTCTGACATTCCCCAACCCATGGCTAACCAACTTAAAAATGTACATTAAATAGAGGTTACCTAGTAATGGGTGTATTTAAAAATGGGGTTCGACTGGATTGTAAAAAATCCGCAAGTTTAGTCCGCAAAATATTTGCGGATTTTATTTTAACAAAATGCGGATTTAAATTATCGGATTTTATTTTTCTGCAAGACTAACCAAAGACTAACCCTCAACATTATCTTCATTTTGAGACTAAAAATAAAACCACAAAAGTTCCCTCCCCCTTAAAAAAATTCCTAGAACCCACACCCATCAAAATAGAAATAAATTTTTATTTACCAAAAGAAGCAATACTTTGTCGACGTTGATGAAAAGATGATTTACTTGTTGTTTTTGTTGTACTACTATTTTCTCTATTATTATTATTCACATTTTTATTTCCTTCAGAAGTCAAAACAATTTTTTCTTCTTCATCTCTAAAGGTAGAATTCCCTCCAACATTATCTTCATTTTGAGAAGTTCCTCCACCTCCCCCACCACCACAGGCTCCATTACGACATAAAGATAAAGGAACAACTCCGTAAACATAAGCTAACATTATTGGAACACCAACACCTTAAAAATAAAAATTTTTTAAAAATCCGCAAGTTTTGTCCGCAAAAAATTTGCGGACTTTTTTTGCATAAAAAATCCGCAAGTTTTGTCCGCAAAATATTTGCGGATTTTTTTGTATAAAAATCCGCAAATTTTGTCCGCAAAATATTTGCGGACTTTTTTTTTCATAAAAAATCCGCAAGTTTTGTCCGCAAAATATTTGCGGACTTTTTTTTTCATAAAAAATCCGCAAGTTTTGTCCGCAAAATATTTGCGGATTTTATTTATCAGTATTTTATTTCCTTATAAAAAATATCCAAAAATTTTAAAAAACATACCAACAGTCATAACAGCTAAAACTGGTGAAATTACCAATGAACCAACAACACTTAAAGCAGTAGCCTTAAAAATAAAAAAATTATTTTGAAGGAAAAATTTTCTTTCTAAAGGTTTCCAAGTCTTTAAAACATTTATAGATAAAAAAGAAAAAGATTTTTCCCAACCGGATTCGAACCTTCACCCTATAAAAAATAAAATATGAAACACAACCCACTACACCACAAAAACATAAAAACGTTAATTTAAGGTTAACGGATCTTGGCAACTCCCCTGCTATCTGAATATGATATCCCAACCAAAATTTTAAGTATCCGGATTTCCAGACCCGTAAACTCTAATAGTAGACCCATGAATCCCCTGAATAATTCGTCATATTTGCCCAATACAATTTAAAAAAAAATTGAAAAAATTACCAATTGCCTTTTAGTTCTAGATAAATTAGAAAATCGTTGATATGTCTTCCTAAAATTAAAAAAAAATTTTTTAATACAAAAATTCAAAAAAACCTTCCAATAAATATAGGAACACCACAAATAATGCCTGGAACAGCCAATCCAGCAATTAAAGCAATTCCTAAAGGCGCTCCAATTAAAGTACCAATTTGCCATAAAAGCTTCTTTTTTCGTGTCCAAGGCTTTTTTCCCCAAAATGTACAGCCTGTTGGGCTTGAAAAGAAACAGATTTAAAAGAAAACATTTTTTTGGATTTTAGTCGATTCTGACTAGTATAAATCCTGACTGTCTACAAATTAAGATATTTTTTTGGTGGGCCACGGTTTTTTGGGGTGGGGGGAGCTGACACACACTCTACTATACTAGAATATATACCAGAGGTGGGTCGGAACAGTCAAAGGTGATGGAAATCGAAAGAGCCGGAAATCGGAAATGACTTAAAAGCGGAACTCGGAAGGAAACCTGCTATATAACCTTTGCTATATAACCCCCAATACGAGAAACAGCTAAATTTTAAGTTACTTTTTTAAAGTTTAGCTGTCTGTTGAATGCAGGAGCTATTTTTCTATCCAAAATTTGACACATGGACACGCATTTAATAAGGTTGTTCACAACCGGTTAGTTTTATCTTGTGGCGACTCAAATGTTTTTGACACCTCTCTACTTAAACCGACACAGAAAAGATTATCGAAAATAAGCCCTAGGCGTTTACCCAACTACATGATCAAATTTTCCAACCTCAAGGGAGGTTATCATAATGAGGCCTAATAATATTGTATTTAATTTAAAAAAAAACCTCAAATAATGTAGCTCATTAATTTGTTTTAAACAAAGCCAACAAAATTCAGCATTGCACAAAGCACATTGCATCTAAATTCGAAAAATAAAAATTTTAGAAAAATCGAAAATGTATACATGATTACAAGAACCATCGTTCATCTTTAGAAAAAAATTTTTTTTCAAAAAAAGTAAAAGATAAACCTTTGTTATTAACGCTCCACAACGAGGACAAGCTTTCATTTCATCTGCAGAAAAATAAAAAGTTAAAGAAATAAATCTTTGTGAAGTAAAAATTCTTTCCAAAAGGTTTCCAAGGCTTTAAAGCATTTTTAGATAAATAACAAAAAAGTTTTCCCGAAGGGGTTCGAACCTTAAACCTATAACCCAAAAAATCGTAAACACAACCCACTACTCCACATGAACTACAATTGGGCCGGGTCCTGCGACATCCTTCCCTGGCCGGGGAAAACTGTTTCGAGGACCATCCAGGAGGGAAACTATTTTTGAAAAATTTTTTTCCTGATCTAGCCTGATCATGAACGGTCCAGAACCACCCAAAGAAATAAATCCAGAAGCCCGACTTGTGAAAATCTCCAAACCCCTGACTTTTTGCTAACAATAAGCCCAGGACATCCCTTCCATTATCCACAAAAATAAACAAAAAAAAAACCTCCAGAAATAACAAAATTTCCACCACGTGTAGACTCAACAAGATTATTATTATTGTTAGTAGGTAAAGACGAACGAAGAGACGAAACTAACGGAGAATTAAAAAACGATCTCGATCTAGCTTGATCACAAGTTTGGTTTGGATGCCAATAACTTTTACAATGACTAGAAAAAAATTTAAAAAAATTTTCCTTAAAAATTAAAAAAAATACTAGCAAAACATTGTAGTACAACGTTCACATTTTAATTGGGGGCAGGCAGCACAAGAAGTTGCTATAACAGCATAACTAGAAAAGAAAAAATTTTCTTTAAAGAAAAAAATTTGGCTCTGGTCCAGTTTATGAGTCCAATGCAAAATTGGGCACTTTATCGATATCATGCCCCTACCCCCTAGTTTGAGTCACAAATTTTCCTAAAAACGTGCATAATGGTCAGACTTTGTATGAGAGTCAAACTAGGGGCAGGGAGTAACCATAAAGTACTTCAAATTATGAATCTGATTGTGAACTACAGATCGGGCTGGCAGGGTCGTACGAAAAATCGGGATCAATATCTCGAAAAAAATCTCGATTCTCCAAAAGTCAAGATCTCGAATCTCTGACCGATCTCTGATCTAATCTGAAAACAAAAATTCATTGAACTCATAAACTAGACCCGAGCAGAAATTTCCATAAAATTTCAAAAAAATATATACGTGCAATCCGGAGCTGGACACCAACGAGTATCTGGATCTATACTCAAAATACGACGTAAAGAATATAATTCAAAGCGTTCCAGCATTTCGGGTTGATGAGAAAGTAAATTGTAAATATCGCTAATTTGAAGAGAGACTGGGCATTCTGGGCATCTGTTTGAAGAGAAAAAATGTTAAAATTAAGGAAAATTCTTTAAAAAATCTTCCCACACCTCTAATAAGAAAGAAAAAGACTCAAGCAAAAAATTGCCCTCGAAGGGGTTCGAACCTACAACCCAACAAATACAAGATCGGAAACGTAAACCACTAAACCATAAGGTATAAAAAATTAAATTTCGTAAGAGATTAATTTTCCCAAAGGTTCCCAAGCTGTTAAAACACCGATATAGACAAAAGAAAAAGAATTCGTACAAAAGGATTCAAACCCTCGACCCAATACTTCCAAAACCACCCACACAACCAACTACACCACAAACTCATTGTAAGAAATAAAATAAATTTACGATATGTTTGTTCTGCTTTCTGCTATTTCAACACAAATAAACTGAAAAAAAAAATTTCAAAAAATTTTTCAAAAAAAATAAAAAAACCTTAACAAGGCAGCCTTTACAAAAAATATGTGCACAAGCTTTAAATCGATAAAAATTTTGTGCAGATTGTCTAATACAACAAATTGGGCATTCCTGTTTCATGCATGATTTAATTCCTGATGTATTGCTTTGAGCTGATCCGGCAGAAAATAATGATTCTGATGGACCCTAAAAATTTGAAAAAAAAAGAGTTAATTGTAAGTCTTTTTAAAGTCAGAAAGCCGTTACTTTCCCCAAAAATCAAAAGTTAAAGAAAAAAATTGGTTCGTTAAAAAAATTATTTTGCGGACAAAAAATGCGGACAAATGTATTTTATGACATAATTCCAAGTTGGAATTCTCAAGGGAGAAAGGCAAAAGGTAGACAAGAAATATCAATTAATGTAAGATAATTAATGTAAAATAAGCCTATTATCCCCGGTACCTCTTTAAATCGTCCTTAATCATTCCAAATTCCCTTTTACTGACCCGACCCAAGACACAGATTTTTCCCGACCTGAAACTCAATCCGAAGAAACTACGACCCATCTTTCCTCAACCCGGCCTATTCCTGATTCAAACAGTAAATCAATTTTCGATCAGTCAAAAAATTTTTTGCGGACGAAAAAATGCGGATTTCTTGTCTAAAATCCTTACCCAAATCCCTTATAAAAAATTTAAGAAACCGAATTTGAAGAAGCCGCCATACTAACACCACTTTTAATTGAAAGTTTATCTGCCGGAGCAGCCGAATTTTGATTTTCCGTCACATTTCCATTTTCCTTATTGAATTCATTGGAGATTGAATTTTCCATTTTTCCACCACTGTTTAAAGGGACATCACCAACAGACAACGCTTTTTCCTCTTTTTGATGATTTTCATTTCCAAATTTTTCAGAAACTGTCAATTTTCCACTTAAACTTTTGGTTGATTTATTGATATTTTTGTATTCTGGTATTTTTATTTGAGGGTGGTGGGAGGATGCGGTTGGTGTTGTTGTTGAGGAGGTTATGCTGTGACTACGAACATTTTTTCTTCAAAAAATTTGAAAATTAAGTGAGGAAAATTTTTGGGTATTGGAAAATTTTTAAAATCTCTCAAGGTCCAGGAGAGAGTCGAAACAAATTTAAAAGGTGGAAGACCAAATGTGAGACGTGAAAGACAAAACTGCCCTTCCCACCCTGTCATGAAACAAAACTAAAAATAGATCCAAGTTCCAATGACGGCACGGAGACTATATATCCCCACTAGGGATCTAGCCGACATAAAAATAAACTGGCGAGTTCAGGACTTCACAACCATTGTTTGGAAGCTCGCAGAAAAATTCGAACGTATTTACGAGGCACGAGCAAATTTCTAATAGTTCACCACCCAAAAACGACGGGGAATTCCCATTTTAGGAATTAGGGTTGGCTAGATCTCTGACGCCACAATGAATAGACATGGTATTCAGAATGGGATTTTATGTCCCTTTTCCCCAGCCCCTTATCAATTAAAAAAACCTAAACAATTCTTCAGAAGTATTATCCAAATCAGAACTTGTTGGCGAAGCCGTAATATTATTCAAAAAAGTAATTAGACCCAAACGGCCTCGTTCAAAACGTGAAGGTTGTTGATTTAAACTTTTCTTTTTGTGTTTACTACTGTTTAAATATTCTTCCATGTCAGTTTTAGTTGGTGTAGATTCCTGGAAATTCATAATTTTAACTAGGGTCAGTCCGCGACACCCTAATTTCTCTGGCCAAGTCCAGAGACGATTTTAGGTCATACCCTAACCTCGATATTCCCTGAGATTCCCGACGGTGGATGGAATAATTTTAAATATTCCAGGAACAGTTGAAGTCAGGCACGTTGGCAGGGGAAGAGGTTAATGGTTCGCTAAGGTCATCCCTTAGCGAAGCCACACACACTCCCACACTTTTTACCTCGCCTTTACGGTAATGCTCAGGGTCTGAGAATAACGTAGACATCATCGAATAGTAGGAGTCAAGGACAGACACCCAAGTTGAGTGACTTTGGATCCCGAAATAAACTTAAGATTAACCCCAGATTCCCTAGCTTCCCCAATTTTCCGGTCCCCAGCCGACTGATTTTTAGGTCATTCCTCAATGCCATCCCTAACCTGCTATTCACCGACAACCCAGTTCTCCTCGACGGGTCGGAGACAAACTCCAGATAAGTTCGCGGTATGACTCGCGGACTCGTTAAACTTCCAGTAAGTGTTGTAGACAGGCACGGACAGGGGAAGGGAATCAGTGCCTAGGCCAGGCGAGAAAGGTGGTCCCATAAACGCTCCAATATTCCAGGAAAAACCCAGGCCCAGAAAAAACGCAAAAAGGCCAAAAAATGCCTGGGACTGGACTGTGGGCACAGGGAAATCTCTTGGCCCTTTTAAATTTCTTGGCCCAGACCCAGCTCGATCTCTAGTAACAAAAAAAGTAAACCCCAAAGGACACCCAAAATTCAAAAATAAACCTCTTTCACCTCTTTAACTTCCCTCAAATTACTCACCATATTCGTGTTAGCCATCTTGTTAGTATTCCCTTCCAATCGATCAGACAATTTTCTTTTGCTATTTTGACCAGAATTTAACAACAACGCTTGGCTTTCATCAGTATTAGAAACACTACTATTCTCAATACATTCAACCACAATTCCCAAGTTTTTATTACACTTTGTTGTTGTGCTACTGCAAGTGTTACTATTCACATTCATTTGAAATTTATTTTTCCTTTTTAAACTAAAAAATAAAAGAAAAGTAAATGACTAACATTAAGAACACTTTAAAAATAAATTGAAAAAAATTTTTTTAATTTACCGATAAAATCAATCAATAAACATACAAAAATCAACACAAAATAGGCACAAAATTGAAAAAAAATGGCTAGCCATATTTTGCCAAATACACATTTTGCCAATACAGGTAAAAATTTGCATTTTGTCAACACATCCTTATTGACAAAATGCAAGGTTTTAGCCGTATTGGCAAAATGTGGTGTTGGCAGAATGTGCAGACACGAGTAAGGCACAAAATAAAAATAAAATGCTAACCATATTTTGCCAAATACACATTTTGCCAATACGGCTAAAACCCTCGTTTTGTCAACACACCCTTATTGACAAAATGCGGGATTTTAGCCGTATTGGCAAAATGTGTTTTGGCAGAATATGGGACAAGAGTAAAGGTAAGGTAGAGAATTTTAATGTGCAGTGATTTTAGTAGAAAAAAACAAAAACAGCCTTCGAAAATTTTTTTTCCTTCACCTTAAAGGAAAAGAACACTTTCTCTCTTTACCATGGCAATAGTATAGGAGAAAATGGAAGGAAAAAAGTAAGCCCTTATATTTTGCCAAACCCACATTCTGCCAATAAGACTAAAACAACACGTTTTGCCAATATGATTCTAAGGCAGTGTTGGCAAAATGTGTCTTTTTAGCCTTATTGGCAGAATATGGATTGGCAAAATATGGTGACTAGGAAAATAAAGAAAGTACAAACAAGAGTATTGTCTACTTTAATTGTCAACTCCCCAATTAGTGTCAAAATTGCAATTCTAATGAGACGATATCATCGATATCACGTCCACATCCCTCTATATCCCTTAATCCCCCAATACCCTGATATCATTTTTAACCCAACCAAATCCCTCGATATTTTTGCTTCGAGAAATTCACTAACCCCTCTAATTTTTAAAAACGTGAAAATGCAGATTATTTCCCTGGACCTTTGGTCGTTCCTTGATTTGGTAAGACCGTGACTCATCGGGGAAATTATGTCTCTCTTCAAGGCGCCTATGTTAATGACCACTCTCTCGTTTGTAAAAGACGCAGAAAAATGTGGACATTTGGGAATAAAGCAGGCAATGAGACGCCTTGAAGAGACACACAATTTCCCGTAAAAGAAGAGAAAAAAGATTGAAAACTTTGGTGCTGACACGCTCGCGTCAACGGGATGGCCCATTGGTTGCTTTTTATTTCCCTTTTTTGCCTTTCCAATGCCCAATATTTCCAACAAGGGGGAGCTTAATTTAAAAATTATACGCCCATTTTCGTCCATATAAGTTCTTATACATATGATACCGCCGAGCTATCGCTTCGATCAAGATAGAATTCGGGACGATTTGATATGGTTCAACTTAGCTCGTCGAATTTACGAGCCAAAAATCTTCGTCACGATTTTTGCGAATCCTGAATCGGGTCGGCGCGATCCCTAGAGGGAACTTGTATGATTTGTGTATACGCCCCTTTTTCTTTTTCTCATAAATCTATCACATTAAAGCACGCCTCTTTTTATTCACTTTTTCTACCTTTTTCTTTTTAACTCATTCAATTCGCATTTGTCTTGTTAAATTTATTTTAGGTTTAGCAAACTCAAAATTGACCATCCTCACAATATGGAATCATCAACAACTGTTGAAGAGAATGCATCTTCTGATGCATCTCCCGACTCAAGAACTGAAGATATAGAGAGATGTATTACTTCCTTAGTTCATGCCTGTACATGTCAGGATGTAGATTGTCGTTTTGGAATGTGTTTCAAAATGAAGAGGGTTATTGCGCACACAAAGGCGTGCAAAAGACGACAAGTTGTTGGGGCAGATTGTGCTGTGTGTAAACAATTGATTGCTCTTTGTTGTTGTCATGCAAAGCATTGTGTACAGGCAAAATGCCAGGTGCTGTCTTTTACACAATTTGAAGTTTTTAAGACCCTCAAAGAAGGTCGCCTGATCCTAGTTGTCATGGAGTTGATCTTTTGTGGTGTTGACATTTTGGGTTGATTTCTCATGTACGGTTTTCCTACTACGGTTATGGGGGTACATCTTATTTTTAAGGATACACCTCATTATAAAATAGATTCGGTACTTATTGGTTATCCCAAAGTAGTTTTTGCGGACATTTTATGCGGACTCATTTTTGCATGGAATGGTCAAAGGTTCTTCCTCGATTTTCTCAATTTTCCCTGTGATCTTATTGAATGAAGCCACAAGGAAAATTGAGTGAAATCGAGGAAGGAAGAACCTTCTTGCTTTGTTGGGCGGAAGAAGCTTTGACCATTCCGTGCAAAAATGGGTCCGCAAAGCTACTTTGGGATAACCAATAAGTACCATAGATTCTCAGTAGATGTAAAATTCGAATTAAATTTTTTAAAATTAAATTTAATCAAAATATTTTTAAGGTTCCATTTTGCCAACAAATTCGACAAAAAATGCAACAATCTCAAAATCGTCAAGCTGAAGGAATGGTGCAAGGAATGATGGAATTACAAATTTCAGAAGGTGATGGAATAGATGGAAGTGGAGTTGGTAAGGGATCTATTCCTTCAAGCATTACATCAACATCACAAGGAGGTGAACATCAATTGGGGGAGGGTAGATTGGGGGTACAAACTCCTTTACAACTTTTTCTTATGCAAGGTTCTTCACAAATGCAACAACAACATATGGGTGAAGGAATTACAAACCAACAAGTTGTGCCACCATGTATTCGACAACTACTAGCACTGTCACATCGTATGGGGAATTTGAATTTTTGACTAAAATTTTTTCAATTTCGGTGTGCCAGAAGACATATGCCCTAAAGACCTTTTGACCCAAAAGACCAACTTTTAAAAGGGAATATCGAGGGATTTGGAGGAATTAAGTGGATATCGTTGGATTATTTAAGGGGGTAGAGTTATAGTGCCTGAATTATGGTACACACCAACCAGAGGTGGGTCGAAATTCCAATTTCCATAAAAAAATTGATTTCTGATTTTCGACACCTCTGACTGTTCCAACCCACCTCTGTCTCACAATGCCGCACCATTGTATATGTCCAACAGAGAAAAATACTCAATTTGTATCTTTACTTTTTTAGATTATTTTGACAAGTTTAAGAATGATGACAAGTTTAAGAATGATGCAGGTCCGGAAGAATGATGCAGTTTTGGAAGAAGGAATGATTTTTGTTTGATAAATTTAAAAAATGATTTTTCTTTTATTTTTCTCATAAAGATGGTCCATTCTAATGGATGGATCGATAAAATTCAATTTTGTACCCCTTCTCTTTTTATTAAAATGATCAGACTTAAAAAATGAACATATTACAAACCTTAAACTATGTCCATTATAATTGGCATTATAAGGGGTTGGCATTATCCTCTATTGGCAGCATTATATGGGGGGGGGGGCAAAAAAAGAATTAATAATTAATCAGTGGTATATTTTAAAACATCGACACAAGCAGAAGACGACAAAACATCGACTCAGCCAAAATGTGACAATAAGCCTAAGTCTTTAAAAGATCGACAAGGCCTAAAGAGTCCAAAAGTCGATATTTGATAATTTCCCAATGGGCCAGTTATTCTGATTTTTGTTTTGATTAAATAAAATTTCGACTGTTATTGTAATACAGTCTGAATCTCGATAAGACATCTCGCTCGGAACAGAGAGAGATAGAGAGAGGAAAGGCGTAAATGGGGTAGTGATGTTTGAGAGTCAAAGAAAAGTCGAGATCGGGACTCTCGAAAAGCACAAAAATGTGGGTAGACGTAGTATCGAGACTCTCGACTTTAAAAACGACTAGTAAACAAAGAGAATGAAGATAGATTTTTTTCCTTTGCCTTTATTAAAAATTTATATATTTTATTCTATGGATGTTGGGGGTGGTTTGCACTGTATTGAATCGAAATGAACTGCTAGACGATCAAAACTATAATTAAATTTAAATTTTACTGGCAGAATTTTTAATGTTTTTACCTTAAAACATCGTTACGACGAAATTCAACAATCTGAATTAATAGAAAATTAAATCCACCGATATCCCTCCTATCAACTCCCCAATATCCCTCAATATCCACAGATGTCTTAAAGTCTCAATCTACCGAATCGACCACTATCAATCCCTAACCCATTAGAGTCTGAAAATTTCTACTTTTTTAACCTTAGATTTTCTATACTTAGTGGCAACCTAAGGAAAAACTATGAAACCCCGTCATTTGAACAATCAAAAAAACTGACCGAATCTCGAAATAGTTCACATATTTTTTGCTTAAAAATAAATTTTTTGATCAAAATGGTAAATTACTCTCTATTTACCTTGTCCTCCATTTGAATTAAATTTGCTGAACGACAACTTTCATAATGACAAGCAGCTAAGCATTGGGATGGACTGGAAAAAATTAATATTAAAAAATGCCCTTAAAAGTCGGGTCATCCAAAGTTCGCAAATATTTTTGTCCGCAAATTTGACTGTCCGCAAAAAATTTTTTATCCGCAAATTTTCGTCCGCAAATTCATTGTCCGCAAAATTTTTTGTCCGCAAAATTTTTTCCGTCCGCAATACTTAGTCCGCAAATGTCCAACAACCACAATCATATAGAAACGACTTACGTATCAACCAACAATCGTTTCAATAGCCTAGCACCATTAAACACAGTCTGATACAAAGCAGAAAACCGGCATTGCCCCACTGCTGGATATTCAAATAAATTTCCGTTTAGCAGACTTTCTCTTGTTCCCCCTTCAGTATAATTTAAGGTAGCATTGAATTCTGTTGGTTCTGTTGTTATATTATTTATTGTTGTTAGAGTTGAATTAATTAAAGATGAATTATTAATAGCTGTTGTTCCTGTTGGTGTTGTTTCCTTAAAAATTATTTTTTTTTGAAAGTATGACTAGTAGTGACTGGAAACCGGACCGGATTAATCCGGAGAAATCCGGCCGGATCCTGTCCGGCTCTAGATGCAAATCTGGAATCCGGGTCCGGAAAATCGATTTCACCGGTCATTAATGACTAGGCATCAGCATTGGGGAGCTTTTTGAGTTTTGTGGCTCATGCTTCGATATTTTTAAAATCTTGACTCCAACTCAAGAACTTCGGCACCAGCTCTAGGAGCTAAATTCCAAAGCCCTCCGACTCGAAAACGGCAACCCTAATAAGGATACATACTTGTGTACCACCATAAGCCCCCAGCCATGAACACAATACTTTCAATTAATTTTTTACCATTATTGAACTAGCTGTAGTTGCTGTTGTAGTATCAATTGTACTGGTACTGCTACCACTATTCTCATTTTTATTATGCAAATCCTCTTCTCTAGGCGGATCAGCTTGAGCTGCTGTAACTTTTATAGAAGTTCCTCTTCCTTTTTCTTCATTTTTTTCTTCTTCCTCCGCCTCTTCTTTTTCATCTCCCCCTTGATTAGCTTTGTTTTTACGCTTTTCTTCACCTTCAACATTTACTGTCTTCCAATTTTCTCCAATTTCTTCTAGTTCGGTAGGTTTTTCAATGCCTAAAAAAGTTGCTCTTAAGGCTTAAAAGGGGAGAAATCACCAAAAATGAGAAATCTTTTCAGGCCAAAGTCCAGCATAGGGTTTTTTGTTACCAGCGATGTCGGGGAGGCAAAAGAAAACAGGTGTAATCAGAAGTCAAAAAGATGAGGGGAAAAATAATGTGAGTAGGTCCCTGGGCCCAGTCCGGAAGATCGAGTCGGGCATCGAATTTTGACCCGAAAAAGACTCGGTCGGTTTGGACGACAAAAAGTAAACTCTAAAAAATGACCCCTGCTCGAAAATCCCGCAACCCTAAATGTGAGGTAAAACGGGGATCATTACCGATCGACCTCTGGTACTTATATATAAACTCACTAGGTATAGCTGTCTTTGTCTCAAGTTGTTCTTGTTGGTCATCTTCTTCCTCCTTTTCCTCCTTCAAATTTGTGGTTGCTACTGTTGTTGAAGTACTAATTAATTCTTTCTTGGAGTCAAACTTCTTAACTTTCTTATTTTTCTTTTTCTTCTTTTTTAAATCTTTATGTTGGTCTTCCTCTTTTAATTCATTTTTTGTTGTAATTGTTGTTTCTTCTGTTGTTGCATTTGTTGTTGTTGGAGTTGTTGTAATCGTGGAAGTTCTTCCTTTAGACAATTCTTTTGGACAATTAGTCTGGATATAATCAAAAAGAGCCTTTTCTGGAAAAATTAATTTAAAGATGAAGTCTCTTTTTTCCTAAAAATGTCAATAACTCTTCATGACCATAAAAGTATGTATAAAAGATCCACAGTTCATTTCCGAACCGAAAAATCCCTAGTCATGAACTCTTGACCTTTGGACATATCCACTACTGCCATCGACATTAGCGGATATGTCCAAGAGGAGAGCAGGCCAAGGCACCTCCGAGCTTCGTTAAAAATTATCGAATCCGGAATAGCTCGATTCAGCTCAACGAGGAGCATCTAGTCATACAAGGGCGACCCGGATTCGACAATTTTTAATAAAGTTATAGCTCCGCGGTACGTTAGGGGTTTACTATCCCTAGATTTTCGGAGAAAACTTATTGAAATTGGAACAAGTGACTACTGGGTCATATCCAGTACTGTGGCCCAAAATTGGAGGTCTACCCGTCCTAATCATAACTCAAAATCTGTGTGACTAGACGAGAAAACGATTAAAAAACAAAAGCAAACTTACTATCAACCCCACACCGAAAATCCAAATAGCTGCTTTGTTGTTCTCCATTTTGCCTACTATTTTCATCAAAACTGAAACGTTCTGGAGCCGAAACTCTATTTTCTCCAGAAATTAGACACGTTCCCGAATTTTTATAATATTGAGAAGATTTGCAGCCTCCTTCATTCTTCGATTCATTCCCCTCCAATAATTGTTTCCATTCAGCTATAGCGCATAAGCATTTGCACAGTTGGGGACTAACTTGTTGACGTGCTGCCAAAGCCATGCCTTCGAGTACATAGCCGGGTTGTTCCACAAAACAAGCATCGGATAGAGGAGTGGGAGAAGGGGAAGAAGACTGAGTGGAAGACGGTTGTCTGTCTAAATTGAAGGGAAAAATTAAAAAAAAAGAAGCAGTTCAAGCCCGACTCGGTTCAGTCGTGACCCTATAACTCATAAAAATGGTAGTCACTTTTTTATGTTCTTGGTACCAACGGATAGAGAATTAAATTCTCTACAACATAACAAAAAATCAAAATTTTCGAATCAATGTTAAAAAAGTTATGATCTAAAAACTATCATTTTTTAAAGAATGTGATCTTTCGGCACTTTATCGCTCATAACTTTTTTCTCAATCAATAGAAAAATTTGATTTTTTGGTATTTTGTAGCCTATTTAATTCTCTATCGAATGATACCAAGAACAATAAAAATCATCCTCCCCTTCATAAGTTAGAGGGCTCGGAACGGAATTGAGTTGTAACAAAAATAAGAAAAAAGCAAGAAAAATTCGTTCGACGAAAAGCAAAATTTTGCCCTATGTGACGAAACGAGTGTCTGCTAAAATAGATATTCTGAAATAAAAGGGGCATGAAAAATCAAAATGTCAACACTGCTTGAAGAAGTAATTAGAGAAGAAAAATAAAGAAAATAGAAAAAGGGTAGAGTAAAATAACAGCAAAAAGAGAAGAAAGAAAAGAGGCAGAAAGAAGGAAATAGTAAGGGAGATTTAATTAATTTTAAGGCAGCGGAACAACACGTCCAATAAATTTGTTTAAGTTAGCATATTTCAAACAACTTTTCAAGTTTCAGTATCCCTGGTTCCTCTGTATACGGACGAAGAAATCTTTCGCCTTTTACTAAAGATTTCCGTGCAGGGGGACGCTTATGGGTTTACCCTAATTTTTGGAAGCGCTTCTTTTAGAGGCGCGTATATTCAGCCGAAGATGTTTCCCACCTAGGTTTGTGGACGATTTTGAAGCATTGGTGAATGTTTTTGTTGTTAAACTGTCTGATTGATTTACTGAAGAAATTGTTGTCGACTTGAAGTAGTTTTCGCTAATATTTCCCTTTGTTGTTGATGTTTCTATGTTGTTGCTGCAAACATTCTCAACAAACTCCGCTGCTTTTTTGGAATGACAAAGGAAGCCAAAGTAGATCACCTTAAAAAATAATTTTGTAGAAAAGTCGCTTATATAGAGGGTTGATTAAATAGAGGTTTCTAGAAAAGTCGCTTCTACAGAGAGTCGCTTAAACAGAGGTTTTTAGAAAGTCGCTTATATAGAGAGTTGATTGAATGGAGGGTTTTAGAAAGTCGCTTATATAGAGTTGCTTAAATGGAGGGTTTTAATAAATAGTTCTCCAAATAACCTGTTGATCTGGTTCTGCAGTAAACTGCTCTGGGGCTGATTGACGATTTTGTAAATTAAGAACACAATCGCGTTCATCCCCAAAATAACTGACAGAAGCACATTGAAAAGGATAACGTGAATGTCTAAAAATAATAAAAACTTTGTTTTATAGAAATGTTTCTCTCACAATGAATTAGCACATAAACATTTGCACTGTTCTATAGAAACATTATGTTCCAAACTTGCAGTAGTAGTTCCATTCATTGAAAAACCAGAAATTCGTTCAAAACATTGTTGATTGTTTTTATCAACATCTATTACAACATTTATTGATGTTGTTTGTGTTGTTGTTAAAGTTTGTTGGACATTAATGTTTTTCTTTAAATTAATTTCTGGTTTGTTTAAATTAAATTCTGATTTGTTTGTTGCTTCAGAATTTTTGTTTAGATTAAATTCTGATTTGTTTAAATTAATTTTTGGGTTGTTTGCTGTATCAGAATTCTTGTTTGAATTAAATTCTGATTTGTTTGTTGCTTCAGAATTTTTGTTTAGATTAAATTCTGATTTGTTTGTTGCTTCAGAATTTTTGTTTAGATTTAATTCTGATTTGTTTGTTGCTTCAGAATTTTTGTTTAGATTAAATTCTGATTTGTTTGTTGCTTCAGAATTTTTGTTTAGATTAAATTCTGATTTGTTTGTTGCTTCAGAATTTTTGTTTAGATTAAATTCTGATTTGTTTGTTGCTTCAGAATTTTTGTTTAGATTAAATTCTGATTTGTTTAAATTAATTTCTGGGTTGTTTGCTGTATCAGAATTCTTGTTTGAATTAAATTCTGATTTGTTTAAATTAATTTCTGGGTTGTTTGCTGTATCAGAATTCTTGTTTGAATTAAATTCTGATTTGTTTGGTGTACCAGAATTTTCAGAATTTTTGTTTGAATTAATTTCTGGTTTGTTCGTTGTTAATTCTGATTTTAATAACATGTTTGTTGCTTCTGTTGACATTGTTGTGGTATTATTATTAAAGAAACCAACATCATTATTAAATTTTTGATGTTCGTTTGATTTGTTTTTACACATTTTTTCTGCTGTTTTTAACAAATCTGTTTAATTTAAAACATGTTTTAATAAAACAAAAATACAAACAAACATTTTTTCTCACAAGAAACATAATGGTAATCACTGCTTTTGTTGAAAACTAAATCTGATTTTCCGCTATGATCAGAACTTAATAATTCACATAAACCTTCTTCACGTCCAAAGTGCAAACTTTTACACTGTGCTTTTTCTTCAAGTTTCCAAGTGTTAGCACATGCACAACTTTAAAAATAAAATGATTTTTGCTTCAAGAATATTGATAAATTTTGAAAGAGAATTAGAAACTGAAGCAAAACATCCCAAATATTTTTAGAAACTGAAGCAAGTAGAAACTTATTTTTTAAAACAATTTTCAGAAGCAAAAAAATCTGTAGCACAATTTTTAAAAAATGTAGCTACTTTTCATTAAAAAATTCTTGCTTCTGCAAATTTTTTGCTTCAAAAATTAGAAACATTTGTTTTAATTCAGCTTCAGTTTCTAAAAATGTTTTGGGATTTTTTTTGCTTCAGAAAAATTTTTTGCTTCAGAAATCTGTTTCATGTTTTAAAAAAAAACCTTTGCTTCAAGTTTCAAAATTTAAATTTTCTTTCTTACCGACACTCATTCAAGCTCAATCCTCTTTTCATTCCAATGCTAATTTCATCATTTCCATAATTTTGTAAATTTCTATGCTGCATAAATTTGAAGCACACAATAGTTCCACTATTAGATTTTTCAAGTTTAGCAACATCCAGGGAGGGAAGGATTTTATTCTGATGAGTCTTTATTGCCTTGTCTTCCTCCTCATTTTCTGCTTCAGAGCTGATCCCCCCATTGTGATGAATTAATACAGAATGTAAATAACCTGTAGGAGGTTCTATCAATCTTCCATTAATTAGAATAGGTTCTTAAAAATTTTTAAAAAATTAAAAAAATTAAAAAAAAAATTTGTCCTCACCTTCATCATATTCTCCACCTTTCCAATATTCGCTTTCCTCTCTTCTTCTTTCATCAAATGTTGTAGCATTGTTTTTATTTAATTCTGATATGTTTTGATGTTTTTGTTGTTTGTTTTTAATGTTGTTCTGTTTTATTCCAAGCGGTGTTGAGATAACTCTTATTTGTTCATCTAAACATATTAGAATGTTTGTGTTGTGTTTGTGAATGTTTTCCGGAAAGTTTGTTTTTAATGTTTTATTTAGATGTTTCTGCTATGTTTGGGAATGTTTTCCGGAAAGTTGTTCGAAATGTTTTATTTAGATGTTTTTGCTGTGTTTGTGAGTGTTTTCCGGAATGTTTGATTTGTAATGTTTTATTTAGATGTTCAGAATTTTTAGAAACATTTAAGATGTTTTCCGGGAATTTGTTTAAAATGTTGTGTTTAGAATGTTTTTTGGAAGCTTGTTTCTAATGTTTTAAATGTTCATAATTTTTTAAAAACATTTAAAATGTTTCTATAGCTTCCGGAAAGTTGTTTAGAATGTTTTCCGGAAAGTTTGTTTTCAATGTTTATTTAAATGTTCGGAATTTTTTAAAAACATTTAAAATGTTTTCGGTAAAGATGCTTTGTTTCCTAAAGATTTTAATGTTTTTCCTATAAATTATTTTTAAAATGTTTATGTTTCCGCAATGTTCTAATATAATCTGAACATTTAATTTATCCAAAAACATGTTTTTCTTAACCTGGCTTCACTCTCGCTACAAATCCACCCGATTGAATAAGTATTTCTTTAACATTATTTTTATTAATTTTTGAAGCAGGAAAATTTGGTTTTGGTGGTTTTGAATCTTTTGCTATTTTTTGAATATTTTGTAGTTGTCTCTCCGTAGAATTTTGTGAAGGTTGATCACCACTTCCTCCTCCACCATTTCTGTTAGCTTCACCTAATAATTGTTCTAGTCTCTGTCGCATTTGAAAAAGCCTTTGAAGGACGTCGAGTGCGTGCTCATCCCCGGGAAAGAACAACTTCTAAAAATTTTTTAAATTGATTTTTAAATGTTGTTCCGGAAAGTTTGTAATGTTTTCCGGAAATGTTTTATAATGTTTAGATGTTTTTCCGGAATGTTTGTTAAATGTTTCCGGTAAAGTTTGATGTTGTGTTTTTGTTGGTTTTTTTATGTTTTAGATGTTTTTCCGGAAACTTGTAATGCTATCCGGAAAAGTTTAAATGTTTTTAAGTTTGTAATGTTTTTCATGTTTTCCGGAAATGTCATACAAACATTCCTTCAAAAATGTTTGTATGTTTTTATGGATGTTTGATGTTTTTCCGAATGTTTTTCTTTCCGGAAATGTCATACAAACATTCCAACATCTACAAAAACATGTTTGTATGTTTTTATGGATGTTTGATGTTTTTCCGGATGTTTTTCTTTCCGGAGAAGTTTAAAACATATGTTTTTGGCTATTAAACCTTCCCTTTTCTATCCCCCACCTTTTTATCCCTTAAAGACGATTTTTCTTCTTCATCATGAATCGGTGAAAATTCCAAAGATTGTTGTTGTTTTATGGTTGTTCTTTTAATTTCTTCCTTATTCAAAACATTTTCTGTAGGTATTGTTGTTGATGTTGTTGGTTGTTGACATATTTGAATACATGCAAGTAATGATAGGGCATCGGCACCGTCAGTTTTGAGATGAAAATAATTAAAACGTTGTTTGGACTGAAATTTGAGAGATTTAGTTGAATAATTAAACAAGGCCTGAGTTTAATTAAAAAATTAAAAGACCAATGAACATTGAATAGGCCTATTTGGAGAGAGAGCACAACTACGAACATCGTGGTTGTAAATCTAAAAGAATTAAAAATAATTTTTAAAAATTGAAAATATTTCTGACCGCTGATTGACAGAAAAAATGCCTCTGGCCGCATAGGGTGGCACAGTCTGCTGCTGAAGGAACGCCTTCCCTAAACGATTATAATTTATTTTGTTTGAGTTTGGAGGATTATGTGTTCAGAATATTCTGACAAACATTTATATTAGTGTGTTATGTTTTCCGGAAAATTGGCAATGTTTTCCGGAAGGATAAATAATTAAAAGGTAAGTTACAAGTTTTCCAAGTTTTTGAAATATTCTTCAAGTAAAGGTTTGTTTCCAGAAAACAAATAAACAATGTTTTCCGGAAAATATAAACTGATCGTTGTTTAAATGTTTTCCGGAAAGTTTTTTCTGAAACATTTCTAAAATGTTTCATGTTTAAATAAGTTTCCGGAAAAAAAGTGTTTTCCAAAATGTTTGTGTTTTTATAAATTCTGATAAGTTTTCCGGAAAGTTCTACAATGTTTTCCGGAAAATATAAACTAATAGGTATTAAATGTTTTTAGATGTTTTTAGGAAAGTCTAAGTTTGTCTAAAACATTACTGAAATGTTTCTGTTTAATTGTTTCCGGAAAAAGTAATGTTTTCCTCAACATTTGTTTTGAAACATTTCTGAAATGTTTCTGTTTAATTGTTTCCGGAAAAGGGATATTTTCTCCAGTGTTTGTTTGTGTTTTTCATAAATTCTGATATTTTACCAACTTTGTAAAATACAATTCCATTGTTCTGACTTGTCTTGAAGAAATTGCCTGAGCAAAAAATACAGGCATACAGGAAGCATTTATGGGAACAATAAAAAATTCCAAGAGAAAGTGAAGCAAAAATAAAGAAGTAGAAACACTTGTAGTTGAAAATGATAAAAACAAAGGTACAATTTCCGGAAGCATAATTAACAAAAAATTGAGAGAGTAGTTGTTGTTTATTCGTGCATATTTTTACTAAACAAAATGAGCGGGAAAATCGAAAAAAAGATAAATATAAAAAAAATATTTAAAAATTAAAGAAAAAATTGGGGCGACGGCGGTGAAAGTTTTGCGGGAAGAAAACAGGTAGCAAATACTACTATATAAAAGCAAATCACTATGAAGATAAATTATAATAAAGTGCATGTTTGGATTTAATTCTGAAATTTTTAATTAAAAAAAGAATCAGAACAAAATTTGAACAAATTAGTAAAACATGATGAGAAAAGAAAAAATCAGAATTTAATCATGTTTTCCGGAAAATTAAATAGATGTTTCTAGTTGTTTTCCGGATAGAAGCAGAAAAACATCAAAACATGAGAAATAAAAATAATTATAAAATCAGAAAAACATCAAAACATTAAATAAACATAAATAAAGAAAATCAGAAAAACATCAAATAAACATAATTAAAAAATCAGAAAAACATCAAACATTAAATAAAAAGCAAAACATGAGAAAAAAACATAATACATTAAAACTTAAACAAAAACATCAAAATATAAATCAGAATATAAATCAGAATAATCGATGTTCGAATTTAATTCTGAAAATTTTATGTAAATTAAATCAGAATAAAAACTTAAAGGGAAATAAAAACATGAATAAAAACAAATCAGAATTTAATAAAAACATTTCAATAAAAATCAGAAAAACACACAAACATCTCATTATTCAAACAAACATTTCGAAAAATCTAAAATCCACAAAAACTAATAAAAAAAGGCCGTTTTTATTTGATTTTAGTTTTGATTCCTCTTCCTTTTTACAGCTCAAAGAAGCTCAAATTGATTTTGTTCATTTATAAATCCTCTAAAGCCTTTTTCTCAATTTTCGATTTTAACTAAAAAAGGAAGGAGAAAACGTCGCAAAATGGCGAGAAAGAAATGAGGGCAATAAATATATTAAGAGATGGCGCCAAACAAATCCTTAATAAATTTATGTAGTATTTTTTAAATAAAAAATAACTGTGAAAACATTAAATAAAAACAAGAGCAGAAAAACAACATAACTGAGAAATAAAGTAATAAATACATAAAATCAGAAAAACAGCAAAACATAAAAAAGCAAAAACATGAAAAACAAGGGGAATAGAACATTGAAAAAAAAACAGAAAAACATCAAAACATAAAGATAAAAACAAAAACAGAAAACATCAAGTTTAAAAAATAGTATGTTTAAATGAAAAAAACATGAGAATAAACCAAAAAAACATCAGAATACGACAAATAAAACATAGAGCAACAAGCCAGAAAAACATCCAAACATGAAAAACACAACTAAAAAACATCAAAACATACGAAAATAATACAATTAAAATCAGAAAAACACGTTAATTTAAATCAGAACAAAAATATTTTAAACAAAACATCAGAACATTTACTCAAAACCAGAAAAACATCAACGCTTTTAAAAACAAAACATTTTTTATTAAATAAATGTCCTCTTCTTTTTTTTTTTGAATTTTCTTCTTTTTTAGGTTAATCTCAGATATATGTATTTGTTGTTTTTGTTTTTTAAATTACAAAAACAAAAAAAATGACCAAAAAGGACACAAAATAATTCAGCCATGAAAAAATAATAATTTAAAAAATATTAATTAAAAATGGGTGGTTTTTCGGGAACTCAGAAGAGGGAAAATGGAGGGTAAAATCAGAACAGCATCAAAACATGAGAAAAATAAACATCAAACATGAAACTTGGGAAAAACATTAAACAAAGAAAAAACCAGAACAAAATCAAAACATGAGTAATAAAACAACAAAGAAAAAACCAGAACAAAATCAAAACATGAGGAATAAAACAACAAAGAAAAAACCAGAACAAAATCAAAACATGAGGAATAAAACAACAAAGAAAAAACCAGAACAAAATCAAAACATGAGGAATAAAACAACAAAGAAAAAACCAGAACAAAATCAAAACATGAGGAATAAAACAACAAAGAAAAAACCAGAACAAAATCAAAACATGAGGAATAAAACAACAAAGAAAAAACCAGAACAAAATCAAAACATGAGGAATAAAACAACAAAGAAAAAACCAGAACAAAATCAAAACATGAGGAATAAAACAACAAAGAAAAAACCAGAACAAAATCAAAACATGAGGAATAAAACAACAAAGAAAAAACCAGAACAAAATCAAAACATGAGGAATAAAACAACAAAGAAAAAACCAGAACAAAATCAAAACATGAGGAATAAAACAACAAAGAAAAAACCAGAACAAAATCAAAACATGAGGAATAAAACAACAAAGAAAAAACCAGAACAAAATCAAAACATGAGGAATAAAACAACAAAGAAAAAACCAGAACAAAATCAAAACATGAGTAATAAAACAACAAAGAAAAAACCAGAACAAAATCAAAACATGAGGAATAAAACAACAAAGAAAAAACCAGAACAAAATCAAAACATGAGGAATAAAACAACAAAGAAAAAACCAGAACAAAATCAAAACATGAGGAATAAAACAACAACTAAAAACCAGAACAAAATCAAAACATGAGGAATAAAACAACAACTAAAAACCAGAACAAAATCAAAACATGAGGAATAAAACAACAAAGAAAAAACCAGAACAAAATCAAAACATGAGGAATAAAACAACAAAGAAAAAACCAGAACAAAATCAAAACATGAGGAATAAAACAACAAAGAAAAAACCAGAACAAAATCAAAACATGAGGAATAAAACAACAAAGAAAAAACCAGAACAAAATCAAAACATGAGGAATAAAACAACAAAGAAAAAACCAGAACAAAATCAAAACATGAGTAATAAAACAACAAAGAAAAAACCAGAACAAAATCAAAACATGAGGAATAAAACAACAAAGAAAAAACCAGAACAAAATCAAAACATGAGGAATAAAACAACAACTAAAAACCAGAACAAAATCAAAACATGAGGAATAAAACAACAACTAAAAACCAGAACAAAATCAAAACATGAGTAATAAAACAACAAAGAAAAAACCAGAACAAAATCAAAACATGAGGAATAAAACAACAAAGAAAAAACCAGAACAAAATCAAAACATGAGGAATAAAACAACAAAGAAAAAACCAGAACAAAATCAAAACATGAGGAATAAAACAACAAAGAAAAAACCAGAACAAAATCAAAACATGAGGAATAAAACAACAAAGAAAAAACCAGAACAAAATCAAAACATGAGGAATAAAACAACAAAGAAAAAACCAGAACAAAATCAAAACATGAGGAATAAAACAACAAAGAAAAAACCAGAACAAAATCAAAACATGAGGAATAAAACAACAACTAAAAACCAGAACAAAACATGAACATGATATTATATACACAAACACGATAAAATATACTTCAAAACCAGAAAAACATAAAACACGAGAAAAACAGAAAAACGTCGAACATACAGTAAAATTTAAAGAAAAGTAAAAAGAGCTGCTCTGAAATGGCCGGCATTATTTGTTAGCTTTAATTCGGAAAATGTTAAAGTGTCAACTAGTTGTTATTTTGTCGATTACTCAAAAAATGAGAATTTTAGGCTTTGTTTGGGATTTGATTCTGTTTAAGCTTGCTTTTTCATTTTATCTTTTTACTGATTTGGAGGGTTTTTGAACCGATTAGGGATCAAATGTCCTTTTTTAATTAAAATATTTTTTAATTTTTTAGACTAATTTATTTCAACTAATGCACAACTTCTAAAATTAAATGCAAGCCCAAAAGAAAATTACCGAATATTTTTCTGTTCGGCGAAGTACTCGAAGGCAGGGGAAACAAATACAGGTTTTTATTAGATTTTTTGTGGTAATCGTGGGTTATTTAGCGGACTCATAATCATAATGGTCAGGGCGTTCATACTTTCTTTTCTCGACTCAATGAATTCGAGGAAGTTTTTTGCGGATGTTTTGTGGGATACTTTTTGCGGACTTATTTTGCGGACACTTTGCGGATAATTTTTGCGGACAATATTTTGCGGACACCTTTTGAGGACACTTTGCGGATAATTTTTGCGGACATATTTTTGCGGACATATTTTGCGGACATATTTTGCAGACATATTTTGCGGACACTTTGCGGATAATTTTTGCGGACAATATTTTGCGGACACCTTTTGAGGACACTTTGCGGATAATTTTTGCGGACATATTTTTGCGGACATATTTTGCGGACACCTTTTGAGGACACTTTGCGGACATATTTTGCAGACATATTTTGCGGACATTTTTTGCGGACATTTGAGGGAACGGAAGTTCAAACGATTTTATCCTTCTATCTGACCATTATGAGTCCGCAAAAGCCACAAGTACCATTTTCCTTTAAATTCTCACAATTTTTTTCAATTTAGGAAGAAAAAATGGCCAATCTTCACAAAATCATTCAAACGTGTTCAAACGAAAAGTTTTTGGAAATTTATGTTTGTGAGGAGAAAGGAAGGGGGATAAAGTCTAAAAAATGTTTTGCTAAAGGAGAATTTGTTGTGGAATATAAAGGTTTTTTTTGGGAAATTTTGAGGGGTTTTTTGTTAATTTTCTAGGGGTCCCAGAGTTGCTTTTTTTTAATTTTTCGATGCCATAAATCGATTTTGGTCGAGGCTTAAACATTTTTTGAATTTCTTGCTTTTCCCTAGTCTATCCCAATCTCTTGCTTATATCAATAGCTTATAAAATTAATCTAAGCCCAGCTTTGGACAATTTTTGCGGATATTTTTTGCGGACATTTGGAGAAACGGGAGCTAGTCTTCTAAATCGCCTAATTTATTACTAAATCTCTAATGTCCATTTCTCCTATTAAATTTATTTTTTGATAATTTTAATCTTCTCCATAAATTTAAGGTGAAATAATCAATTCAAAAATTGCTCGGATTCGAGAAGAGGAATACTCTTTAAACGAAAATATTGGTTCTTACATGTATTATTTTAAACATCAAGGAATTCTTTATTGTGTGGATGCTACACAGGAAACAAAATATAAAGGACGGCTAATTAATCACAGCGCTTTAAGGCCGAATTTGAGAACACGAGTTTGCTTTTAGATTTTTAGACCTCACTGTCGGGACAAGCAGAAGTGGGTTGGATTTCCAACTTCCGACGTTTTTTCCTTCCGATTTCCGAAAAAAATTTGATTTCAGAGTTCCGATTTTCGGCTCTTCCGATTTCCGAAACCTCTGACTGTTTCGACCCACCTTTGGGGACAAGTAACCCGGTTGGCCCAGAAGTTCAGTTGGTTTCTAAGTTCCGACACAAAGTCTAATCTCTCGATGATCGTCTTACTCGGGATCGGGGACTGACTGTCTTCTTGGCTTTTTTTGGACTCTTCCAATTTTTAAAACTCAACCACTCCCAAAGGCTTAAACTTTGAACGGCCATAACTCGGCCCAAAGTCATTTTTCAAGAAAACGGATATAATTTCGCAATAGGAAATCGGGGGTCCCCTATCGAATGGTACCAAAAAATATAGCAAATTCATGGTGACAGTAAACGATGGTCCCTTGTCAGCGTGTTTCCCCGTTTACTTTTCCCCGTTTTATTATTATAGAGTCAATTATTTAAAATGAAAATTTAAAATTTTCAGGTTATCGACTTTGGCTCATCTTTCCATTTAATTCTTGTTGCAAAAAGAGATATAAATATTGGAGAAGAATTGCTTTATGACTATGGAGAACGAAGAACTGAAGTTATTGCAAAGAATCCGTGGCTTTTAAAATCATAGAAGAAAATTTGAAGAAAAAGCGATGGCTTTTCTCTTATAAAATACACACACGTTAGTTTTTTCATTTATTTTTCCAATGCTTTAAAATTTTGAAAATATTTTTTTTTTCAAATTTTAATTTTAAGAAAGTGTATTCTCTCCCATCTATCTTCTTTTAGCAAAATAACCAGTGCTTTCCCGTTCTCTAAAAAATTTTTTTCTATCGCTTTTTTTGATTACACCAAATTTTTTTCGGTTCCATTTCCGCATGCTTCAAAGAATTTTGGTAGTTCACAGTTCCTCTAAAATGGTTACTATTGTGTTATCTGCCCCAAATTCCTTTTTTACGAATTTAATCGGCTATGACTTTTTTATGCTTGCTCCAGTCCGGATGATTCTTATATCATTCGAAAGCTCTCGATAAGCGCTATCTTCTTCTCATATAGAAAAATGGGGGTGGATAACACAAGAGTACTCTAAATTGTCTCGGAACTCCGGTTTCATTCCAAAAATCTTGGGAAAGTTCTGGTAGTAACCAAGCATTAGCCAGTGCTTTCCAAAGAATCCATGACTTTTAAGTCACCAAAAAAATTTTTTGATTCCAAAATCCCGAAAGTTTTTCTTTTCCAATTCCGGAAATTTCCAAGAATTTTGGGGGTCTACAATTCCTAGAAATTATTTCGAAACCGTCGGGTTTCCGAAAACCTGGAAAAGCACTGGCAAAAATAACCATAAAGCCTACCAATTTGAAAATAGTGCCAAAATAATAGCTCATTTGTGCCTAACACCTTAATTTATTTATTTTTAACCTTAATTTATTTTGTGTGTCTTTCAAATAAAATTTAAAAAATGTTTCCTTATTTTTTTTGGGAAAACAAAAGATAATTTTTTCGATGTTTATTTTAGGCTTCTGAAAGAGGTTTATTGACTAGTTTCCCCATAAATGGATACGTGTGACTTAGCAAAAAAAAAACTGCCAGAACTCGTGCAATAAATTCAATGGCCAAATTCCCCCCATTAGATCAGCTAGAAGAGAGAAAATGTAAAATAAAAGAATTTTTGTACTGTCGCAGGATCGACGCCTGCTCGGAGCTACGCTTTCCCCTCTTAGTGCTCTGATACTAAATTAAAGAAAATTATTTTCTTTTAAATTTATTCTTAATTATTATTAATTAATCGGCAAGATTATTATTTTTATTATTATTAGACCAATCCGGGTTCAAAACATCCATTTCACTCAACGGCCTCCAAATCGGGTCCTTTATATTAAACAAAAATCCGCTCTGATAAGTCGAAGTTTTGTTTTCTTCTTTATTCCCTCCTTTAACATCCCCTCCAACCGATTTTCTTCTTGGTGGATTGTTTGGATTGTTCTCTTGGGAAACGACACTGTTTGAACTACTCAAACTCTTTTCGTTTCCGCTACAAATGTTGCAAGTTAAATCGGGAGGTAGTGCAACAAGCATTTCTCCTGTAAATATAAAATTACAATTTCCGGAAAATAAATCAGAATTTGTAATTTTCCGGAAAGAATTTGTAAAAATAATTATTAAACAATTTTTACAACCGGAAAGAATTTGTCAGAATTTGTAATTATTATTTATAATTTTCCGGAAAAAATTAAATCAGAATTTGTAAATTTTCCGGAAAGAATTTGCAAAACTAATTCTGAAAAAAATTACAACCGGAAAGAGTTGTCAGAATTTGTAATTATCCTTTGCAATTATTCCGGAAAATAGCAAACAGAATTTGTAATTATCGAAAATAATTACAATATCCGGAAAGAATTATCAGAATTTGTAAAAATAAATCTGAGAGTTTACAACCGGAAAGTTGTCAGAATTTGTAATTTTCCGGAAAGAATTTACAATTTCCGGAAAATAAATCAGAATTTGTAAAAATAATTCTGAAAGAATTTACAACCGGAGAGTTGTCCTTTACAATTTTCCGGAAAGAATTAAATCAGAATTTGTAATTTTCCGGAATTTGTAAAAATAATTCTGAAATAATTTTTACATCCGGAAAGAATTTGTAATTATAAAATCAGAATTTCAATTTACAATTTTCCGGAAAGTAGCAAATAGAATTTGTAATTTTCCGGAAAGAATTAAATCAGAATTTGTAGTAAGTTAAAAAAATCAGAATTTTTTAAATATTTTCGATTTACAATTTTCCGGAAAGAGAAAATCAGAATTTCTAAATTACAATTTTGCTAAAAAAAGCAAATCAGAATTTGGGATAACTTGTTTTTTTCTGAAACTATTAATTTTACAATTGTAATTTATAAATTGCTAACCAGCCCAGTGAAATTAAAGTTTTTCCATTAAGGTATTAAAATAAATAAGAAATTTCTCACCTAAATCTAAACTTTTTCTTCCTCTGTAAATCCTTAAAAGTCTTTCTCTATATTCTTTTACAAGTTTTGAAATTAATTTTTCAATTTTATTCTCATTATCATCATCACTTTTATTTGAAGTATTAAATAATGAAGCTGATTGAGCTGCTAATTGTTCAAAATCTTCATCAATGTCGCCTATAATATATTATTGCTTTTGTTTTGTGTTTTATTTCTGTTTGGTTTTGTTTTCAATGTTTTCGTATTTTTAATGTTTTTCTGTTTTTGTTTAATGATTTACAATTCGATTTTAAATGTTTATTTAAAATTCTGATTTGTTGTTTGTTTGTTTAAAATTCTGGTAAAAAAATGTTTGTTTGAAATTCTGGTTTCTGTTTTTGTTTAATGATTTACAATTCGATTTTAAATGTTTGTTTAAAATTCTGATTTATTGTATGTATGTTTGCTTGCTTTATGTTTGTTTAAAATTCTGGTCAAAAAATGTTCGTTTGGAATTCTGATTTGTTGTATGTATGTTTGTTTGCTTTATGTTTATTTAAAATTCTGGTTGAGAAATGTTCGTTTGAAATTCTGGTTTTTATGGCCTTTCCTAATTAATGTTTTATTTTTTAACGTTGTTTTTGTTCAATGCTTTGTTTAAATTCAATTTTAAATGTTCGTTTAAAATTCTGGTTTTATTTCTAATGTTTTTTTTTGTTTTAGATTTTTCCCTTACGTTTTTCATGTTCCTCCTCCTCTTCTTCATCTGCCCATTCAGGTATTTCACTTTCTTCAGCGCTAGTTTCCTCCGTTTCACTATATTTATTTGAAACATTGTTTCTCTTATTGTTGTTGCTTTTGTTGTCTTCATCATCTAAATGATCAGAAGAATTTTTCCTCCAATTTTGTTGTTGTTGTCCTCCGTCTTCCTCACTTGTAGTAGAAGTATTTCTCAACTGATCGTTTCTCTTAAAATGTTTTGGTGGTTGATTGCGATTAATACTAGAAGTCATTACCGCCTCTCCCAAACTTGAACTACTAGAAACAGAAAGAAACATTTCTCTTGTTGAATCACAAACATTCTTCAAAACATGAATGTTTTCCTTGTTTGAAATTTTTGTTTTGTTGGATGTTTTGTTGTTTTTATTGTTGTTTTGGTTGTTGTTGTTTTGTTGTTTTTCATTTTCAAAAACATCCTCTTCCTGTTGTTGTTCTTGTTGTTTTAATATATATTTTTCTTTTGTTTTTACTTTTCTCTGATGTTGTTGTGGTAGCCTTTTCTCAACATTTAAAACAATGTTGTTGTTGTTCTTGTTTTGATGTTTTTCTATGTTTGTTGTATCAACAAAACTTTTTTTCTTTATTCTGTTTATAATTGTTGCTTCTTTATTATTTAATACGTGTGGTTGTTGGCTGTTTTGTTGTTGGTTGTTTTGTTGTTGGTTGTTTTGTTGGGTGTTTTGTTGGTTGTTTTGTTGGTTGTTTTGTTGGGTGTTTTGTTGGATGTTTTGTTGGATGTTTTGTTGGTTGTTTTGTTGGATGTTTTGTTGTTGTTGTTGTTCTGTTTTTATGTTTGTTGTGTCAACAACATTTATTAAATCAACTAATGGCAGTTGTTGTGAAACTTTAATTGTTGTTGTTGTTGTAGAAGTGTTTTCTCTTCTGTTGTTTTCTCTTCTCAAAAATGGCCAAACATAGGAAAACACTCTTAGCACAAAATTTAAAGTATGCCAAAATATTTTTTGAATAATTCCAGCATCAGACGAGATTTTTCTAAATTCTCTTCTATAAAAATCTCCAACTTCTACCCCAATATCCTCAACTTGAGAAACTTTTTGGTCATCTGTATCGTTTAAATTAAACACTAATTTTTGTTGCCCTTGCAAAAATTGTTGTTTATAAGCACATAAGACTACACGATCTCCTTCCAAGTAAGCACAAGATATCATGCATATAAGGCAAAACCTGTAACAAAAAAATTTTTCGAACAGAAAAAAAAATTTTTTTACATTAATGCAAGCACACAAGTTTGATACATAAGTGCTTCAAAAGGAGGGCGAGGTAATGCAGAATGACACATTGAAAGTAAATGTTTTGGAACAACAGCAGCCAAATTATATGACCAAGGGGTACCGTTCATATGCATAAAAACTTGAAGTGTTGCTTCATTGATGGAAAATAAAAAGTCAGGAGTATAACTTTAAAAAAGTGAAAAACATTAAAAATAGCAGGCAAAGGTAAATAAAGAAATAAAAAACATTAAACAAACAGAAAATAAAAGAGGGCAAATATTAAAAGAAACAAACATAAAAACAAGAATAAAAACATCAAAACACAAAAATTTCAACAAACAGTAAAACAAAATATAATAAGCATGAGATATAAACAAAACATCAAAACAATAAACAAAACACTGAAGACATTAAAAAGAAGGAAAACAAATCAGACTATCAACAAAAACATTCACAACAAGAAGAAAACATTTCAGAATTTATACAAAATCAAAACCAGAATTAAGAAAAAACAAACACCAGAATATGAAACAAACATCATGTTTTGACAAAAAAACAGCAAAACATTAAACAACGTGAAAAACAATTATTGCAACAAACATTAAAACCAAACAAAACATCCAAAACATAAATGTTCGTAACAAACATTAAAAACAAACAAAACATCCAAAACATAAATGTTCGTAACAAACATTAAAACCAAACAAAACATCCAAAACATAAATGTTCGTAATAAACATTAAAACCAAACAAAACAATAAAACTAGAATATAAACATCACAAAATAGAAACAAAAACAGAAAAACATTCAAGAAAAACATAATGAGAAAAACATTGAATTTAAAAACACACAAAAACAAAAAATGTTTTTACCAAACTTACGAAATATCTAAATAAGATGTTTCATTCGGTTCCAACCTTGAATAATTAAAAAACATGTTTTTATGTTTGTTTGTTTAATTATAAAAATTACCTAAACTTGTCACAATTCAAAACACGAAAACCGCGATTTTCACAAGGAGCGCCACTTATTGAAATATTCACAACACTGAATCCTACCTAATTTTTAAGAGGGAAATATTTTTATTTTTATTTAATTTTTACTCATTTTTTAAACCTTACTTCTCCATTATTATAAACAGCAAAGGAACGTCTAACAGTTAATGTTGTAGGCATTCTATGCAATTGACGACGAGGATTTGCACAATCATCCAAATGTTTAGGTTCAAGTTCAAAAAGTAAAGGTTGTGAATTTGCAGATTTATCGTCAATAGCCATGTTTCTTTAGAAAAATTAATTTTTTAATGAGAGGAAAAAATTAAAATTGTGTGTTACATTCGCGCGCCACGTCCATAGAGAATAATGGGTTCTGAAAAAAATATATAAATTAATTTGTAATTCTGATTTTTTTTATTAATTCTGATTTTTATTATAATTCTGATTTTTTTATTTTTAACGATCTTTACAATTATTGAATAGTTAAAATTTCCGGAAGGAAATAAAAATCAGAATTTGCAATTTTTCGGGAAACTAACAAAATGTTTTTACAATTGTAAATAGAACTTTCCGGAAAGACTCAAAATTAATTCTGATTTTTTTACAATTATTGAATATTTACAACTTTCCGGAAGGAAATAAAAATCAGAATTTCCAACTTTTCCGGAAACTAAAACTAAAGTATTTCACAATTGTAGATTATTTACAATTCATAAACATTTCCGGAAATTAATTTCTCCCGGAAAAGTGTAATTTCATTAGCACAAATGTTTTTACAATTTATCTTTTCCGGAAAAAAAATTAGAAAAGAATTAATTTTTTTACAATTGTAAATAGAACTTTCCGGAAAAATAAGATTAGGGTAAATAGAGTATTCCTTCCGGAAATATTATATTATTTTTTATTCTTTCCGGAAAAAATTTATTCTTTCTGGAAACAAAACAAAAAGAATTCTGATTTTACAATTGTAAATAGAACTTTCCGGAAAAATAATAGTAATGTAAATAGAGTATTCTTTCCGGAAATATTATATTCTTTTTTATATTCTTTCCGGAAAGAAAATTAAAACAAAAATTAATTCTGATTTTTACAAATGTAAATAGAATATTTACAAATTCAACCTCTTCCGGAAAACTATCAAAATTAATATATGGAATAAAAAAAACCCTACCTATAACAGTAAGATTGTTTCTTATAATCATCATAGAAGAACGAAGTGAATAATCTGAAGGTAGAAAGCCAATACGAACACGGGCACTCATTCCAGGGCGAAGCAGCATAGTTAAAGTAAATCGAGGAACTGGGCCTAAAAATATTTTTTGAAAAAATTTCCTAGTTAAGAGACACCTTCAATAATTTTTTCAACTTCTTCACGAAGCTTTGGAGTCTAAAAATAAAATAAAAAAAAAATTTTTATAAAAAATTTCTTTTAAATTTTACCGGACTTCCAGGCCTAAGAGTAAACAATTCTGTATCACGCAAAGAAAACATTAATGTTTCATTCAGTTCTATTGGATTAATTAGTGGTGGTATTGACAATTCATCGCTTAAAATATCAAGCAAACTATCAGAATCAGGATAAATAACCAAAGGAAGTATTTGTATTATTATTGGTGACTGAAAATATTAATGAGGGTTTTACAATTGTAATATAACAGAAATTTATAATTTTCCGGAAAGAAAAAGAAAATCAGAATTTATCAGAATAAAGAGGAAAGGTATTTGTAATGTGTAAAATCAGAATTTGTAATTTTCCGGAAGAAATAATTTTCCGTTTGTAAAATTCTGATTTTTGGTTAAACAATAAATTACAATTGTAAAAATTACAAGTTTTCAGGAAAAAATAAAAATCAGAATCTTACAACTTTCCGGAACAAAATTCTGATATATTTTAGGATTGTAAATTTCTGATTTTAAATATGAAATAAACTTTCCGGAAGGAATTACATACAATTTACCGTACTAAGAGGACAGAATTTTTAAATTATTTGTAAAATCAGAAATTGTAATTTTCAGAAAAAAAAAAGAATACATTACACAATTTCTGATTTTCCTCCTTGCAAAGAATTGTAAATTACTCTGAAAATTGTAATTCTGAAATCAGAATTTGTAATTTTATTGAAGGAAATGAAAATTACAATTTTCCGGAAAGCGATAAAATCAGAATTTGTAATTTCCGGAAAGAAAAAAAATAAATTACAATTCTTGAAAATGCAGGAAATAGAAAATTCTGATTATTTTTCGGATTGTAAATTCTGATTTTTGGTTGAGTAAAAAATTGTAATTGTCGAATTACAATTATCCGGAAAGCGATAAAATCAGAATTTGTAATTTCCGGAAATAATTTAAAATTATTAATACCTTCCGGAAAATAAATATAAAATCAGAATTTGTAAAATTTGTAAAATTATTTGTGAAATCTGAATTGTATTTTACAGAAAAATCTGAATTTACACCTTCCGGAAATAATTTACAATTACAATAATTACAATAAAATTTTAATAAATATAAACTCTTACCGTTGTTGGATTTGATATTGTCAAATTAACAATACTAAAATTGCCAACTGCAGTTAATGGAAAATGGACAGTTGGATTACTAAATAATTTAGGCCAAATCTGCCAAATTTAAAAAATTTTTTTTAATTTAAAAAATTTTTTTTTACAAGGTTTGCTTCTATAGGAATTTCAAATCCTTTAATTTTGTCAGTATCCACTTTTACTGTTGTTTGTATTTTCTTTCCTTCTAAAGCTAGCCATTTACGTCTCAATCTGGAGAATAAATAATGATCAATTTCTGCCAAGTTTTGAGGGAGTTTCATTCCATAAGAGAACCATTGTCCATCAGGGGAATTTAAAGGAATTCCTAAAAATGAGATATATTAATTTTTATTAGACATCAGAAAATTGTAAAATTTAAAAATTGTAAATCTTTGTTTCTTTCCGAAAAATTACAAAAAATTTGATTTTATAGTTATTTTCCGGAAAGAAATTAAAATTTTTCCGTAAATAATAAACAAAATGTAAAAATCCTTTCAGGAAAAGTAAATTTTCCTAAAAGAAAAATTGGTACAATTTTCCGGAAAAAATTTACATTTGTAAATTCTGATTTTATATTGTTTTTCCAGAAAATTACAAATTCTGTTTTTAAATAATTGTTGGTTATTTCCTTTCCGGAAGATTACGAATTCTTTTTATTTTTTCCGGAAAAAATCTGAAATTTGTGTAATTATTTCCGGAAAATTACAAAATTACAAATTCTGATTTTTACAAATTACAAAATTACAAATTCTGATTTTTACAAATTACAAAATTACAAATTCTGATTTTTACAAATTACAAAATTACAAATTCTGATTTTTACAAATTACAAAATTACAAATTCTGATTTTTACAAATTACAAAATTACAAATTCTGATTTTTACAAATTACAAAATTACAAATTCTGATTTTTACAAATTACAAAATTACAAATTCTGATTTTTACAAATTGTAAAATTACAAATTCTGATTTTTACAAATTACAAAATTACAAATTCTGATTTTTACAAATTGTAAAATTACAAATTCTGATTTTTACAAATTACAAAATTACAAATTCTGATTTTTACAAATTACAAAATTACAAATTCTGATTTTTACAAATTACAAAATTACAAATTCTGATTTTTACAAATTACAAATTCTGATTTTTACAAATTACAAAATTACAAATTCTGATTTTTACAAATTACAAAATTACAAATTCTGATTTTTACAAATTGTAAAATTTCAAAATAATTTCCTACCCAAATAACAATCTTGTGGACAAGAAGCTTCTGGAACAAAACTTATGTTTGCCAAATTTTTAGCTATCCAAGGTTTAAGTTTAGAATTGTGAATAAAAGTTTTGTTGACCATTGATAAGGAAAAACGAGGATCTTTATTTAGGAATGAAACACGAAGAATTTGAAGAGGCAAAGTAGTGCTCATAAGCTGAAAGACAAAATATAGGTATAATTGTAAATTCTGATTTTTAAAAATCAATACGGAATTGTAAAATTCTGATTTTATTTTTTAGGAAAATTACAAATTCTGATTTTGTAATTATTTTCCGAAAAATTGGTAAATTTGTTAAATTTTTTCTGATTCCTTCCGGAATTGTAAATTCTAATTTTCTTTCCGGAAAATTACAAGTTCTGATTTTAAGGAATTTTAATTCCAGATTTATTTCCTTCCGGAATTGTAAAATTATTTTTGGTTTTTTTTTCCGGAAAGTTGTAATTGTGTAAATTCTCATTTTCTTTCCGAAACCGATAAACTCTTTTTATATAGTTTCCGGAAAAGTGCAAATTCTGATTTCAAAAATATTTTCCGGAAAAGTAAAATTCTGATTTTTATTTGTTTTCCGGAAAGTTGTAATTGTAAATTCTCATTTTCTTTCCGGAAACTTATTTATTTTTCCGGAAAATTACAAATTCTGATTTTATATTTATATTTTCCGGAATTGTAAAATTCTGATTTCTATTTGTTTTCCGGAAGGTTGTTTCCACTATACATTATACTTTCCGGAAAGAACAATTAATTAATATTTTACAAACTTACAATTAACGATTTAATATAAACACCCCCAACAAAACCTTCATTAAACACAATTTTATTTGGTATACTATAAAGTGAAGTTGAATTTGTAATTTCAAAATAAATTGGAAAATTGTATAAAGAAAATGTTGTTTGAATAAAAAATAAATTTTCTTCTGTTGAAGAAGGATTAGTTGATTTTTCAAAATTAGTACATTGTTGTTGTAAACAGTTAAAATTTAGGGTTAATTTAAATAGAGCAGAAGAATTTGAAGGAATTAAAAAATTAGAAAGCTTAAAAAAAAAAATTATTTTTTTTTAATTTTCAAAAAAATGCTATAAAAAATGCTAAAAAATGCCCAAAATTAGGTAAAAATAAATTTTTTTAAAGGTGCATTTTTTTGAAATTTAGGCTGGTCTCTGGGTGGGGAATAGACACCTAACAAAGGAGAGTGCCTGGAGTGTCCGCGGGACTTCGGTGTGAAATTTAGTAGACAGGTAAACTCCTCTATTTAAAATTGATGACCGGTTAATTTTCGCCTGTGGCGTTCCAATGGGGAATTTTAAAGGAATTTGAGTCGCTACAGTCGTTAATTCGTTAATTATTCGTCAATTGAAGGAATTAAAAAAGTAAAAGGCTTAAAGAAATTTTTTTAATTTTTCAATTTAATTTTTAATACAGTCAAACCCTCATTTTATACACCCAAAATTAGGTAAACATTAATTTTTTAAAGAAGCATTTTTTCTTAATTTAGGTTGGTCTTTAGCAGAGGTGGGGGTCGGAACAGTCAAAGGTGTCTGAAGTCAAAAAATTCCAACCCACCACTGGTCTCTGGGTGGGGAATTCACCCTAAGCGACACCCCTTTATTTAAGGTTGATGACCGGTTAATTTCCGCCTGTGGCGGTTCCAATGGGGAATTTTAAAGGCATTTGAGCCGCTACATGAGCTAATTAACCCGGACACCAAAAACTAAAGAAATTATATTTTTAATAATTTAAAATTGAAAAATACATTTTTGATTTGTTGTTTTGGCATTTTTTTATTGTTATAATGTTGAGATTCAAAAGTTAAATTAGTAAATTCAATAAATTGTAAAGTTATAAAATTGTTCAAATTTATTGGAAAATTTAATTTAAGCACTTCAATAGGAATTGGGTTTGGGTTAAATAAAGTAAACTTGAAAAAAAGGGAGAAAATTAATTTTTGTAAGAAAAAATTATCTAAAAAATTGTAATTAGGATTGGCAGATCTAGATCCAAAAAAAAGTTGGGATATCTAGCAAATTTTAAATTCGGGTCCTGAAAAGGCAAAAAATTTCCCCGAACCTCTTAACAAAAATCTTCTGTTAAATTACCTTTTCCGTTTTCTATCTTATTTCCTGTCATTCTAATAATCCTGAAATTTTCGTCTACAGCGCTAAACAACCCTAGCCCATTATTGAATTTAAATATTTAAAATTAAATACAATGGTGGTGGACTCGCCAAAAAAACTATTCCTGAGACCCTTCCGTCATAAGCTAAAATTTGGGATCTGGGAAAAACCTTTTTAAAGACTTCCTAGGTTTGCCAAGGATCCGCCAACTTTAAAATTAAAAAAATTTTAATTAAAAAAATACCAAAATAGAACGATTCTCTCCCTTTTTTAAAAGACCAAAATTAAAAATATTTTGCTCAATAGAATGTAAAGTGATCTAAAATTTATAAAAAAAATTAATTTTTACTAAAATTAAAAATACTAACATTAATTTCTCCATTAAATATATACAAAGGCAATTGAAAATTTGTGAGATTTGTGTTGATAATAATATGCGATGAAGAAAAATTAGTTGGTGAAGGAATGAAATTTTTAAATAAAATTATTAGAGAAGGCAAAGATTGGCCGGGAGAAAGAATTATAGGCGATTCGATAAGAAAAATCTGTAAAAAAAATTTTAAATTAAAAAAATAGAGTTCGAGCCCAGACCGGGCCCGTAATTGGGCTGGACCCGGAAACCCATGCCCGGGTCCAGAAATTATTAAAAACCCGGAATCCATGACAAGCCGGGCCCGGCACATGGGTTTTTCAAATTCAAGTTTAAACCCAGGTCACCTGGAAAAGCGTTTCACAGGGCCTGGTAGCTTGGAAACCGAATATTTTGATAAAATCCGATTTTTCGGGGCTTTTGTGGTTTCGGTAATTTACACGAAACTAGAGTTGAGCTGGTCTGGACCAAAGCCTGGGTTTTTCCTGGACTGGGTTTTTCCTGCTACAGGCCCAGGATCCGGCTCAGGTCAATAAATCAAATCCAGAAAACGGCCCAAACTTTTCAAAAACCCCGATCTCTAATGAAAAACCCCGGTCTGGGCAGTTTGGAAAAAATTCGGTTACCGGGCCTAGCAATGTGAAAAGTTCAAAAAAAAAAAATTAAAAAAAAATTTTCAAACCTCAAAATAATCTTTTCCATTTTCTGCAATTTCAGCTCCAAAAATAGTCAAAGGAAAAGGGCATGTATTAGTTAAAATTATTTCACGTCTTCGAAAAGGTTTTAAATTTTTATGGAAAGACAATTCATTTAAATTGTATTCAAGTTCACTGAAAAAAAAATTTTCAAAAAAAATCACAAAAAATTAAAAAAATTTTTTTTATTCAAAAAATTCCAAAAAATTTTCAAAAAAATTAGAAAAAAATTTCAAAAAATTTTTTTAATTTAATAAATTTTCAAAAAAAAATTTTTTCAAAAATTTCAAAAAAAAAAGATTTCAAAAAAATCACTAAAAATTAAAAAAAATTTTTTTAATTAAAAAAATTTTTTGGAAAATTTTCAGAAAATTTTTGAAAAACTTTCAAAAAAAATTTCTTCAAAAATTTTTCAAAAAAAAATTTTATACCCTTCATAAAGTTGAGCGATAAAAGGCACTGTAACATTAAAATTTCCTCCTCTACTTACAGCCATTATATTTCCTTGTTTTTTAAAAATACGGCCTATTTTTGTTTTGCTTGTTGAATTATTATTTTTGGGCGTAATTTTGTCGTCAATAAATGTATCAATATTTATGTTAGCAATGTCTATTAAGCCTGTAAAAGGAAGGTAAAAAAAATAAATTTGAAGCAGAATTTTTAGTAAAATAAAAAATCAAAATTTAAAAAATAAATCAAAAATCAGAATTTTTGAAAAATCAGAATTCTGATTTTTTTCAGAAAATTCTATTTGTTTTCTGATTCTTTCTATGGAAATTCTGATTTTTTCTGCTGATTTTTTTCTCCAAAAATCCTGATTTTCTGATGTCTATTAAGCCTGAAAAATGAAGGGGAAAAATAAATTTTAAATCAGAATTTTTAGTAAAATACAAATCAGAATTTTCTGAAAATAAAATCAGAAAAAATCAGAAGTTCAAAATCAGAATTCTGATTTTTTCAAAAAATTCTGATTGTTTTCTCAGTTAATTCTGATACTTTTTCTGAATATTTTCTTCGAAAATTCTCATTTTATAATATTTATTAGGCTTGAAAATAATGGGGAAACTAAATAAACTTGAAACAGAATTTTATTAAAATAAAAATCAGAATTAATTTGTTAAAATAAATTAACTTTAATTCAGAAAATAAAAAAAAAGAAGAAAAACAAACTTGGCAGAAAATCAGAATATTTTAAAAAATAAAATAAAATCAGAATTTAAAATTCTGATTTTCTTTTCCAGAAAATTCTGTCATTTTTCTGATTTTTTCACCGAAAATTCTGATTTTCTTTTCCAGAAAATTCTGTCATTTTTCTGATTTTTTCACCGAAAATTCTGATTTTTTTTATCCTTTTCCTATAGAATTCTGATTTTTTTTATTAATTTTTAGAATTTAATAGAATAAAAATCAGAATTTAAATTCTGATTTTTTATCCTTTTCCTATAAAATTCTGATTTTTATTTATTTTCAGAATTTAATAGAATAAAAATCAGAATTTAAATTCTGATTTTTTTTTATATCCTTTTCCTATAGAATTCTGATTTTTTATTAATTTTCAGAATTTAATAGAATAAAAATCAGAATTTAAATTCTGATTTTTTATTTATTTTCAGAATTTAGTACAAACAAAATCAGAATTTAAAATTCTGATTTTAATTCAATAAAAACAAACCTGGTTGTTGTCCACGCGTTGCCGACTTCAACGATATTGGAGGATGTGTTTCATATTGAATATAAATCATTTTTGATTTGTCAGAATAAATTGAATCAATTTCTACACTTTTTTCTAATGTGGAAAACACAGTTAATTTGAGTGGAGACAAAAATTGTTTTCCTGCTTTTACAAGACCAAAATCTAATAAATTTGTTGTTGAAAAGAGATCACGTCGAAGAGTAACCTTTTTAAAATTAATTAAAAATCAGAATTTAAAGAAAAAATAAATAAAAATCAGAACTTGTAAAAATCAGAATTTCCTCGGAATAAATAAAAATCAGAATTTGTAAAAATCAGAAATTGTAAAAATTTACAAAAATAAACTTAAAATCAGAATTTCCTCGTAATAAATAAGAATCAGAATTTGTAAAAAAATTTTACTTGAAAAACCAGAATTTTACAAAAACAAACTTGAATAAATTAAAACCAGAATTAAAATAAACTTGAAATTACAAATTGTAAAAGAATTAAATTTGTAATTTCAATTAAATCAGAAATTGTAAAAATAAACTTGAAAATCAGAATTTTCTTCTGTTAGTTTTGTAAAATTCTGATTTTCAAGTTTGTAAATTATTTTTTACAATTTCTGATTTAATTAAAATTACAAATTTCTTTTTACAATTTCAATTTTATTTTTATTCTGATTTTATTTTCAAAAATTTCAGAAGCAATTAAAAAATTAAATTCTGATTTTTGTAAATTCTGATTTTCAAATTTATTTTTCTACAATTCTGATTTTCATATTTATTTATTCTGTAAATTCTTAGAAATCAGAATTCTCGCCAAAATAAAATTTAGAAATTTAATTAAACTTGAAAATTACAAATTGTAAAAAATCAGAAATTAAAAAACCTGTGTTTCAACCGGAATTGCAATTAAACCTATTTTTGATTTGTAAAATGATCGTCTCTCATTTTCATCATTAACCTCTTCCAACAGAGAATATTTAATAAAAATAAATGAAGTTGTATTTCGTTCAACATTTCCAATAATTTTTGCTACAGCTATTTTTCTTGTTTCAAAAGACATTAAAATCTAAATAAAAAAAATTTTTTTAAGCATAAAATTTTTGAAATGAACCACGAAGGACTAGGAGAGTGTTAAAGGGTTTTTATAAATTTGTTAGCAGGTAATAACAGGGATGGAATGTCTCCCACTTCCGCCGTCAGCATAATTCCGTTTTTTCCCCTTCCGCGTTCCTCTTCAACCCTTTCAAATTGAAAAGACTCATCCCAACTGTTGCCTTGGGTTTTTAAAATAAAGCTCAAGACCGATCAGGGGATAGCAAAATTTCGTTACACTCAGAAACAAAATAAAAATTTTTTAATTCGATCATCCATGCTTACCGCTAAAGCATGCCCAATTTACGTTCTATACATGGACTCCAGTAAAGCAGACTCCTCTCTCATGAAGACTAGTAGTCTGACATGAGAGAGGAAAATGCCTGGTGTCACTTTGCCTTAACCAAGTGACATCAGGCATCAAATCCGAGTCTTCCGTTGAACCCCAAGTCTCCAAAAAAATTAAAACTAATTTTACCGATTTTATTGAATTATTTGATTTAATTAAAAATTCTGTTGGAAATTCTAATTGAATATTACAATCACTAGAAAATATTTCCAAAATTCGAAGAGTTGTAAAATGTGGATTATGCAAATGAATTGGTGTTGAGAATGTTGAATTTATTGGTAAACGAATATTTGAAAGAGGTCTGAAAAAAAATTTTAATACTAAAATTAAGAGTAATATTAAGAGACAAGCACGTAGCCAAGGGAAGAAGGACATTTTCAGGATTGATCCCCCTCCTGCGAGAATTTTCCTTGCTACGTGCTGTATTAAGGTCTGTGTTCCAGATTTTGCCTTATTCCTTTTCTAAGGTCAAATCTTCCGGATAAAACGATAAAACAACATTTATGGGAAACGAACACAATCATGGGAAACGAAACTGTTATAACAAAAAGCAGGGAAGGGGACGAGTTGGGAAAAAAGTCGGGTTGTTAAGTTTAGGTTTTGTGTAATGCGGCCTATCCGTGGTGTGGAACTAAAAAAATTTTTTGGATGATTCCGAAAGAGAAGAATAGAGGGAAAAACGTCAATCAAGCGCCATGTATTAGGCATTATATGACTCCGGATCCGAAGCTAGCTTAAGGAGCCACACCCAGTACCTTAATACAGGCACGTAGCCAGGGAAAGGACTACTTGGAATAAATAAAAAATCAAAAAATCTTTTAAAAAAACCTTACTTTATTCTATAGACATTCCCACTGATTTTGCCACGCACTTTATGAACAAAAACGCCAATAGAAGTAAACAAAGACAAAATTTCTTCTTTTAAAGGAGGCTCTTCTGATGTCGGTAAAAAATAAATGTGAAAAGAAATGCGTTGTTTGGGCATTAAATTCTAATTAAAAAATAAATTTTAATTAAATAAATTAAAAAAGAAACCTTTTCAAAAGAAGAAGAACAATGAAAATTAATTCCGGAACTCAAAATATTTGAAAGTACAATTTTTGAATTGCCTGGGTTGGTGAGGTAAATTATTCGGTGAACTAGAACCTGTGTATATAATTAATTGAGAAATTAAAAGAAAATCAGAATTTGTAATTAATTTTAGGGAGGGAATGGAAATTACAATTCTCTGAAGAGAAAAAGAATTTGTAAAATCAGAATTTGTAATTGCAAATTCCCCCCAAAGAAAATGAAAATTATACCCTTGAAGAAGGAAATCAGAATTTGTAATTTTATAGGAGAAAATAAAAATTACAATTTCTGATTTATTTTTATTAAATCAGAATTTGTAATTAATTTTAGGGTAGGAAATAAAAATTACAATTCAGAAAGGATTTTGTAATTTGTAAAAAATAATTGTAAAATCATAATTTGTAAAATCAAACGAAAGGGAATAGAAATTGTTACCTTCCGGAAATAATCAGAATTTGTAAAATAGAATACTAGAATTACAATTTCTGATGTTCTGTCCGCAAATTGTAATTTACTCTAAAAATTGTAATTCTGATTTTCTTTTATTAAATCAGAATTTGTAATTACAATTTCCGGAAAAAGAATAAATAAAAAATCAGAATTACAATTTGCGAAAATTTTTACAAAATCAGAATTTGTAATTCTACGGAAGGAAATAACTACAACTTCTGATTTTCTTTTATTAAATCAGAATTTGTAATTGTAAAAATTTTCTATAAAAAATCAGAATTACAAATTGCAACTTTCTGGAAAATCAGAATTTGTAAAATATTAAAATTACAAATTCCGGAAAAATAAATAAAAAATCAGAATTTGTAATTGTAAAAAATAGTCAACTTACCCCAAACGTTGTAATTCCAAAGTCCGTCATTTCCTCTTCAAACAATTTAATTTTTTGTTTATTATCCTTTGTAAAATCGTGGCTATCAAGCTTCTTATTTGTGACAATTGGCAACAAAATACTGTCTTGGTAAGAAATATCTTGAAAATAGTGAAGTTCTGATCCAATTTGAACAAAAGCGTGATAGACAGCGTCTGTTGAATCCTCCCCAAATGAAAGAATTTTTTTATTGTTGTCAAGGGTGGATAAATGTTCGTTAATTAAACAGAGAATGCAGCTAGAATGTAATGATAAGAAGAGAAAATAACTACGGCTAAGGCACATTTCTGAAAAAAAAATTAAATAAAAATTACAATTGTAAAAATTGATGGGGTGAATTAATCAGAATAATTTATTTTTCCGGATTGTGAAATTATTCTGATTTTTGGTTAGACAAAAATCAGAAAATAAACTTACCGGAAGCAATTACAAATAATTTTACAAATCCGGAAAATTATTTGTAAAATCAGCATTTGTAATTTTCCGGAAGAATTACAAATAATTTTACAAATTGTAATTTCTTCCGGAAAGTTGTAATCTTTTTAAAAAAAAATCAGAAATTACAAACCGGAAAATTATTTCCTCCGGAAAATTACAAATTCTGATTTTAAAAATAATTTTACAATTACAAATTACAAATTCTGATTTTTACAAATCCGAAAAATTGTAAAATCAGAATTTGTATTTTCCGGAAGAAATTATTTTTCCGGATTGTAATTTCTGATTTTTGATTAAAAAGATTACAATTGTAAAAATTATAAACAACCAGAAAAGAAAAATAAAATCAGAATTTGTAATTTCCAGAAAATATAATTCTGATTATTTTACAATTGTAAAATTCTGATTTTTGGTTAAACAAAGAAATAAACTTTCCGGAAGGAAGTTGAAATTACAATTTAGAGGGAAGAGAAGAATTACAATTACAAATTAAATTAAGACTCTTACAAATTTTCACGTGTGCTTAATTAAATGACTTTTTATCCCTTATTATTTAAGAGTTAGAGAAAAATAATTAACGTCACAGTATAGATTTTAAGGAGACTTGCAATTAGAGTAATTAAATTTTTAATCGTTAAAGAACATTCCTTGCCTTTTGTTTTGCCGTGTCCTCACATTTTGCCAAAACACATTTTGCCAATAAGGGTAAAAGTTTACTTTTCGTCAACAAACTTACAGGCAAAACGTCGATTTTTACCTTGCTGGCAAAATATGTTGTTGGTTATATCGAGACCTTTTTTTGTCTTTTGTTTAGCGTTGTGCTCACATTTTGCCAAAACACATTTCGCCAATATGGGTAAAAGTTTACATTTTGTCAACAAACTTAGTGGCGAAACGTCGATTTTTTCATTAGTTGGCAAAATGTGGAATTGGTCATATGAAAACATTCTTTGTCTTTTCTTTTGCGTTGTGCTTCACATTTTGCCAAAACACATTTTGCTAATAAGGGTAAAAGTTTACATTTAGTCAACAAACTTATTGGCAAAATGTGTGTTTTTGCCTTTGTTGGCAAAATATGTTGTTGGTCATATGGGAGACATTTTTTGTCCTTTGTTTCACGTTTTGTGTTTCTGCTTCTGTTCGTCTTTTGCGTTCGTTTTTTCCTTTTTTTTGTAAAATTCAACTAAATTTTTTTTTCAAATTTTTAGAATAATCAATCACTCCAACTTCCCCTATGTTTCGGTTAAATTCAAATATTTTATCTTCTCTTTCTCAATGTCAACAACTCGCAGTTTTGTCAATTAGAGGAATTGCTCGTATTCCCCATTGGGAATACCACATTCGGTTTGACCCCAAAGTAGGACGCAAACGACCAGCACAGGATGTTCTTGATCGTTTCAGGCGTTTAAATAACGGTTTTTAATTTATTTTTTGATAATTTTACTGTAGGGAAGGGAAGATCCTTATTTGGCCCTCGACAATTTTTTCGTTAAAGATGTACAAAATGGTCACTCTATCATTTGCTAACGGTTGCTCGATTCTGTACTCGGTAACTTAAACCTATACTGTTTTTCTGACCTTTTTTACATCTTTAACAATAAATTGCCTGGGAGTAGGTGGAACCCAATAAGTGCCTGGAAAACGTGGCCATGATCGGTAGAGCACCTTAGCGGAACGCCATCTTGTTACACAACCCACCTGTTTGATCGGTGACTCCGTTAACCCCAATACCCTCAGTAACTTTACAAAGGAATGTTTTGCTGGCTATTTTTAACGACCATCCACACTTGTACCCAAAATTAGAACCCAAAAGACAATTAACTGCTAGTCACGAGTTTGGAGAATCAATACCGATAGGGGCTAAATTTATTAAATTTATTTTTGAGGTATGTGGATTAGGGCTAGAGCTGGACGTAATCATGCAAATTATATGAAAGAGGATCTAAACCAAATGGTTGCAATGCAATGGGAGACATGCACCAAATCTGAGTGTCATATGCTTGATAAGGTTTTTTATATTTTTTTATTTTCTGGTTTTATTTTATTTAATTTTTAAAATTTTCTTTTGGCCTTTTCAGTTTTCTGTTGACATGAGTATAAGGGCCTATTTAATTTTTGTCAGAAATTTCGACACGTACCGGATCGGGCCTTTTTTGCTTACTTTCCCTTTGTTAGGGCTTTTCCAATCCTTGCTTACTTACCCTATCTTCCGCACATGGTGACCAGAAATACCGGGATGGACATATCGGGGGGGATATTTCAATGTACGGTCAGCTACTCTAACGGTTTCACGACCTCTTCGATTCATTTCCCTAACGAGGAACATGACATCTGGCTTTATATAACTGAAAATCACCTTCACCCAAGCAATTTCCCAGCACTAAATTTTATCAAAAAATATTTTCATTGTCGATCAAGTGTGGAAAAGGGATGCAAAAAGCCCGTTTCTCGTTTCTTTTTTTAATAAAATTTTTATAAAAATCCCACTTAAAAAAATAAAATTTTTAGATGATGACTCCCTTCTGGCTTCGACAACGCCACTATGTCAACGACGACCTCGAACCTTTTCATACCCGTTATGGAATTACTGGCCCCCGTGTTAACTGCAAGAAAAAATTGACTCGGGAACGTCCCAAAATTTTGTTGGATGATTTGACTTCTGATCGTTTCTTTGATAGATTGCCTGCTTCAATGACAAAATCAAAATTGGCGATAGATGCACAAAAGTCTGATTTGCCAAAATTGTTGAGGGATGTAACTAGGAAGAGTTTGCGCCTTTTGACTGATGGAAATAAATAAATTTTAGCTTAAATTTAAAATTTTGTTTTATTTTTGGAATTCGTTTTAGGGTAGCAATCTAGGCCTTGAGGGACGACTAGTTTTTTCAAAATTGTTTTTTAAGAGTAGCGGCCTAGGCCTTAACGGGGAAGGACATGTTCGAGTTCTGTTGTTTTCCTGGGACGATTTGTCAGTGTTCTGGTTTAGTTTTCTTTACCCAAAATGTTGTCAATGTTTCGGAGGCTGTCTTGTTGAGAAAAAAGTGGAATTGGGTCGGGTTTTACTACAGGCTCATGTCAGGATCCGGCCCAGGTCAATAAATCAGACTCACGAACAGGCCCAGGCTTTTCAAAAATCTCGATCTCTAAACCAGACCAATATCTAGATTAAAATGGTAGTAACCCGAGCTTTAACGAATGGCCATGTCGGAGGTTCTGTGACTTGTAAGAGACGGTACTCTTTGGAATTTGGTTTTTAGTGTCGTTCCTCAAACATTTGTCGGGTTCCGGTTCATTGTCAATGTTTTCTCCCAAAAGTTTTTTTGTGGGTTTTGGAGACAATTTTGCTACCTTAATTTGTTTTATTTTATTTTTTTCTTCTTAATAAAATTGGTTTATTCAATTTATTTTTGTTCTTTAAATGTTCCTTATACATTTATTTTAACCATTAAAAAAATTTTTTTAATTTGATTTTTAGAAGAATGAAGTTGCTTTCAATTATGATCCTCCTTAAAAATCCTTCTCTTGGACAAACAAAACTTCTTAAAGGAGAATACGAACTTGGAAGCTTTAGTTTCTTTACTAAACGTAACGCACAGGTTTCTTTTTTTATAATTTTTAGAGCAAACGGTAATTCTTGGGGTGTACCTCTCCCTAACTCGTTTTTCTTATCGGTTTTCATTTTCACTTAAGTTTTCTTCCCTTTCTTCCTTATTGTTATTTTTATACTTGCCTCATGAAAATTAAGAGAATGGAAAAATGTGGTCAGAAGAAGGGGGTACTAACCCAAGAATTACCGAGCTAACATTCAATTTATTGGTTACCCGGATTTTTCTGACAGATTGGACGGGTCGGTTTTTCGAAGCTAGGCTAGGAAACCCGGGGAACCCCGAAAAGCCTTATCAAATACACGGTTATCGTGATACCGGGCCCGGAAAATTCGGCCCGATTCTGTTGTCTTTTTGGGTTAAAAACCAACTTTGTAGGAATTTATGCAATTCACAGCAAAATTGGTATCTGACCGTTCAGCCACTCCCAGTCGAAGTACAATTAAAGAAGGGGAATATTTTGTGCATTGTTTTGTAAGGCATGACAGTTTGGTGGGTGTCTGTTTGACTGATGAAGAGTTGGTTTTTTTCATTTTTGGGGTTGGATGATAGAGATCGAGCTGGGTCTAGACCAAGGCCTGAGTTTTTCCTGGACTACAGGCCCAGGTCTAGGCATTTTTTGACCTTCCTGGGTTTTTCCTGGACGACAGGCCCAGGTCAATAAATCAAACTCGGAGTCCGGGAACAGGCCCAGGCTTTTCAAAAATCTCGATCTCTACTGGATGGAGAGAATCGGGTGTGTGGTGTCAAAAATATAGTAACTCCTTGCGTATTAACGTTAATTCTAAAACTAAAACTTCAACATGTTTCAGTTATGCGAGTTGCCTCTGGGCCTTAGGTCGTGAAACTAGTAGCTGTTCGTACATTAAAAATTTCCTCATTTATGTCTGTCCCTGTTAGGTATGTGTGTGTCTAGTATAAAAGGAGTCGTTAGCGATCAGTCTGGGTCGACCGGCACCGTCTGTCCTTATTCATTCTTGCCTTTTGCCACCTTTATTATTGTTGTATTTACTATTCGGATAAACGTAATATTCTATTCCTGTATTATTCTGTTTGTCACTAGGTAAGACCGCTACCCTAGAACATAACAGTCCCGATATGTCTGACCCCCGTATAAATATTGAAATGTTGCTATTTCAAACCATAGTTCGGGATGGTCCCTTGTAAATTAATTTGTTTCCTTCTTTAAAATTTTAAAATATTTTTTTTAACAGATATCAATCTCGTGTAGCCTTTGCACTTTTAAACAAAGTTTTGGCTGATTTTTCTGATCGAATTCCTCAAAGTTCTTGGGCATTAATTCAAAGTGAGAGGGATTGTAATTATGACCAATTGCCAATGTTTCTTACAAAATGGCAAAATCCACGGGAAGCTGATGCTCTTACTCGTGTTCAGGTTTTTTTTAAAATTTTGGACAATCATAGGCGAAAAAATTTTACTTTTTTGCTCATCATTCTCCCAATTTTCTCTCCATTTTGGGGGGTGGGGGTGTGCTTCAGCACCATCCTCACTTCTTCTTATTAACAACGCTTCACCTTTTCTATTTCCTTTCATCTTAGTCCATTTGTGGGTTTAAATGCCTAAATTCTAATGTTTTTTCTGACCAGAAAAAACTGGTTTCCTGGCCTTTTTTCCTTGGACGGTCATAGGCGAAAAAATCCTACTTTTTCGCTCATCATTCTCCCAATTTTCTCTCCATTTTGGGGGGTGGGGGTGTGCTTTAGCCCCTTGGTACGCCATACGCCATTGAAGTATAGGCTGTTCTATTTCCTTTCATCTTTAGTCTATTTGTGGATTTAAATAATCAAAATTCTAACGTTTTTTCTGGCCGGATTCGTTTATAAAATCCGGTTAACTGCGCCAGGCATGGGTGCGAACTCATAAAATTACGTTCGTACCCATATAAATGAATTTTTCGTATTTTAGAGATCTTTCGGGTAAACCAAGGATTAGGACTCTCCTATTTTTTCTTCCCAGCTTTTTTCCTTTAAACGTACAGAACAGGGTTGCCGCGGGTACAAAAAATCTTCGGGTACGGGTATCGGGTTGGAGCGTTTTCATTTCGGGTTTCGGGTTTGGCGAAAAATTCGGGTTATTTTCGGATGTTCGGCACAGAATCTGGCCTGGTACAGAATGGTAGACTGAACATTGTCTATCATTTTATGGAAAAAATTTGGAAGAAAAATATATGGGGGTGAAGGGTTAATCCTTGGTTTACCCAAACATTCTCTATTTCTTAAAAAAATTTTTTTAAGGATGAAGTAGAAGAAACCAAAGTTGTTTTGCACAATACAATGCAGTCAGTTTTGGAACGTGGAGAAAAACTTGATGATTTAATTAAAGCAAGTGAAAATTTGTCTGATCAAAGCAAAATGTTTTATACGCAAGCGAGGAAAATGAATAGATGCTGCAATTATGTTTAGAAAGAGACAGGGACACACAAGAGATTGAGATGAGGTTTTTTTTAATATCCAGAAATTTTATTTAAAGACAAAATTTATTGCCCTATCTTTAAAAAAAAATTTTTTGGAAAGAAATTTTTTTTGAGGATACAAAATTCCTTTTTCGATTTTTAAATTAATCTCTTGGGTATCTTTTTCCTATTAAATTATTTCCTAAATTTTATTGAAAACTATGAAGATAGGAATGATTAAAAATTGGAATTCTGGTACTTTATTAATATCCCGCCCCCCCCCACCCCTATTTGAGTCTCAGATTATTTTTCCTTTTTTTGCTGTCAATCATTTATTCCCCTCCTTTTTTAATGCCAATCATTTTCTTCCCTCGAATATTATAAGTAGGGATGGGATTTATATGGACTATCAATCGAAAAATATGGACATATAATATGGACTAAAAATCTCAAAATATGGACTGAAATATGGACTAAAATCCAAAATATGGATCAAATATGGACCGAAAAATGAAAATTTTTAACGTAAAAATGAATTTTCACAAATAAATAATTTGATTTTGTTCATTTAATGTGTTTTCTAGAGGCTTTTTGTCAATTAAAGGTAGATTTAAAGTGTTTCCCGGGGAAATAATTTTAATAATAGCTGATCAAAAAAATTTTTCGAAAAATTTTTGCCAAAAATTTTTTTTGAATTTTTTCAAAAATTTTTTTAAAATTTTTTCAAAAAAAAATTTTTTTTTGACAAAAAAATTCCAAAATTTGAAAATTTTGACCAATTTTTGGCAAAATTTTCAAAATTTTGACCGTTTTTTGGCAAAATTTTACAAAAAATGACGAAATATGGATAAAATATGGAAATATGGACGGAACGCCAAAATATGAAAAAATATGGAAAATATGGATTGATAACTCATTATCGGTCTTATCAACATATGCTAAAACAACGTTTTTCGTGCGTTTCACGACCCAACTAGGCCAGGAAAAAAATATGGAAATCCATATAAATCCCATCCCTAATTATAAGTAAAAGACAAGTTAGAAACTTAAGATATTTGAGGAGTACAGCCTAAAAAGGCGCGCAGCCATAATGGCGCAAAGTCATAACCTTCTGTAATATTTTTGGCCCTTGTCATTTTTGTTATCAATCTCTTTAGCTCGATGAAAGGAATCGTTTAATATTAATTTTTGTAAGGTTCGAAAACCATGAAGCAAGTTATGGCTTTGCGCCTTTATGGCCGCGCGCCCTTTTGGGTGTCTTATATTTGAGAGAAGAGAATGATTAACATTAAAAAAGGAGGGAAAATAAATGATTGACAGGTAAAAAGGAAAATTAATCTGAGACTCAAATAGGGGTGGGGGGCGGGATATTAATAAAGAACCGGAATTCTCGGAACAAATAGGGAGTTGCGCCAAAAAATTTTTGCGTGAAACGCTAAACGGCAATTTTTTAGATTTTTAAAACACGCAAAACGCCAAAAATGATCGCCAAACGCCATGATATTCGGGTAGAGTGATTACGGACCTTGGAACTCGATAAAAAATAAACTAATAAAAAGGGCAATAAATTATAAATTTTGTTTCTTAAAATTAGAGAGATTATATGTGTATTTCCTTTCCAGTATATACCTATTATATATCTCCTTTTATTCTAATTGTAAGACTTTCCTCCATATCTTTCAAAAACGCCACAGACAATTTTATTATTTAAAAACACACTTTGACTATATAAAAAGCTTTTAGAATTCTTTTACTAGGGAGACATATCAGGGGTGACACGCCCAAGTAGGCGCGCGGGCAGGAGGCGCAAAGCCATAACTACCTGGAAAATTTCTGGACCTTAACAATTTTGGTACCAATCTCTTTAGCTTGATGAGAGGAATCGTTTAATGTTAAATTTTGAAAGATTCGAAATTCTTGAAGCAAGTTATGGCTTTGCGACTACTTGGCCGCGCGCCTACTTGGGCTGTACCCATATCTGGGTGGTATCAGAATCCTGTCCCTGGTTCTAAGCTACAAACGGGATTTAAAGGTCTAATCCCGCGGGATCTTGTCCCATTCGCTTTTTGAAATAGCCGTTTGAACTTTTTTAACTAGCCGTTTTCTGATTGCCTTGCGCTCGCCATAAGCGGGATGGCAAATAATATCCAGAGCCTAATGGTCATAGATCGTGAAGCCCAAAGAGTAGCTGTTAGTACATTGAAATATCCCCCGATATGTTTAGCTCATATTTTATAAAAAAATTTTTCTTCTCGAAAATTTAAAAAATAAACACAAATATTTATATTTATTTTTAAATGTAAAAAAAAGAGTATTTTTTATACTCTTACAAAAAGTAAAAAATTAGCGATATAATTTTGAGTGTAAGGAAGAGGAGAGAGAAAAAAAGACTAGAAGAAAAAATTCTTTTTTTTTCTTGGGGAGAAAATTTTTTTAAAATTTTTTTTCAATTTTTCTGTGATATTTAAATATTTGGTAACATTTCTCGATTGTTAGGATAATTTAAAGCAAATTCTGAAGCTTTGCTAGAAATGCCGCCACTCCTTTTGCCATAAATTCCGCCTGAATAGGGCAACATTGCTGCTGCTCGTTTTCCATAAATTCCGCCTTTAGAAAATGAGAAGATTTTTTAAATAAAAAAATTTTTTGAGTAAGTTTTAGCTTGAAAAATTTTTAAAAAGTAAAGAAATAGTTAAAATAAAATAGAGGGCACCAAAAGGGTTCGAACCCTTGCCGTTATAGGAGAGAAACCAAGAGCGATACCACTACACCAAAATGGGGATTTTTTAATTCAAAAATTTTTTTGAGGGGTTTTGGCTTGAAAACTTTAAAAAGTAAAGAAATAGTTAAAATAAAATAGAGGGCACCAAAAGGATTCGAACCCTTGCCGTTATAGGGGAGAAACCAAGAGCGATACCACTACACCACGAAATTTTCTTTTGTAATTTTAATATTTTCTGGCTTGTGGGTAAATTTTGAGAGGAATTTTTAAAAAATTAATTTTTTGTAGAATTTTTAAAAATAGTGCCTGAATACGGCAATAGGGCAGCTGCTCGTTTATCCAAAAATTCGTCCAAATCTTCATTTGTTGGAGTTAAATCTTGCATTCGAAAACGAATGTCATTTAAGCTTTTCCTCAATGCTGCGGTTGGGTAACCTTGAAATTTTTGAAAAATTGGGAGGGTCTTTTGAGTTAAAAAAATTTTTTTTTCAATTTTTCTAACCTGCTCTAACAGACAAAGGCCCATCAAAAATCAAAAGAAGGGCAAATAATAAATAAAATATTTTTTGAATATTTGGGCATAAAATTGGGAAAATTGTAGTATTATTAGAATGCATTTTTTTAAGAAAATTTTTTGTTTGAAAATTAACTCTAAAAATGAGAAGAAAAAAGGTTAAATTTAAATTTTAGTTTTTAATAGGAGACGGAAAACTTGAAAGCCTACGAGTGAAGATAATTATAGGTGGGGAACCTAACCTAGCGTCAGCAGCTATAACTCTTGACTGGGTGAATATTTTGAATTTATCTTAGTATCATTGGATAGAGCATTAAATTTGCTACAAAATAAATCTAAAAATGTGGGGAAAAGTTATTTTTAAAAATTTTATTTAAAAAGAAGAGGCTTAAAAGCTTTGGGTGAGGACGTCAGTAGTTATGTATAACTAGATAACTATTGAACGGATAAATTTTTTCAAAAGGATCTTTATATCGTTGGATAGAGCATTAAATTTGTTACAAAAATAATACAAATTGATTAAAAAATTTTTTTTCAATTTTTAATTAGGGACAAGAAACCTGCCTTATAGGTTTTGGGGGAGGAGAACACTAGCCTATCGCCAGGCTATAACTTTTGAACGGATTCATATTTTTTAACAAATTTGGTGTCATTCGATAGAGCATTAAATTTGCTACAAATACACTAATGAAGTAAAATTTTTGTAAATTTGTTTAAAAAGTTATACTCGAAAAACCTTCTAAAACCTGACTTTTTCTTGATTTTTAGGACATAATTTTTTGTCTACCTTTCCAAAAATTTTGTTTCCTTTTTTATTTTATAGCAAATTTTCTGCTCTTTCGAATGACACCAAAATTGTTAAAAAATATAAATTCATTCAAAAGTTATAAAGGCTAAACGCCCCCTTGGTTCTGCTCTCCCGCCTACTGTTAGGCACCCATTTAAAAAATGTAACAATTAAAAGCAAGTCGATTTTTGAGCTTTAATTTATTTTTAAGGAAGTTGGGACGTTAAAATATCCAGCTGAGATAGTCTTTTATTTTTTAAATTATTTTTAGACTGAAATTCAAAAAAAATATTTTTAACCCCCTCCGAAGGGAACACTCCCAGACGGCCGTTCGCTCTACTTTGAGTTAAAAATAAAATTTTTATTTGGGTTTAACAACTCATTTGTGGCCATAAAAGGGTTGAATAGATGATTTAAATAGTAAAAACATTTAATTTAGCTTTGAAAAAAAATTTTTTTTCTTGGAAAAGTTAAAATAAAAGGAGACTTAATAAGGGAGGGAATATATAAGGGGGGAAATAAAAGGGGGGAATAAAAGGCTTATAAATTTGGGGGTAAAAGGGAGGGGGAATTAAATTTAATTTTAATCATTTTTAAAATAAATTTGAAACCCTGGAAACCTTTAAACTTTTTTTTGAATTAAATTTTTGGAAGAAGAAAATAAATAAATTTATTTTTTTTTATTTTTGTGTGTGGGTGGATAAAGGAATGAAGAGGAAGGAAGGAATAAAGAGGGGAAAATTTCATTTTCTGGGTAATTCCAAAAAATTTTTTTTCTTGTTGAATTAGTTAAGGGAAATGGGGGAATGATAAATAAATTTATTTGGGTTAAGCACACAAAACTAATCTGCCGTTTAAAGGTTTTTGGAAGGTTTTGGATGTTTTCTATAGGAAGAACGGGATAGAGGGAACAGGAAGAAGGCCGACTAAAGGAAGAATATTAAGGAATTGTGGTGGTATATACAATAGAGTTGGTCCCCGACGGGTGGGGGGGGGGTGGCCATGGGGAGAAGAGACAGTGCCACGGAGGGGGGGGGGGAGACGGGGACCAACCCTAATTTTCAGCGTTCCTTGATTTTTCCTTGATTCAAGCTCAAGAATTTGGCCAAGGTCCTTACTTAAAATCTATACAAATTAGAGGGAATTGAAAATCTGTCCTCCGTCTTATAAAAGGATTTAGGAATTTTTTGAATTTTAAAAACTCCAAGAAAAATAGGGAAGGGGAATGTATGAGGGGAGAGGAGAAAGGTCAAAATGTGTACTTTTGAATATGTTCTTTTTTTATTTCCTCAATATTTTTTGTTCGTACTTTTATTTGGAAGGAAACGGAAATTGGACTATTCATTGTGTTTAGGGAGGTTTTTTTTTTAATTTTCCTTCCAGGAAGGCAAAAAAATTTTAATTTTCTGATTTTTTAACAATAACAAAAAAAATAACAAACATTTTTAAATTGAAACTAAATTAAAAAAAACTTGGCAACAATAATAGAAAATAATAAATAAATAAAATAAAAAATGAGAGTGACAACCTTTTTTGTGGGGGAAGAGGTTTGGGGAGAAAAAGAAGGAAAATAGGCATAACTGAGTATGCGGACCTCTCAAACTTGAACGACTACAACTTTTCGTTGGATAAACTTTTTGAAACAAACTTTTTTTATTTGATAGAGGAGGGAATAAGCTACAAAATGGAAAAAAATTAAAATTTTAGGGTGATTAGAAATTTAGTTATGGGGAAAAATCGGAAAGTAGGCATAACTGAGTATGCGAACCTACCAAACTTGGACGACCACAAATTTTGAATGGATCAACTTTTTGAAATAAACTTTTTTTTATCTGATAGAGGAGAGGATTAGCTTCAAAATGAAAATAAAATTAAAATTCTAGGTTGATTGGAAATTTAGTTAAGGGCAAAAAACTAACACTTACTTGAAAATTTTGAGTTTTTGCAAGGTTTTTTGACCTCAACTTTTTTTGTCTTTCTTTAGATCATGAAGTTTTGGGCTCATTTTGTAGCTAATTTAATTCTCTATTTAATGATATCATAACCGTTTCAAAATCTTTTCCCTTTAAAAAGTTGTAGGAGTCGGCGTCAGACTGGTTCGTATACCCTGTTAGTCATCTTGGGAGGATTTTAGACCATAACTTTTTTTGTCTACCTTTAAATTATGAAGTTTTAGGTTCATTTTGTAGCTAATTTAATTCTCTATTTAATCAAATTATTCCCATGTCAAAATTTTTCCCCTTTAAAAAGTTGAAGGAGTTGGCGCCGAGCTGGTTCGAATACTCCGTTAGTCAATTTTCACCTTTATTTTAAAAGGTAGAAAAAATTGGAAAGGGAATGGCAGAATTTCAAAATAGCGTGCCTTATATTAAAAACATTTTTATTAAATATTTTATGCGCAAAAATGATGAGAATGGGTCACGGGGTTTAAAAAATGGCAATTTTGGCAATAAATTGGGGGAAGTGGGGAATAGGAGGAAAAGAGGGGGAAAGTTGCCTAAATATAATTGAAAATAAATTTTTAATAAAATTTAAAATTCTGTGAAAATAGGATTAAAATAGAGGGAAAGTAAAGACTCAGTAAGAGCTATAAACTGGAATACAAAAAAAGAAAATACAGGTTGATTAAAACACAACTCCCTTCTTCTTACCAAATCTTTCCATTTGAATGCCCCTCACAAAGGAGAGTGCATGAGGTGTCCGTGGAACTTCGGGATGAAATTTGGGAGACAGATAGATTATACCCTACTAGTTATGAATTTCATCCCCAACTTTCATCCCAGTCCCACGGACGCCTCTGGCATCCACTTTTCTGTTTGTCAAGGCCAGTCTACCTCAGGGCTTGTAGCTAAGTTTATTCAAGTCGTATCTAGACAGTATCTAGACAATTTTGGCATCCTATAACATTTTAATGTCTAATTTGGAATATACTGTGTTAGTGATGTGCGAAACTCTCGGTCTCCGTTCCCGAGTCGGGAAATTTCCCGGATTTTTTGAAGACTCGGTCTCGGTGTTTTACTCTCAGAAAACGAGATTCAAAAAAAAATTCGAAAAAAATTTTCCCCATCCTTTTTCGATTCTTCTTCAACCTTCCCTTCCTCCCCCTCAAAAATATTTTTTTATTTTTATTTTATTTTCCCGCCAAATTTTTTTTTCATTTTTTTTTCAATTAAATTCCCCGCAACCAATTTAAATATTCCTTTAGGGCAATGACCAAAAAAAATTTTTTTTTATTTTTATTCAAACCCCATCTCTTTTTTTCTCTTTAAAATCAATTTTTTCGGCCAATGAAGATATGCCACGCGCGATATTTAGACAAACGATCAGGTTCATCTCCTCTTTGTTTTGCCCTTTCTTCTTCCCTTCCCTTCTTCTTTCCCCCCAACTTTTCCCCTCCTTCCCCACTGCTTCCCCTTTGCTTCCCTTTGCTTTGCTAACAACTCGCGCAATAATTTTTGCCTTTTTCTCCTTTTTCCCCCTTTTTTCCTCCTTTGCGTGAAGAAAAAAAAATTTTTTTTTCATGCAAACCTACCCCCTCCTCCCCAGTTTACCCAACACCTCCCCTCCTCCCCCCTCCCCCCCTAACTAAACACGCCCAAAAATCAAAAAAATGTTTGCTTCTCACATAAAAAATCTTCATGTTTTAACTGCTACTTTTATATATTAATTGCCGCCTATTCTCCCCTTTTAAAAAAATTAACGGGAAAAAATCAACGAGATCTGGGAAAAGTTGCTACAACAAGGGCGAGAGAGAGAGAAAAAAGTTTGGAAAATAGAACAAGAGAACAACAAGAACAACAAATTCTGGATATTGAACAACTTGTTGCTACAATAACTAAAACAAGTTTAAATAAACAATGTTAAAAGAAGATAATTATAGAAACAGAAAAAGAATAAAACAATCGAGAATTAGTAACAGTGTTTCTGGTTGCCTAGTTATCTTTTTTGTAAGTTAGAGAAAAAAAGAAAACATGTTTTGTTGAGATGAAAATTAAAACATTTTTCAGAATTAAATCAAAACATTTTCAGAAGTTTGTCAAAACATTTTCAGAATTTTGTCAAAACATTTTTCAGAATTTCATCAAAACATTTTCAGAATTTTATCAAAACATTTTCAGAATTTTATTCAAACATTTTCAGAATTTAATCTAAACATTTTCAGAATTTCACTAAAACATTTTTCAGAATTTCCCCAAAACATTTTCAGAATTTAATTTAAACATTTTCAGAATTTTATCTAAATATTTTCAGAATTTTATCTAAACATTTTCAGAATTTCACTAAAACATTTTTCAGAATTTCCCCAAAACATTTTCAGAATTTAATTTAAACATTTTCAGAATTTTATCTAAATATTTTCAGAATTTTATCTAAACATTTTCAGAATTTCACTAAAACATTTTTCAGAATTTCCCCAAAACATTTTCAGAATTTAATTTAAACATTTCCCCTTATTTCAGTTAACTCAAATTCAATGTTCTTCAAGCACCATCAGATTATTTGCACGTTCAGTTCCTCGGGGCTACCAACCGCCTCCTACTTCCCCTTTAGGTAATTAAAAAAATTTATTGAAAATCGATTTTAAATTTAAAAGTGCTTGGCTTTTAGTGACCTTGACTTTCCCATCTATTTTTTATTTTTAAATTTCTAGTTGAGGATGTACCAGTTATGCAATACAAGCAGTACAAACCCCCTTCTCGTTTCTCCCACCCTTCGAGCAACAATTTGCCGTCATTCAAACACCCATCGGTCGCTGGAGAAGCTAAAGAACCTTTAATGGTTAATACTTTAATACAGGTGAATTATAGGAATTAAATATTTTTTTTTTAATTTTTTGTTAGGTGTTTGGGCCAGAAAAAGGAGATGAAACTGAAACTGAGGTGAATTTTATTTAATGTTTTTATTGCTTTATTTAATGTTTGACAAAATGTTATGTTTTTATTAAATTCTGATTTTATTTTTTATTTGTTTTTAATTGTTTTCAATGTTTTGTTTCTATTAAATTCTGTTTGTTTAATATTTGTTTGTTTTTATAATATTCTGATTTCGTCTTTTATGTTATGTTTTTGTAAAATTCTGATTTTGTTTTTCTAATATCTGTTTGTTTTTATTAATTTCTGATTTTATTTTTTATGTTTTGTTATGTTTTTAAAACATTCTGGGGTTGTTTTTAATTGTTTTCAAGTTTTGTTTCTATTAAATTCTGATTTTTAAATGTTTGTTTTTTTAATATTCTGATTTCGTCATTTAATGTTCATTTTATCGTTTTGTTTTTATTTAATTCTGATTTTATGTTCTGCTTTATTTTGTTAAACGAACACTTCTTTATTATAAAAAGTTTTGAGTTAATTAATTATATTTAGAAGCAAAGACTGTCAACATTTGTTGGGGAAACATCTAGCGAGCAAAATTCACCTACCCCTCCCACTGAATTGTTAAACGGTCAAAAACGCGTGACGCTTGTATGTTTTAAAAAATATTATTTTAAAGGGCAAAAAAAATTTTTTTTTAATTTTTAGACAAGACAATTGGACACCCTTGGAAGGTATAAAAAATTTTTTATTAAAAAAATTGGCCAAAAATTGCTTGTTTAAACAAATTTGCTTCAAGTTTTCACCCCAATTTTTTGCATAAACTTGCTAAAAAAATTATTTTTAGTGTAAAAACAAATATTTGTTTTAATATTAGAGTAGCAACAATAATTTATTGCTCAATTCATTACATCAACAGAAAAAAAACTTGTTTCTAAAAATGATAGCAAATGATTAAAGAATAAATAGGGGAGTTTGTTGATATTTTGTGTGTTGTTGTAAAAGATAGGCAAACAAAGGAAAATTAAATTGCGCGAATTAAACAAAAGTTTTTTTGAAGGACTTTTATAAATTGGAATTTAAATAAAAACAATGTTTTTTAGAACAAGGACACGGAAATTTATTAAGGTTATAATGTTTGTTTTGAGTGTGTTTTGATGGTATTCTGATTTTGTTTGTTTGTTTTATTAGGTTTGTTTGATTGTTTTGATGTTATTCTGATTTTGTTTGTTTGTTTTATTAAGTTTGTTTGGTTGTGTTTTGATGTTGTTCTGATTTTATTGATATGTTTTAATGTTTGTTTAAGTGTGTTTTGATGGTATTCTGATTTTGTTTGTTTGTTTTATTAAGTTTTATTATGTTTTGATGGTATTCTGATTTTGTTTGTTTGTTTTAATGTTTGTTTTAGGTGTGTTTTGATGTTGTTCTGATTTTATTGATATGTTTTAATGTTTGTTTAAGTGTGCTTTGATGTTATTCTGATTTTGTTTGTTTGTTTTATTAAGTTTGTTTTAGGTGTGTTTTGATGTTATTCTGATTTTTTTATTTGTATTTAATGTTTGTTTTATTATGTTTTGATGATATTCTGATTTTATCTGTTTTATTAAGTTTGTTTGGTTTAAGTATGTTTTGATGATATTTTTATTTTATTTTAATATGTTTGTTTGATCATGTTTTTGTGATTCTGATTTTGTTTGACTTTGTTCTGGAGTGTTTTATCATGTTTTGATGATATTCTGATTTTGTTTGTTCTAATGTTTTTCAGATTTATTATGTTTTGTTAAATTATTTAGATGTTTGGATTAAATTCTGATTTCATGATGTTTTAACTATTTATTAGTAAGCAAAAACAATTTAGTTGCGCGAACAAAACATTAAAAAAACCATGTTTTTATAATTAAAAATGTTTTTACAATTTCAGAACTTTTGTGCCTGCCAATCAAACAGTTTCAACTGCAAATCCAAAAATAGTAACATGTTTCTTCTTGAAATAAAAATAAATAATCATTAATAACAGGCAATTGTAAAAGCTTTTGCTGCTTCAAATTCTTCCCAAATATCGGAAGCACAACTTCGAGAAGAATTAGGCAAAGAATTGGAACAATCTGTTTCTCTTATACTTGATGAGCTGGGTAGGAAAGACAAAACGACTAAACGTCCAGCTACTTTGACCACTCAATCTGTACCTGCGGAAGAGTTGGAACGATTAGAAGCAGAGGAAAATGAGGCAACAACATCGCCAAAAGAAACAGAAAATTCAGTTGTTTCAACTAGAGAAGCTACTAGTGTACAAACTGCTTCAACTACAAGTGGTGAATTTTAAAATTTTCTGAAAAAAATTCTGAAAAAATTCTGAAATTAAAAAATATGTTTTTCCCTTAATTCTGATCATTTTTAAGTTGCTCCGTTAGTTGTCTTTCCAAAAACTAGTAAAGAACCGATAGAAGTTGCCCCTGCAACAAACGTTGCAACAACAACAGAAGCAAGCGACAAGGAGAAAAAAGATGAAGCAACAACTGTTGAAATTAAAGAAGAACATAACCATGAGGAAAATGAAATTACAAGTACAAAAGAAACTTTATCAGAAGAAAATATTGAAGAGATAAAATCTACTACAATCGCACCTGCGCAAATTTACAAGAGCGCAGAGAAGAAAAGTGAAGCTGAAACAAATTTACCTGTTACAACAACAATAAATATTGGTAGTTTTTTGTTTTTATTTGTTTTATTTTAACTCTGGTTTTATGTATTTTAAATGTTCGTATTTATGTGTTGTGTATGTTGTTGTTTTGAACATTTTTGAATGTTTTGTTTTGAATGTTTTGTTTTGAATGTTTTGATATGTTTTGTTTTGTTTTGATTTTTGAATGTTTTGAACATGTTCTGGTTTTGTTTATTTTTGATGTTTGTTGGTTTGATGTTGTTTTTGTTGTTTTAATCTTGTTCTGTTTTTAGTTATGTTTTGTTTGCGTTTTATTAATTGTGTTGTTCTAATCTTGTTTTGTTGGAATGTTTTGTTTGTTGTTTTCTTTGTTGTTTTGTTCGTTTTAAATTCTGGTATAATTCTGAAATTTTTAGAAGAATCTCCAACAACCCCTACAATTGTTAAACAAGAAGAAACAAAAGAAGAAACTTTAGAAAAACCAACATATCCAACAGAAGAAGAAAAAGAAGGGGTAACAATAGAAGGATCTTTAATATTTGACAAGAAAACAACAATACCAGAAGAAATAGCTTTTAACGAAGATGAAGCTTCCATAACTGAAACAATAACAGAAGAGAAGAAAACAACAGCAGCAACAACATTAGAGGCAACAACAACAATCCAAACAACAATCCAAACAACACCAGAAACATTGTTGCAAACAAATTCTGAAAATGTTTTAAGTAAACAACAAGAAGTGGAAGAAGAAGAAATAAAAGAACAACAAAAACAAACAACATTAAATGTTGTTGGGAATAGGGAAGTTCCTGGCCCTGGGTGGCAGCGAACTGATTTTGAGGAAGGGCAGCTTTGGGTGCAATGCAAACCTCCTTCAATTAGGGTAAAAAATATTTTAATGAGATGAAAATTAATTTTTGGAGGCTTAAAAAATTTTTCGAAATTTTTCGTAATTTTTCAAAAAAAATTTTCAAAAATTTCAAAAAAATTTTCAAAAAATTTCCAAAAATTTTTTGAAAATTTCCAAAAATTTTTTGAAAATTTCAAAAAAAATTTTTTTCTAAAAGTTTTTTCAAAAAAAATTTTTTGAAATTTTTCAAAAAAAATTTCAAAAAATTTTCAAAAAATTTTTTTTTCAAAGGCCCTCCTCTGGCCCTGGCCAACTAACAGAACCTTTGAAAACGGAGTTTTGTTTGCCAAAGACTTTCATGAGGAGTCTGATTGTTATGCGGAATTAGACAAGGATAGTGGTGGGGGAGAGGCTCGCTTGGATATAGGCCCAGGAAAATGTGGATTGGCTGGGGCTAAAGCTGTGAGTTTTATTTTAAATTAATTTTAAAAAATGAAGGGGAAAAAGGGAAAAATAAAAGAAATAACCTTTACTTCCACTAATTTAAATAAAAAAAAAGTCCAATTTTTTACAACTTTTTTCCTTACTTTTAATTTTGTTGATGGATTTTATGAAGCAAAAAAATGAAGCAAAAAAGAATTCTTATAATTTATGGAAGCATTGTTTTTGCAATGTTTTTAATTTTTAATATTTGTGTTTTTATTAAATAATATAGTATGTTGTTTTGAAATTCTGGTTTTTATTTTTATGTTTTGTTGTTCTGGTTTAATAATTATTGTAATTCTGGTTTTTATAAGATGTTTTGTTTGTTTGTTTTAATGTTTGATTTTTATTCTGATTTTCTGAAAGCTTGTTTTCTCTAACAAAGTTTCCGGAAAAAATAAATTCTGGTTTTTTTCGAAATTCTGATTCAAGCATGTTTTAATATTTTCTTAATGTTGTTTTGAAATTCTGGTTTTTATTTTTTTATGTTTTGTTGTTCTGATTTAATAATTTGTTTTGAAATTCTGGTTTTTTATAAGATGTTTTGTTTGTGTTTTAATGTTTGGTTGATATTCTGATTTTTAAATTCTGGTCTTCTGGAAGTTTGTTTCTGGAAGTTTGTTTCTTTAACAAAGTTTGCGGAAAACTTCTCCGGAAAAATAAATTCTGGTTTTTTTGAAATTCTGATTCTAGCTTGTTTTAGTGTTTTCCTAATGTTCGTTTTAAATTCTGGTTTTTTAATAAAGTTGGGAAAACACAAAAACATCATTAAAACATATTTATTAAATTATTTCAGAATTCTTCACAAACACCCCAAAACCTTTCTTTAGTGCTTATGTTTGCCCCACGACGTTCACTAGTGATTGCAGGCCCCGAGGCAAGGAAATAATTATAAAAAATATTTTTATTATAAAATTTTTATTATTTAATAGGGAGGAAATGGGATAAATAAAAAATTTATTAAAAAATATAATTTTTTTTTAAATTTTATTAGTCACGCAATTTGACTTGTTTTCTTGACTATTTCCCCCTATTTTCTAGTCAATTAAAAAAATTATTAAAAAATTCCAAAAAATTTTTTAAGTTCTCATTTTTGGTTCAATGTTATACCCCAGTATTGCCCACACAAAAGCAACAATTAACAGCAGACTTGGCCATTCAAAAACCTCTAGCCAGTCCAGTAATGACCAAAACTATCGAATTGAGTCAAACCCCTCCTCGTTGTGAATACTCTTTGAGGAGAAACACGCCAGATGGCCCTCTTCTTCAACGCGCAACTCTAGGCCAGACAATATATCATCGGTGGGAGTGTGAGGGAGGGCAAGACGTTGCTGAACAATTTGGGATACTTTTGGTTGGAAAAAATTTTAATTAAAAAAAAAATTAAATTATTTTTCAGAGTGATTGTGTGGTTGCTAATTTAACACAAGAAAAAACAAATAATAATAATAGCTCTCCTGGCAAAACTTCAATGGTTGAATTAATTGATAGTGAAGGGTAAATAAATTAATTAATTAAAAATAAATCTTTCCGGAAGCGTTGTTAGGGAAAATGAATGAAAATACACTTTCCGGAAAATGAGGAGAGATGAGTAAAAATACGAAGAAAATACAAGAGTTTTCCGGAAAATACAAATAATATAAAATTCCGGAAAATAAATTAATATAAAATAAATCTTTCCGGAAAAAATAAATCTTTCCGGAAAAAATAAATCTTTCCGGAAAACACATGCAAGAGCACGAGGTTTTCCGGAAAACACGTTTTTAAAAATGGAAAATACATTTTCTCTCATTTTCCGGAAAGTTCGTTTTCTCTAACAAAGTATTCCGGAAAATTTATTTCTGGTATTAATACTATTCCTGAAATTATTAAAATAAATTCCGGAAAAAATAAATTCTGGTTCGTTTGAAATTCTGGTTTCCGAAAAGTGTATTCATTTGGTTTTCTCTAACGATGTTTCCGGAACATTTCCGGAAAACTTTCTCTAACAAGGTATTAATACGATTCCGGAAACTATTAAAATTAATTCTTGAAAAAATAAATGATCATCCTTCCGGAAAACACTTTTTCGAACTAGAGAAAATACATTTCTTGTTATTTTCCGGAAGGTTTATTAATTCGTGTGTTTTCTCGAATAAATTAAAAAATCCAAAAATTAAACTAAAAAAATTAAATTTTAAAAGTTGTTCAACAGATCCTTTGATTGTAGATGACCCTGAATATGAAAAAGAAAATTTAGTTGCTTATGCAAGAGCGAGAGTTTTCTCGCTTCGACCGGAATCACATTTTCTGAGGTTTTCGTGTAAATTAAGTCTTTGCCTACGTCAAAATGATGGATGTTTGGGGTTAACTGTGAGTTTAAATAAAATCTTATTTTTCCGGAAAATACAAAAATAAATAAGTGTTCCGGAAAATAAATTAACGTAAAAAGAAAAATACATTTTAATACATGGGCTTTCCGGAAAATACAAAATAAATATGAATTTGCCGGAAAGTGTATTTCCGGAAAATATTAAAAATACATTTATAAATTTTCCGGAAAATACGTTTTTATAAATTAAAAAATACATCCCTTAATATTTTCCGGAAAATACAAAAAAATAAATAACTGTTCCGGAAAAAATACAAAGATTTCCGGAAAATACAAAAAAATAAATAACTGTTCCGGAAAAAATACAAAGATTTCCGGAAAATACAAAAAAATAAATAACTGTTCCGGAAAAAATACAAAGATTTCCGGAAAATACAAAAAAATAAATAACTGTTCCGGAAAAAATACAAATATTTTCCGGAAAATACAAAAAAATAAATAACTGTTCCGGAAAAAATACAAAGATTTCCGGAAAATACAAAAAAATAAATAACTGTTCCGGAAAAAATACAAAGATTTCCGGAAAATACAAAAAAATAAATAACTGTTCCGGAAAAAATACAAAGATTTCCGGAAAATACAAAAAAATAAATAACTGTTCCGGAAAAAATACAAAGATTTCCGGAAAATACAAAAAAATAAATAACTGTTCCGGAAAAAATACAAAGATTTCCGGAAAATACAAAAAAATAAATAACTGTTCCGGAAAAAATACAAAGATTTCCGGAAAATACAAAAAAATAAATAACTGTTCCGGAAAAAATACAAAGATTTCCGGAAAATACAAAAAAATAAATAACTGTTCCGGAAAAAATACAAAGATTTCCGGAAAATACAAAAAAATAAATAACTGTTCCGGAAAAAATACAAAGATTTCCGGAAAATACAAAAAAATAAATAACTGTTCCGGAAAAAATACAAAGATTTCCGGAAAATACAAAATATATAAATTCCGGATAATGTGTTTCCGGAAATACTAAAAATATATAAATATTCCGGAAAATACGTTCTCATAAATTTAAATTACATCCCTTAATATTTTCCGGAAAGTATTTCCGGAAGAATATACGTACCAAAAATAATTTGTTTCTCTAACTAGAAAATATATGTATTTTCTAGTACTAATACTATTCCGGAAATTATTAAAATAAATTCCGGAAATACTTATAAAAACACAAAAAAATACATTTATGCAAGAGACATTTAAATAACCAAAACAATTAATTTGTAGCCACCTTCTTGTCCCCCAACAAATGCCAGTCGCATACCTTCCCACCATCACCCTTCAGAAAAAGCACCTGCAGCTTTAAGTCAACATTTGCTCTCTCCCCAACTTACAGTCAATTCTGGCAGTTCAACAGCCACAACTTCATCTACTCCTCCTCGTCTGCCTTTCCATGGTTCTGCTGCTTCTTTTGGAGGAACTGGTAAATCATCACTTGTTGATTCTGCTTGGACTATTGGACTTGTTTTGGGTGTGTCTGTATTGCTTGGTCTATTTTTTGGATTGGCTACATTTCTGATTCAGTCTCATCATAGGAGAAACCGGCAAAAAAGACTTGTTCAATGGGTAGGATAATTTTTGTATTTTTTGTAAAACACAAAAAAACAGAAAAAACAAAAACAGAAACACAAAATAAAAAACCCAGAAAATACAAAAATACAAAAAACAAAAATACAAAAAAATACAAAAACACATTTTAACTAAATCAGGTACTTGCTCGTCCCCCCTCTTCCTCTTCTGGATCAGCTACAAGCAGCCAAGAAGTGGGATATATTGGAAGAAGGGGAATTAGTATAGAAGCAATCCAACTACATTCTGATGATTATTCACCTACAGAAGCTGCAACAAATACAAATAATAAATTGTGTTCTCCTTCAAGTTCAGAGTCTGGGCGTAGTAATAAAAGTAATAGGGAGAATAATACAAATTAATTGAAAAAAACACACATTTTTAAAAGCGGTGAATTCTCTCTCTATTTTCTTTTATCTTTTCTTTTCTCTAACAAAGTATCCGGAAAGTTTATTTTCTGTTATTTATTTTAAAATACATTTTGTAAGAATACTTCCGGAAAATACTTATATTAATATAAATTACGGAAAATATAAAATATATTTTGTAAATACATTTATAGTTTCCGGAAAGTATTTCTCCATTTCCGGAAAAATATTTTTAAAAGATTCCGGAAAATACATTTTATTATTCCTGAAAATAGAATGTATTTTTCCTGTTCCGGAAAGATTGAAAATAGATTCCGGAAAATACACACCTTTATTTCCTGTTCCGGAAAATAATTAAAATAAATTTCCGGAAAATACACACCTTTATTTCCTGTTCCGGAAAATAATTAAAATAAATTTCCGGAAAATACATACCCTTATTTTCTGTTCCGGAAAATAATTAAAATAAATTTCCGGAAAATACATACCCTTATTTTCTGTTCCGGAAAATAATTAAAATAGATTCCGGAAAATACACACCTTTATTTCCTGTTCCGGAAAATAATTAAAATAAATTTCCGGAAAATACACACCTTTATTTCCTGTTCCGGAAAATAATTAAAATAAATTTCCGGAAAATACACACCTTTATTTCCTGTTCCGGAAAATAATTAAAATAAATTTCCGGAAAATACACACCTTTATTTCCTGTTCCGGAAAATAATTAAAATAAATTTCCGGAAAATACACACCTTTATTTCCTGTTCCGGAAAATAATTAAAATAAATTTCCGGAAAATACACACCTTTATTTCCTGTTCCGGAAAATAATTAAAATAAATTTCCGGAAAATACACACCTTTATTTCCTGTTCCGGAAAATAATTAAAATAAATTTCCGGAAAATACACACCTTTATTTCCTGTTCCGGAAAATAATTAAAATAAATTTCCGGAAAATACACACCTTTATTTCCTGTTCCGGAAAATAATTAAAATAAATTTCCGGAAAATACACACCTTTATTTCCTGTTCCGGAAAATAATTAAAAATAGATTCCGGAAAATACACATCCTTATTTCTTGTTCCGGAAAATAATTAAATTAAATTTCCGGAAAATACATACCTTTATTTCTTGTTCCGGAAAATACTTAAAAATAGATTCCGGAAAATACACATCCTTATTTCTTGTTCCGGAAAATAATTAAATTAAATTTCCGGAAAATACATACCTTTATTTCCTGTTCCGGAAAATAATTAAAATAAATTTCCGGAAAATACACACCTTTATTTCCTGTTCCGGAAAATAATTAAAATAAATTTCCGGAAAATACACACCTTTATTTCCTGTTCCGGAAAATAATTAAAATAAATTTCCGGAAAATACACACCTTTATTTCCTGTTCCGGAAAATAATTAAAATAAATTTCCGGAAAATACACACCTTTATTTCCTGTTCCGGAAAATAATTAAAATAAATTTCCGGAAAATACACACCTTTATTTCCTGTTCCGGAAAATAATTAAAATAAATTTCCGGAAAATACACACCTTTATTTCCTGTTCCGGAAAATAATTAAAATAAAATTCCGGAAAATACACATCCTTATTTCTTGTTCCGGAAAATAATTAAATTAAATTTCCGGAAAATACATACCTTTATTTCCTGTTCCGGAAAATAATAAAAACAAATTTCCGGAAAATACATATGTAGGTATTTTCTATTTTTCTATAAAGAAAGGAAAATACATTTCCGGAAAGTAAGTAGTAGTATTATCCAAATAAATATACTTCCGGAAATTTTATTTCATTTCCGGAAAATAAATATACCTTTTGGAGTCTTGAACCACAAAGCAATTTTAACCCCCAAATTTTAAATTTTCGTATAAAAATTTTAATTCAGGAATTTTCCTAAAAAAACACATTCTTTCATAAATATTATTCATTCTCTTTTATTTTTTTATTTTCTTGAAGCCATATATTTTGTGGAATGATTCACTCACATTTTTCAAAATATTCTTGCCATTTAAAATAAACAAACAAAAAATACAACAATATTAAAATAAAAATATTTTTTAAAAGTTTTTGTATTTCCTCTTGAACTTGTGCCTTTGTTATTTTTTAATTGTGCTCTTGTTTCTTATTCTTTTTGCAATTTATTTAATAAATTTTAAAGAAAAAAATTTTTTATTAAAATTTGCTTTAAAAAAATTTTTTAATTTAAAAATGAGTTCAACAAAAACTAAGCGTGAAGGGAAGGATTCACATAATGAACAAGAAATGAATGAGATTCAGGAAGTCTTTCAGTAAGTTAAATAACATATATGAAAATAAATACAAAAAACACGGGAAATTTAATTTTCCGGAAAATACAAGTTTCGTTTTTATAGGGAAAAATACATGTGGAAAGTATGTGAATATTAACCCAATAAACATTTCCGGAAAGTTATTTTAAAAACACTTCCGGAAATAAATAAAATGAAAAACATGAGAAAATACATTTCCGGAAAATACAAAAATATCTTTCCGGAAAATACAAATATTATATTTCCCTAGAGAAATACATTCCGGAAAAAAAAAGAAATACATTTACGGAAAACTATGTGAATATTATCCCAATAAACATTTCCGGAAAATTATTCCGGAAATTTATCTTTCTGTAAACAAAAATACATCTCCGTATGTTTCCTAAATAATTTAAAACCACTAGTGTCTTCATACTATAATTTAATTAACCCTTTTAGATTTTATGACACTAAAGGCGACGGAAGAGTTAAGGTAGATCAACTAGGCCATTGTTTGCGATCTTTGGGTCTCTGCCCTACTGAAGCACAAATAGCTAAATTGACTGAAAATAATGCTTCTGAACGTATTTCTGTTGAACAGGCAAAGAAAATAATTAAAAAATAAAATTTGGAAAAATTTTAAGTTTCTTCCAATGTTACATTCTATTCGTAAAGAGGGTGCTGCTGATAGAGATGAGACTGAATTATCCGCTTTTCTAGAGAATATGGACAGAGATAGGTAAATTGACCGGAAAATACTTGTGCTTTCAGGAAATGTGTTTTCCGGAAATGTATTTTCTGGAAATGTATTTTCCGGAAATGTGTTTTCCGGAAATGTGTTTTCCGGAAATGTGCTTTCCGGAAATGTGTTTTCCGGAAATGTATTTCTTTTCATAAAATATTTCCGGAAAATACAAATAAAATTATAGACTTCCGGAAATTAAATAGACAATTCCGGAAATAATTATGCTTTCAAGAAAAATATTTCCGGAAACTTTTTCCGGAAAAATAAAATACAGAAAAAATAAAATCATTTCCGGAAAAATAAAATAATTTCATAAAATGTTTCCGGAAAATACAAATAAATTATAGACTTCCGGAAATTAAATAGACGATTCCGGAAAGTTAGGTATATAAAATACACAAAATACATATTTAATAAATCTATCTCTTTCCGGAAAATACATAAATACAAATTAATTCTTTTCTCTAGTTCTGGTTCAGTATTTCAATCAGACCTACGTCGAATGCTTACAGTTTTTGGGGAGCCTCTAAGTGAGGGTGAGTATGAACAAATAACTGCTGGACGTGAAAAAGAAGAGGGTAAAATTAATATTTCTGAATTGGTTCAAACTTTGTTAAGTTTTAAGTAGAGAAAAGATGTTGGCAAAATTCTGAAAATCCCTCTATTAAAACACTTTTTTAGTCATAACTTTCTTGATACTTAACCGATCCTAATAATTTTTATATCATTCGAAAGCTCTGAATGTGCTTATTCTTTTTCTCAAAAGGATCGATCTGATCCGTTCACTCCCCAATAAAGTTATAGACGGATATAGAACAAATATCATGATTTCCCTCACTTAACAGATCATAACTTTGTAGGGAATGAGTGGACCTGATCTATCTCTTTAAGAAAAAGAATAAGCACATTCAGAGCTTTCGAATGATATCAAAATTATTTTAATCGGTTAAAATTCAAAAGAGTTATAGCCCTAAAAGAATTATGAAACTCGCAAAACTCTAATGTCCTGTTTCTATTATTAAAAAAATTATTTTCTCCCCCATTATTTTATCTTTTTTTTTTAATTAAAGCTTTATTTATAAAATATTTAAATGTCAAAATCATTCTTCCACTTTTTTTTCAATAATTATTGTGATGCCTTAAAAAATAATTTTTTGTCTCTCCCCTCAAAGTTCCCTCATTATTTATTTTATTATTTTTTTTCTTTTTTTAATGAAATTTTTAAAAAATTGTAAAATAAAGAGCACAGAGAACGTTAAATAAAATAATTTTTTTTATATTTTTTAAAATATTTTTTTTTGTTTTTTTTTTGTGTTTTAATCTGTTCTGGGCAATCCTTTTTTAATATACACGAGTCTCGTGATAATTAAATTTAGTATTTTTATGGAAAATTGGATTCTTTGCTTCTTTTTTAGTAACACTTAACAGTCTAGGCATATTTAATTTTCCTGAGAATTCCTAACCGGAAAATACATTTGCAGAAAATAAATTATAAATAAATACCTAAATACAATTCCGGAAAATACATGTGTGTTTTCATGGAATGTATTTCCAAAAACTTTTTCCGGAATTAAAATATTTCCGGAAAATACAAAATAAAATATAACCTTCCGGAAAATACATTTCCGGAAAATACATATGCTTTTATAGAATGTATTTCCGAAAACTTTCCGGAATTAAAACATTTCCGGAAAATACAAATTAAATATATAACCTTCCGGAAAATACAACTCGGGAAAACACAAATTGAATATATAACCGGAAAATACAACTTGGAAAATACATTTCCGGAAAATACAAAATAAAATATAACCTTCCGGAAAATACTTGTATATTTTCAGGAAATATATTTCCGGAAATTTCCTGAAAAATAATAAAGTAATTTCACAGAAACAATTCCGGAAAACACAAATAAAATACAAAACGCAAATTAAATGGACAATTCCGGAAAGTTGATATAAAATACATTTTTGTATTTTATCGAAAATACTGGAGAATATTCCCCTCAGAATCTCTCTTCCTATTTTCGATTAAAATTATCACAGACTCCAATGTCAATAAATTTTTATTAATTTTGCAAATCTTTCAAAATTTATTTAAAAAATTATTTACACAAAAATTGAACGTAATTAATTAAAATTATAAAAAATAGATTGATTAATTAATGGCAGAGATATCGGCTTTTTTGGGTGGAGAATAAGTATATATGTAAAATGATTACATTAAGAAAACTGGTTTATATACAAATTAAATATATTATAAATCAAAATTTGATCGATAGAGGAAGAGTTTATTGAAAGAATTTATTTTTGTGTGGTTTAATCTCTGACTTATTCCAACCCCCTTAGAATTATCCTAACACCCAAAAATGACCAAAATTGAGAAAAGGGGACAGTTGAGTCTGGACACTTTATTTTTTAAAAGGATCATATGAGTCTGTAGGGATAGTCGGGATCCTCGGTTTCGGCTCCAGATTCGGGAAATTTCTCGGGTTTTTTGAGCTCTCGGTCTAGACTCTCGGGTTTTTTAACTCCCGACCATCACTACGAGTCTGGCGCAAACTCCAAAATTGAGAAAAAGGGGACACTTGAGTCTGGACATTAAATAATTTTTAAAAAGGACCGTTTGAGTCTGATACGAGTCTAATATAAGTCGGGACAAGTCAGAGGGTCGACACAAGTCAGATTTAAAAATTAAAACAAAATACAATCTGTAAAAGGAAAGAAATTTTTAAATAGAAAAAATAAGAAAATAAAAGAAAGCTGCGAGTTATAGAAAGAAGGAATGTTGAAAAATTAACTACAAAAGAAATTAATTGTTTTGGTTAATTAATTATTATTTAACTCCAACACTTAAAAATACGAGAGCGAGAGAAAAAAAGAAAAATGCACACAACGGCAGTTATACACTTTTGTATTTTCTTTCCGGAAAAAAATCCGGAAAGTTTAATTAAGCCTATTTAATTTTTGAGATGTGCGCAAACTGGACAAAAATAAAACGCCAAAAAATAAAAAGGGCTATTAGAGTCTGAAAATTAAAAAAATTTTAATAAAATTTTCAACTCTAATAGAAAGGACATTTTAATTATTTTAGAAATTTTTTTAATATAATTTTCAACTCTAATAGAAAGGACATTTTAAATTTTTGATAAAACGCCAAAAAAATAAAAAGGGCTATTAGAGTCTGAAAAAAAATTTTTTAAGAAAATTTTCAACTCTAATAGAAAGGACATTTTAATTTTTTTTATTTTGCACACCTCAACAGGCTTAAAATTTTTTTTGAAAATTTTCAAGTCAAACTGCCATTCCTCTTTCGACGTTCACCCCACGGCTGTGCCCAACCATTGTCTTTAACCATATGGATTAGCTCTATGATATACTTGCCTTCTTTGTATTTTTGGCTGCTTTCGTAAGCGTGCTCCTTAAAATATTTAGGGAAATTTTTGGAATTTTTGTTGAAAATATTTTTTGGGGTGACACTTGAGTCTGGACATTTCAAGGACTTAAAATGGGCTAAAAAATTTTTTAAACTCACATATTTCCATCCGAGTGTAGTCTTACAACATTCACACTAAAAATAAAAAAATTTAATTTAAAAAATCAAAAAATATTCTCTACCTGAATATCAGCAACAGCATGCAGTCCAGTCAGCAAAACTCTTTCCTCTGCTGTACCACAAACAATATTAACTACTGAATTAAAAAGATATGCTTTGCCTTGACTGCCTTGGAATGATTTGGAGATTAACTAGAAAATTGGGGAGAAATTAAGAGAAAAAAAAAGAAAATTAAAATTCCCCCTCTAACAGAAGTGCTGAACCTAGTGAACGCCAACTTCTCTAACTTAGGGCTGGATAAACTTATTAAAATTCTTTTGGTACCGTTCGATAGAGAAGAAAATTTACTACAAAATGGACAAGGAAAAATAATTTTTGGAGGTTGAGTAAGAGAGTTATGGTCCAAAAACAGACAAAAACGTCAAAAAGTTGGAGTTTTTCGACCACAACTTTTCTGGAAAGTTAAGTAAGATAAAGGTTGTGGTATTATTTTGTAGGAAATTTTCTCCTCTATCGAATGACACCAAAACTTTCTTTAACGGTTCATCCATTCAAAAGATATAGAGCCAGACCTAACCGATCTTTAACAATTGCGAGACACTACAGGAAAAGGAGAGGTTTTCTCTGACTGTTAGAGAAAACCGTTTTTACTGAAAAACTAGGCTTTCCTACAGACAAAAACATTTTAAAAAAATTTTAAAGCCAACCTCGTTGTGATCTGCCAGGTTTGCTCGACAATGGGCACAACTATAAGTACGAGCGCCTGAGGGCAAATAAGCCTAAAATTGAATTTAATAATTAAATTTAAAGTAAAAACAAACCTGAAAGGTTTTTGGCTTTTTCTGAGCTTGGGATTGGGCAGAGGGAGGCATTTGAGCGACCGCTGCCATTTTGAATAAAATAAAAATATAATTTAATTTTAATTAATTAATACATGTGTTTCTGTAAAAATAAAGTTAATTATTAATTTAATTATAATAAGTGTGGTTGTGGTGTAGTCGGTAACGAGTCGACTTTGGCTTGGAGGGGTGGTGGGTTCGAGTCCCCTTGAAAGAAAATAGTTTTTGCTTTGACGGGGACCCCACAGAAAAATTTTTTTAAATTTTTATAAAAATTTTTGACACCCCTAGGATTTTTTAAGACTCTAATGGGTATAGTAATCGGTAAGGATGTCAAATTTAAATTATGGAGGGTGGAAGGGGTACTTTATGGATATATCACCCCCCCCCCCTATTTTGAGTCTCAGAGTCTCCCTTAATGTGTAATAATGTTCAGCATTTTTCCTAACCCAATTTCTCTCCATTTCCTTGTGGTAAATTTGAATGAGAGGCATTAATAAAGAGAAGATTAATTTTTCAATCATTCAAACCTACCACAGGCAAATGGAGAGAAATTGGGGTAGGAAAAAAGGCTGACCATTATTACATATTAAGGAAGACTCTGAGACTCAAAATAGGGGGGGGGGGGTGATATATCCATAAAGTACCGTGGAAGGTTCGAATCCTGATGTGGGAAAATAATTTTTTTTGACAGGGACCCCTCGGAAAATTTTCAAAAAATTTTCAAAAAATTTTTAAAAATTTCTAGAAAAATTTTAGAACCCCCAGAAAATTTTCTTCACCCCCAAAAAATTTTCTAAGACTCTAACGGCCCTATAAAGAATATTTTGCCCTTAAGAAGACTGACTATAACCCAATTTTCTTCTCAACATTAAATAGACTAGCATTGACAGTTTTGATTTCATCGTGTCCAAAGAAGGCTAAAAAACTATAAAAAAGGTAAAAAAAATAAATTGATAACACTCTTGGGAAGTAAAAAAGCATTTTTTCAAAAAATATTTGCTTAGCACGGGGTTCTTTTTTTCATTGACTAAAATATATTTATATTTTCCCTCCTCTTTCTATCAGCTGTTGAGGGAAGGAAAAAGATGAAAAAAGGCGGCAAACACACCTTTTAGTGTATTTGTTAGAAAGGAAGGACAACTCCCCCATATTTTGCCAAAAACACATTTCGCCAATAAGGCAAAAATTCCTCATTTTGTCATCAAGTATGTTGACAAAATGAGGGTGTTTAGCCTTATTGGCGAAATGTGTTTTTGGCAAAATATGGTCAAGGAAAAAAGAGGGGGAAGTAAAGAAGTAAACCAACCGAACAAAAAATTTTTTAGACAGAGAATATTTTTTCTCTCTTTTTATTTTTCTCTATTTCTACTTGTTTATTTGCTTGACTGCTCAATTTTTAGCAATGGGGATATTTGAGTTTCAGCTTTATTTAGAGGATTGCCCCAACCCTCTGCTCAATTTTCATTGTAGTAAAGGCTATCCCAAAAGAACAGTCATAGAATAAGAGTTAATCCAGAGAATCGAAATAGATGGCTAATAGAGTCTGAGAGAAAAATATATTACCCAGGAAGGAGCATTAGAGTCATTAAGAAACCGTGGAAATTGTCTCCCTCACACGTCACTTTTCTTTAAGATAAGATCAAAATTTGGCCAGAGGGGCGACTAATAGAGAGATTCCACTGTAGTACATTTCAAATAGAGGTATGAAAAGGACCATTAGAGTCCCAGATAGTTACTCAATTTCAGTAATAATTTTGGAGACTCTAATGGCTTACGAACAAAATAGGACTCTAGTGGCTTGCAGATACGATTCGTCTAATGGCCTACAAATAAAATCCTAAGGGGACCATTAGAGTACAAGGAAGCTGAACAATTTCAAGGGGATTTTCAAGACCAACCCAAAAATAAGACCCTAATGGCTTACAGACGATATTGTACTCTAATGGCTTCACCCTAAAAAGGACCATTAGAGTCCCAAAAAGTTACTCGATTTTATGACTTTCCCAGTCTCTAATGGCTTCGAAACCAAAAATAGGACTCCAATAGCCTACAAATAGAATCCTAAAAGGTCCGTTAGAGTCTGGAAAGTTGAACAATATCTGCGCCGAGTTCCCAGACTCTACTGGCACCCAAACCAAAAATAGGGACAATTTTCCCATTAAAAATAGAGCAAAAATGAATGTTGTAAAAACAAGTTTAGAGGGGGAAAATAGGAAAAAAAATTAAAAATAAACCAGGAAAAAATAAAGAAAAATCAGAATCCTTCCCCTATTTTCCCCTTAAAAAAAGAAAAAAATAAGTAAATAAAAATAAAACAAGTCTCGTGTGCACAAAATAAAATCATTAATTTTTTCTGTTTTTTTTCTAGTCCTCATGTGTTGTCACAACCAGTCACATTTTTTTATTTACAAGAAGGGGGAGTAACAAACACTTTTTTTAATAAACCTCATTTTTGGTCCTCTATTTGTTTATTATTATTTTTTTTGAAGAAAGTGCAAATGGAAACATTTTTTTGTTTAATATTTTTGAATTTTTTGAGGTATTTTTGACAAAAAAATGCAGGAAAAATGAGGGAAAATGAGGTTTTTGTGGGTTGGGGACATTAGAGTCTTAGGACCATTTTTATTTGAATCCTTGGGCTAGAGGGATTCAATTAGAGGTTTTAGGGGATTTAATTAAAGGATTCAATCCTCTTCCAATAGAAGAGGGATTCAAAAGAGACTTAGTTGTCCCTTTTTATGACACTTGAGTATAGAGGGTAAACGATGTTTTTAGGGCAACGGACACTAGGTAAAGACAGTTGGTTTTGCTAGTGGAGTCTTGATTTAAATTGTCATTATAAAATACCCCTATACCAACTACGGAACGGGCCAGTTGAGCGTGGCCGGTTGAGCGTCAGCCAACTTTGATCGGCTATAACTTTTTTCCGCTTGATTCAATACTAATGAATCATATATCATTCGAAAGCCCTCGTTAAGCGCTATATTTGATTCAATTGGATGGATCATAATTGATCGCTATTTAAAAAGTTACAAGTCGATAAGTGTGAAAAACAACGATTTTCTGCATTTATCGACTTATAACCTTTTAACCGGGATCAGACTTGATCAATCCAGTTGGGATAAAGATTGGACTCATCGAGGGCTTTCGAATGATATATGATTCATTCGTATTGGATCAAGGCTAAAAAAGTTATAGCCGTTCAAATGTCGGCTGACGCTCAACCGGCCACGCTCAACTGACCCCAACCGTACCAACTACAGCTTGATTTAAGAACTGCTGGAAGAGGGGAACTGCCTAAATTATGGCCTATATTTTATTTATACCTCAATATAGGGTCGATTTTCTTCCAGTTTTAAGAGGGATCTTATAGTAAGGTTTGACTGTGATTTGAAGAGGTTTTTTAATAAAAATAGGGGAAAATAAGGAAAAAATCAGTAGGGGACACTTGAGTCTGGAAAAAAAATTTAATTTTTAATCCTTGTCATCCCTACAAGGAAATAAAATTTTTTCAAAATGATGAAGAAAGTTTTTAAAAAATGCTTCTTAAAAAAGACAAATGGATTGGATTAAATAGAGGAAGAAGAAAAAAAAATTTTTTTGAAAGAGCATAGACATTTAAAAGGGACACGCCCAAGTAGGCGCGCGGCCATAACGGCGCAAAGCCATAACTTGCTGGAAAATTTCTGGCCCTTAACAATTTTGGTACCATTCTCTTTAGCTCGATGAGAGGAATCGTTTAATACTAAATTTGGTAAGATTAAGAAATCTTGAAGCAAGATATTGCTTTGCGCCGTTATGGTCGCGCGCCTACTTGGGCTGTACCCTTTAAAAAAGGGGGGCGTCTTTCCAGCTTTTTAAAAAAAAATAAAAATCCAAGGGAGAAAAAAAAGGAATTTTTATTTTTTAATTGATGACAATCGCCCTCATTTTTATAGAGGAAAAAAAATTTTTTTTGCTTCTTTTGTGTTTTAGCGCGAATGCTTTTTCTGCTGTACATAAATGGAAACTCTCCACCAATTCTATTTTTATTCACCCCTAGGGAGATTTAATAATGCAAATGTGCAGTTGGGGGTGTGCGCAAATTTTTTGGCGTTTTGGATTTTTTTGGAAATTTTTAAAAAATTTTTTGTTTTAAGGGTAGACCTCGTTTTTCATTAGAGTATGTCCCAAAAGGTACATTAGAGTCTTATTCAAAATTAGTCTATTTCTTCGTTATGTTCTCAGCCTCTAGTGTCCTACTTAACAGGAAAGGTGTAAGAGACGTTTTTAATTTTTTTAAAAATTTTTCTGAAATTTTTTAAAAATTTTTTTTGAAGATTTTTGGGCTTGTTAGACCCTTCCCCGAGCTTCAAAAAAATTCCCGCTCAAAATCATTCCCCTTTGCGTTTTTGGCGTTTTCAAAAAATTTGCGCACACTTGCAAAAATAAGAAAAATTCTCCATTTAAATTCCCTTTTTAATTATTCTCCATTTACGACCTAGAAAATGCAACGACCAAAAATTAGATCATAAACGGAGGATAAAATTGGAAAGAAGAATTTAGCGTTCTAAAAATGGATTAAATGGGATTGAATTATTTATAGGGGAGAGAGAGAGGAAAGCTTGGAAGAATAAAAATAAATAAAATTAAAAATAAATAAAATTAAAAATTAAAAATTAATTTAATTTACCTAATTGTAGATGGAAAATGGAATTTTTAGAAATTTTTAAAAATTAAAAAAAAATTTTTTATGGAATTTTTTAAAATTTCAGGGCGACATTTGCGCACATCGACATTTGCGCACAACCACTAAAAATATCTACTTTTCGTCCCATAACTTTTTTGTTTTTCAAAATTTCTGAATGATTCTTTTTAACTATCGAAAGCTCTGAATGTGTAGAATCTTTTTCCCAGCGGGACTGTGTCACTAGGTTGATTTCTTAAAAAGTTGGAGCCGTATAAGCACGGACAATCGTGTTTTTAGACGTTTATTAAGCTCTAACTTTTGATAGAATGGTCTGATCGGGAAGGTCTTGTTAATTAAAATAATCGGCTCTTTCAGAGCTTTCGATTGATATAAGATTTATTCTTAAAGATTAAAAATTGGAAAAGTTATGGACTAAAAATTAGACAAAAACAAAGAGACTGAAATTTCCTCTTTTAATTTTTAGATATTTTGAAAAATTTTATAAGAAGTTGACATTTTGAAATATTAGCTCGCTAATTGCTTCGAAACATCAATAAATGTTAGAGAAACAGAAAATTGGTCAAATACGATTTTTTGGGGGGTTTCTAAGATTTTTTTTGGAAAATTTTTGTAGGTTTGGCCTGGCTTTGTTGTGTTTTTATTAATTCTTTTACCAACTTTTCAGATAAATTCAATGCTTCCAAAAAGTAAATATTCCAAATTTTTCAATTTAATTCTTGAAGATAAACTAATTTTAGCTACTTGCAAATCTTGTGAATACAAAAAGACTTTGAAAAATGCGCAGGTTTTTAATTTTTATTTGGGGAGAGAGGAGGTTTTAGCGCTAGATTTTTAATGCTGTGTAGTAGAGGTGAATCGGAATTCTGATTTCCGACGTTTTTTTCCTTTCGACTTTCGATTTTCGAAAACTTAGGCTGATTTCCGACAGTTCCGACTTTTGAGCCATTTCCGAGTTCCGACAGTTCCGACTTTTGAGCCATTTCCGAGTTCCGACAGTTCCAACTTTTGAGCCATTTCCGAGTTCCGACAGTTCCAACTTTTGAGCCATTTCCGAGTTCCGACAGTTCCGATTTCCGACACCTTTGTCATTTCCGATTCACCTCTGCTGGTGGTTCAGAAAAACACGGATCTACATCAGGTTTGGGGTGCAACCACTATCATTCTCAATGGGGAGTGTGGCTATCACCCAGAGCCATTGTTCCCGAGGTCAGGCCTGGGGTAGCTCCCCAAAAATGGGAAAAAGTAAAAAATTGGGGAGGAGATTGGACAAAAAAGTATAATTTTTTTGGCCTACATCCTTTTCAAGAAGCCGGATATCTTCCATTTTCACCGTCGCGGCCGAAATTTTTTTTGAATTTTGGAGGCTGTAGGCGAAAAAATTCACTTTTTTGGTTATGCCTCTCCCAATTTCTTCCCCCTTTTCCCCCATATCGGTGGAAGGGGGAGGGGAGCTTTTCTAACTACACTTTTGCTTGGGTTGTTAGCCAAGCCTAATCCTTTCCATAATTTTTAGGCATCAAAAAGCAGTCTTCGCCACCATTTAACTAAACACCCCGAAGAAATGGCACAATTACTGGAATTTGAGGAAACTGAAAACAAAAATAAAATTTTGCGGACACCTAGAAGAGGCGTTAGAAAATCGATAAAAATAAATTCTAGTGGAGGGAGTACTTTAAAAACGGGAAGAAAAAAATTGAAAGATGAGGATGAAGAGGAAGATGAGGATGAACCACAAACTAGTGAAAATTGTGAGACAGGTTTTTTGGGGTTTTTGAGGGTAGGAAAAGCTTTATAGGGTGGGAAATGGAGTGTGGAATGAGTGGAAACCTGTATGGAATTGGGGTCCCAGACCGGGAAGCAATGGCGTATCCAGGAGAGCTAGCGGGCTAGGAGGGGGGGGGCACATCGGCCAAATTTAAATGACCGTCATTTAAAAAATTTTTTAGCCCCCCCCCCCCTTGTCCCGAAATCGACCCCTTGGCTACGCCCTTATTGAAAAGCACGACTGACTGTGTTTATCTCCAGCCTTAAGATGGGGGCTATTTGTAGGTGGATTTTGGGAGAATTAATTAGTGAATTTTAGGAGCCCCCATTTTCTCTTATTTCGGAAAAAAGGGGCTTTTTCCACATTTATTGGAGTGAATTCATCTTTCTTTTTTTCCTCGGCCTTGCTTTTTAAAATTAAAATTGGGCTTAACATCCATAGAAAATTCAAAATTTTTAATAAAAAATTTTTTTCTCAGCTCAATGGGACAGAACAGGAAGTATGACTAAACGAATAGACGAAGCTATAATTCAAATGATTTGCACAGATATTTTCCCATTGTCAATTACAGACGGTCCTGGCTTTAGAAACTTTCTTAAAGTTGTTGCTCCTAAATATGTTCCAAAGTATAATTTTTTATTTTTATGGGATTTTTTGGGTATTTTTTGGGGGTGGAAGAGATGAGGCTTGAAGATTTTTTTGGGGTTTAAGAAAATTTTTTTTTAATTTTTTAAATTCATTTCCCTCCAATTTTCACCCTCAATCATCGACTACCTTCCCTTTAATTAACCCCAACTTTTTTCAAAAAAATCCAATTTTGTTAATTTTGGTACCATTCGATTGGGCTCACCGAGACGCGTCGAATGATATATTACACTTTACTATTTCGTCCAAAATTTGGGGATTGGCGTTTTGGCGCACAGCCCTGAAGAAGGTGTGACGAAGGGGGTTATAATTAGAATTATTTTTTAAATTAAAAAAAAATTATTTTTTTTAAAGAAGTCGTTGGACACTTTCAAGATCACATTTACCCTCTTTATATGAAAAAATTCGTTCACGTATAATTAATCAATTAGAAGATGCCAAATACATTTCAATTACAACGGACACTTGGGATGGAGATTGTAATACAAATACAACAAAAAAGGAAACAAGCGATCATACTTTACTTTCTGTTACGGGTATTTGTTTTTATTAAAATCAGAATTTTATAAAAACATGGAAACTTTATGCTAATCAGAATTTAAATAAAACATGAAAATAACCAGAAAAACAGTCAAAAACTAATCAGAATTTTATTTAAACATTTGTGTTTATTTGAATGTTCAGATTAAATTCTGATTTCTTTTCTCTTCCTTTTCTGCCCCTTTGGTATTTTAATAGAATCAGAATTTTATTAAAACATCTTGACGAACATTAGTGTTTGACAAACGCAAAACATTACTAAAAACCAGAATTTAATAAAAACATGAAATAAAAAATGAATTTCGTTTAATCACAAAAAATCAGAAATTAATTTAAACATGAAGAAAAACATCCCTTTTTGTTTTAATAAAACACAATCAGAATTTTCATTAAACAAGAAAAAAACCAGAATTTTATTTAAACATGAAAAATTAGTAATAATCAGAATTTAAATAAAACATCGCTTTATTAAAATCAGAATTTAATTAAAACACTCGTGTTTTTCTGTTGTGTTTTATTAAAATCAGAATTTTATTAAAACACTCGTGTTTTTCTATTGTGTTTTATTAAAATCAGAATTTTATTAAAACACTCGTGTTTTTCTGATGTTTTTATAAAAATCAGAATTTTATTAAAACACTCGTGTTTTTCTGTTGTGTTTTATTAAAATCAGAATTTTATTAAAACACTCGTGTTTTTCTGATGTTTTTATAAAAATCAGAATTTTATTAAAACACTCGTGTTTTTCTGATGTTTTTATAAAAATCAGAATTTAACTAAAACACTCGTGTTTATCTGCTGTGTTTTTATTAAAACCAGAATTTAATTAGAACTTAATTAAAACATAATTTTTTAAATTTATCAGCCCATTTCATCAATAAACAAATGGAACCTTCATTTTGCGTTTTGGCTGCACGTGGAATAAAGCCTGATATGAATATTCATCTTTTACTTCAACAAATATTTAATGAATTTAAAATTGAAGATAAAATACATGTAATATTAAGAGGGGGAGCTATGGATACGGGTTCCCATAGTATTTGGTGCCAAGCACATATTCTAACTTTGGTAAACAAATTACTCTTTTTTATTAAAAATCAGAATAGTATGTTTGTTTGAATTAAAATTCTGATTTTGTTTATTAAACAGAAAGTGATGTGTTTATTCTCCATGTTTAGATTAAATTCTGATTTTTCTGTTTTCGTGTTTTTATTAAATTCTGATTTTGCTTTATTAAAACATGAAGGAATCAAAATGTTTAGATTAAATTCTGATTTGTTTATAAAAATCAGAATTTTATATAAACAAGGAGAAAAATCAGAATTGAATTTGAACATGGAAATGTTTAAATATTTATTCTTTACATGTTTAGACTAATTTCTGATTTTTTTATTTAAATAAAAAAATCAGAATTTCATATAAACAAGGAGAAAAATCAGAATTTAATTTAAACATGAAAAATCATAATTTAAAAAAGGCGTGTTTTTATCGCATGTTTAGATTAGTTTCTGATTTTCTGTTTAATTAAAATTCTGATTTTTATAAACAATTATATATTAAATTAATTTTAAGGCTATATCTGATGGTTTTAAGCAAATTGATGGCTTTACCGAAATTATTAACAGAGTAAAAGATTTTATTCGACGAATCAAAAAACAACAAAATTTATTACGTGATTTTCATCAATTTAATTCTTTTCTTGAAATTTCTGAACGTGATTTGTTTAAGGTAAATTCATCTAAAATTTAGTTGTTTAAATTAAATTCTGCTTTTTATATGTTCAAATTTAATTCTGATTATCTCACATGTCTAAACAAAATTCTGATTCTCTTCATGTTTAACTTAAATTCTGATTTTCATGTTTTAATAAAATTCTGATTCCACTGCATGTTCGAATTAAATTATGTTTCTATGTTTATCTAAATTCTGATTTTTTTTCCTTTGTTTATATCAAATTTGTGTTCATGTTGGAATTAAATTCTGATTTACGTTTAAATTAAATTCTCTCACATGTTCAAATAAAATTCTGATTTTAATTTCTGAATTAAATTCTGATTTTTTATGTTTGAAGAAAATTCTGTTTTTCCTGTTTTGTTTATATTAAATTCTGTTTTTTCCAAACATTTCTTTATTTAAGGGAAACGAAGTTCGCTGGAACAGTTGTTATGAAATGTTAAATTTGCTTGTTTCAAACATGAATTCTGTAAATATATTAGCTATGGATAATGATAAACTTCCATTTTTTTCACTTGCGGATTGGTAGGGGAAAAATTTAAATTTTTTTAAAATTTTATTTTTTCTGTTTTAAAGGACAATGATGGAACATTTAACAAAAATTTTAAGACCAATTTACAATGCAATTTCATTTTTACAAAAAAGAACGAGTTCTGTTGGGTATATTATCCCTTTAATGAAAGCAATAGAATTGGATTTAATTATACAACCTGTTGCTTTAGAATTCCCTAGAGTTAGGGCTGCGATTGTTAATGGAATTAAGTGTAGAATGGCAGGTGAGTTGAAAAAAATATTCTGGTTTTTATAAAAACATTAAAAATCAGAATTTTATATGAACATTTAAATAATTCTGATTTTAAAAAAATTCTGATTTTTAAGAAATTCTGGTTTTTGGAAAATTATAATTTTAAAAAATTCTGATTTTTATAAAAGAATTCTGATTTTTAAAAAAAATTCTGATTTTTGGAAAATTCTGATTTTTCTAAAAAAAATTCTGATTTTTATAAAAGAATTCTGATTTTTAAAAAAATTCTGATTTTTGGAAAATTCTGATTTTTCTAAAAAAAATTCTGATTTAAGAAATTCTGATTTTTAAAAAAAATTCTGATTTTTATTTTCGTGAAAAAATTTTTATTTAATTTTTAAAGGTTGGGAAGATGAAGCAGTTTTAATCATTCCAACACTGTTAGATCCGTATTTCAAAATGACTTTATTCCCAGTTGAAAAACATATGCAATATAAAGACTATCTTATTTATGAAATTCGAAAACAATGTCCTCCGATTATTGTGGTAATTTAATTAATTAATGTTCATTTAAAATTCTGATTCTCTCTCATGTTTAAATAAAATTCTGATTCTTTCTCATGTTTAAATTAAATTCTGGTCTTTCTTGTTTTTATAAAATTCTGGTTTTTTTTCTTTGTTTAATTAAAATTCTGATTTCTTTAAAACTAAAAGTGATGTTTTTCCCTCATGTTTAAATTAAATTCTGATTTTTTAAAACAAAAACTAATGTTTTTCCTCGTGTTTAGATTAAATTCTGATTTTTTAACGAGATTCTGTTCGTGTTTTTATAAAATTCTGGTCTTTTTCTTCCTTGTTTTTTCTCTTGTTCATTTAAAATTCTGGTTATATTTAAATTTATTTATTTTTAAAGCATCAAAACGAATTTGGGTCTATATCAACAACAACTACAAACGAATCCAATCCATTTAAACGAGTTAAAAATTATTTATCTGGAAATACAAGTCTTGAAAATGATTCAATTTCGCCTCCAGTGCTAGATGAACGATTTCAAATTTATTCGGTAATTTTTTAAATAAAAAAAATTCTGATTTTTTGAAAAAATTCTGATTTTTCGAAAAAAATTCTGAAGAATATTCTGATTTTTTTTGAAAAAATTCTGAAAAAATTCTGATTTTTTTTTTAAAAATTATGATTTTTCAGAAATAAATTCTGAAAAATATTCTGATTTTTTTGAAAAATATTTTGAAAAATATTCTGATTTTTCAGAAGAAATTCCGAATAAAAATTCTGATTTTTCAGGAAGTAGAAGATTATTTAACTTCCCCAACAGAAACAGAATTTCACGATGTTTCATCCTATTGGAAAAACAAAACAACCCAAACAAAATTTCCCCATTTAACAGAACTTTTTTTAAAATTTTGTTGTGCCCCAGCAACCTCCTCAGAATCGGAACGTTTATTTTCTACAGTAAATTCAACTTTGGGTGCTATGAGAAAGGGGTTGAGTGGAGAACATTTGGAACAATTAGTGTTTTGTAGACACAATATTTTAATTAATGGATTTTTTTGAATAAACTTTGTTTTGCGCACATGGCTTTATTTAATTCTGATTTTATATATGAATCCAAGTTTATTTATTTCTGGTCGTTTTATTGTAGTTTCCGGATTTTTCAGAATTTTTTGTATTTTTAAAACTTTGTATTTTCTGTCAGAATTCTGATTTGTATGTAATTTCCGGAAAATAAACTTTTTCCGGAAACATCTTTATTAAAAGTATTTTCCGGAAAATAAACTTTCCGGAAAAAGTAAACTTTCCGGAAAAAGTTTATTTTCCGGAAAATACAAAATAATTCTGAATTTGTTTTTCTTTCTCTAACTTCTCTAACAATAATTAAACTACTATGTATTAATGTATTTATTTAAAATTAAAATATTATTTTATAAATTAAAAAATATATAAAATCTATTTTCAGGGCAATTTAGTTTTGTAAAATTAAAAAATAATTATAAAATTATCGTTGTATAAGAAATAAAAGAGATCGAATTCTTAAGAAGCTGCAGCACCGAGAGAGATTTTTCAAGGGGAAAAATTTTTTTTTGAATTTTTAAAAAATTTATTTTTCTTTCCCACTTATTTTGCTTCTTCTCTTTCTTAATTCATCCCCTCCATCAACCGATTTTATCAATTCCCAGCGTAACCTAGGTTTTTTAATGTTAAGGTTGTTGGTGGTTGGAGGCAGTTTTCTTCCTCTTATTTTGTGCTGATTATCAATTTCTGGAAATTTTTTTGAAATTTTTTTTACTTAATTCCCCTCCCTCCCCCTCCAAGTTACCATAAAAATTCCTCCAGTTAATCAACCAATCAGCACGGCTACGAGCATGTCCGAGCGTGTCCAAGGGATTCCCTTGTCGCCCTCCTCCGTCGATCAAAACAAAGTGTGTTGAGCTTTGACCCCTTCTGGTGCTTTTACCTCGTCGGGGCTTTCCAGTCCTGCTTAAGGCTACAAACCAGGGACGTTTAGGATATCCGTGAGCACAAGAAGAATATAAATTGTAGACTTGAGGATCTTTAAAGTTGATAGAGATTAATAATTGGGGAAGAAAAGAGTTTTTTAGAAGCATGCTTCAGTATTCTAGAAACATGTTTCATAATTTTAAAAGCTTGTTTCAATGTTTTGGAAACATGCTTCAATATTTTAAAAGCATGCTTCAATATCTTAGAAGCTTGTTTCAGTGTATTAGAAGCATGCTTCACTATTTCAGAAACATGTTTCATTATTTTAGAAGCATGTTTCAGTGTATTAGAAGCATGCTTCAGTATTCTGAAAGCATGCTTCAATGTCTTAGATGCATGTTTTAACATTCTAGAAGCATGCTTCATTTTTTCAGAAACATGTTTCATAATTTTGGAAATTTGTTTCAGTGTATTCTAGAAACATGCCTCAATAACCTAGAAGCATGTTTCAATATCTTAGAAGCATGTTTTAACATTGTAGAATCATGCTTTACCATTTAGAAACATGTTTCAGTATTGTTAAGCATGCTTCATTAACTCAGAAGCAAGTTTCAGTATTCTACAATATTTTAGAAACATGTTTCAATATTTTGGAAGCATGCTTCAGTATTCTAAAAACATGCTTCATTATTCTGAAGGTATGTTTCACCATCATAGAAGCATGCTTCAATAATCTTGAAACATGCTTCCCAATTTTAGAAGTATGCTTCAATATCTTAAAAACATGCTTCAATATTTTAGAAAAATTTTTGATTTCCTTAAGGTTGATCTTTTGGACTTTCTATGACCAAAAGTAATTATAGCCCTTTAAGAACAAGCTTTCCAAAAACTTACGCATTTCCTCAAGAAAAGCACATTCAGCAGAGAAATTATTTTCTGAAGCAGCATACAATTGTCCCTTTGAATCCCTAAAATGTTTTTTTTTATTTTTTTATTTTGAAAAAAATTGACATGCAAAGGAAATGTTGATTGTCCACTGCCCGAATACTGACAAGGCCAAAGGCGACGGCCAAAAATTCGAAAATTGCTGGAAAAAATAAAAGTTTTTTTGAAAGTTTTTTTGAAACGTGAGAATGTTTTATTAAACGAGAAAAGAAAAAGAAGAGGTGATTTGTGGGCAAAAACCGTGAGAATGTGGAAAATAATAAATGACTTTGCTTGCCAAAAAGAGTAAAGATTAAAAAATAAAAACTATTTAAAATAAAATTTTAAGTTTTGATTTTGTTAAGGGTGATCTTTTGGAAATTTCTAAATATTTATAAACTTTCCGGAAACTAAAACTTTTCAACTTTCCGGAAAAGTTGATTAAGGGTGATCTTTTGGAAATTTATAAAACTTTCCGGGAAAGTGTTTTCTTCATTATGTATTTTTTTTCCGGAAGCATTAAATAAACTTTCCGGAAAGTTTTGAGAATGTTGGAGAAACACATAAAATACATTAACAACTTTCCGGAAAATACAATAATACATTCCGGAAAGTTTATTTAATTATACATTTAATATTCCCAACTTTAAATTCTTTCCGGAAAGTTTTGAAAATATTATAGAAATGTATTACAACTTTCCGGAAAATATAAAAAATACTATACTATATGTATTTTTCCAGAAATATTATTGTATATTTTCCGGAAAAATATTATTATATTATATGTATATATTTTCCGGAAAGTTGTTATATTAGAGTCTAGACGTTCTACTTAACTTAAGCCTCCCCACAGGGGGTAATTTTTAAATTATAACTAAAATTCCTTTAAATTCCTTTAAAAATGTGTTCCGCCCTGTCTCTCCTTTTCTCTTTTATTTTTTCAAATTATTTAATTCACGTGAAAATTTTAGTTTGATTTGTGAAATATGTGACTAAGAAAAATGAAAATAATAATATTTTAAATAAATATTAAATTTTAATATATGACAGTTGTTTATAATTTATTTGTTGCGTTTTTAAAAAATATATTTTTATTAAAAATATTTTTTGGAAAAATTTTTTTGGTAAAAATATTGTGATAAATTGGTCATACATATTATTAATAAAATATTTAAAAAAAAATTGAGAAAAAAATTTTTTTAAATAAAAAAATATTTACTCAATTGATTTTGATTTTTAGTGCCCCGTACATTAACTCTCCCTTCATTGTCACCGGTCATTTCTAGCCAGGTACCAGACTGGCAGTAGAGGGCCCCACGTCTATGCGCGTGTTCGTACCTTAACTTGTTTTGTTAAACAAAAATAAGCCTTACATAAAACATTCTCTCTAATAGGTGTGTACTATTTCTTCCGGAAAGTTGGAATTATATTAAATATTTTCCGGAAAGTTTATATAACTAGTTGTGATAAGTGTCTAGTAGAATATCAATGTTGTGGGTGTGCGCCAAAAAACGTTTAAATAAACTTTATTAAACTTTCCGGAAAGTTTTAAAATAAACCTTATATAAAAATATAACACATACTTTTTCCGGAATTTTATTTTCCGGAAAATCATTTGAAACTTGTTTGCAAAACAAGTTTCATTCAACTTTAAATACCTTCCGGAAAGTTGTAAAATATTTTAGAAAGACATAAATACAACTTTCCGGAAGGTTTATTTAACTAGAAAAATACAATAAAACTTTCCGGAAAATGTTTTTAAGTTAATAGAAAATTAAAAACACTTTCCGGAAAATAGAAACTTTTCCGGAAAAATAAAACTTTTCCGGAAAATGCAACTTTTCCGGAAAATTAAAACTTTTTCCGGAAGGCTAGAGAAAGGTATACACTAAACTAGTACACTATTTCTCCCTTTTCTAACTATTACCTAACTTGACGAATAGGCAAGCCACTGATTGGGGGCGCTCCAACATTGTGTTCCTCCCCCAACCCCAATCGTTCCAACAACGACAGACTTGTAGAAAATGAAGTTTTATCATTTTGGGTGTTCCTTCTTTGTTTAAGTTGTGCTCTTGTTGCACTTTAAAAATTTTTTCAAGGAAATTTAGGGGAAAAAATTTTTTGGTTTACCATTTAGCAATTAATCGAGAATCTGAAGCATTAAATGGAGGGAGCAATAAGGAGGAAGAAGTTGGGGAAGGATTATTATTAGAAGAGTGTCTATTTAAATTATTAGTTAAGTTGTCTGAAGAAGACGAAGATAGAGCTGGCAAGGAGAAAAGTGCCAAGACGGCTGTTGATGGGTTGGGTAGACGCATCTTAAAAGGAATTTTAAAGAAAATTTTTCCGGAAAAAAATTAGTTTCCGGAAAATTTTCAAAAAAATTTTCGGAAGATTTAAAAAAAATTTTTCCGGAAAATTTTTCAAAAAAAATTTTTCCGGAAAAAATTTTTTGAAAAATTTTTTCCGGAAAAATTTTTCAAAAAAATTTTTTTGAAGAAAAATCAAAATGAATTTTTGAAACTTGATTTTTCCGGTTTATATAATCACCAATAATTTAATTTTTTTGACTAAACATATTTTAGAGTGGGTGGTACTAAAAGAGTGTAAATTCTATTGAGAGAAAAAGTTTTGTTTGAATTCTTTCGGGAAAGAAAAAAAAAAGTCGTAAAATGCGCCAATCTGGAGGAGAAGAAGAAATGTTTTATTTTCAATTAGCTCTTTAAACTTTTTAAAAGAACAAAAAATAAAAAAAAAATTTTGGAAAATTGACTGAAAAATGTGAACTTGGAAAATGAGGGGATAAAAAGGCGGGGGTGTGCGCCAAAAGAAAAGCTATAATAAACTTTATTAAACTTTCCGGAATGTTTTACAATAGATTTATAGTTTCCGGAAAATATAATTATATTATTAACTTGATTATTTACAATCCGGAAAAATTAAATATAATTTTCCGGAAAAGTTGTAAAACAAGTTTAATTAAGTTAAAAACTCCGGAAAGTTGGAGATATTGAGAAAAATCATTCCAACCTTCCGGAAAGTTTTACAATAGATTTATGCTTTCCGGAAAATATAATTAAATTATTAACTTATTTACAATCCGGAAAATTAAGTTTACTTTACCGGAAAGGTTGTAAAACAAGTTTAATTAAATTAATAGCTCCGGAAAGTTGGTAATAATTGGAAAAAATTATTCCAACTTTCCGGAAAGTTTATTTTACATGTTTTACTGAAAATATATTCCACAGCCTTCCGGAAAGTTGAATAAATATATTTTAATTGTATTTTACTTGTATTTTCCGGAAAAACACAAAATAAACAAACTTGGTGTTTACTTGGGTAAAATAAAGGAGAAGAATAGGGATAGTTTTTGGCTGACTAAAAAAGAGGGATAAATGGGGGAAGAATGCCAAAAATCCGGATGCGACTAAAATGAACGAAAAAAAGATATTTTAGTAATTAAATTTGTAATGGGCAATTTTTGGGATTAAAAAAAATTTTTTTAGTTTTTTTTTATTTAATTAAAGCAATTTTCTTAAAATTAAAGATAAAAATAAATAATTTCAAAAAAAAAATTAAAAAAAAATTTTTTAATAAAAATAGAATGGAATTAATTTTTGAATAAATAAGGAGGAGGGTAATTTTTAAAGCTACATATTTGGCAAATTGCTAAGAAAAAAATTAAAGAAAATTTTTTTTTGAAATAAATTTTGCGCACATCCTATGCCCACACCCTTGCTAAGGAAAATAATAAAAAAAAATTTTTCCGATGAAAAAATTTTTTCTTAAGAATTTGAGGGGTATGGGCAAGGATGTGCGCAAAAAAATTTTCTTTTAAATTAAAAAAATTTTTAGTCACAGACTCTCTTCTATGTAAGAGAAAGCCCCTCTAAAATTAATAAGATTAGTAGAAAAAAATAAAAAAAAATTTTTTTCCGAAGAAAAAAATTTTTTTTAAATTTGGGGGGTATAGGCGAGGATGTGCGCAAAAAATTATTTTAAGATTTTTTTAGAAATTTCTCTTATTTTTTTTTAAATTTTAAATAATCACAGACTCTAGAGAAAACCCTCTCCAAAAATTAATAAAATAAATAAAATAAAATTATATCAAAAATTATGACGATAATAAAAATAAAATAATAATAATTGGTAAAACACACAAGAAGAAAAGACAACAATTTTATAAAAGTATAACGAGAAAAGTCGAGAGAGTAAATGTACTAATAATATTTTTAGTTGGTTGTAAATTGTGTGCGCGCAGTCTTTTTAGTTTTTAAACGAATATTTGGGTGATTGGAAATAATGATAGCAATATTTAAAAGAAAGGAGGGAGGGTTGTCGGGAATGAAAAAGAAAAGAAAAATGGGGAGAAGATTGAAGAATCGGGGAAAAAGCAGACGAGAATTGAGTAGAGGAGAATTGGGGGGGGGGGGGGGGGGAAGGAATTGGGGGAGAAGTTGAGGGAAGGGGAGGGAAGGGTATGGGGGAAGGAAGGAGGAGAATCTGGGGGGAGAAGTAGAGGGAAGGGATGGGTATGGGAGAACTTGGAGGGAGAAGGATTGAAGTTTGGAGGAAGGGAGTGAAGAGAATATTCGGGGGAAGAAGTTTGAGGGGAGGGAGAGGTGAAGCAACCAACAAGGAAGGGAAGGGAAGAGTATGGGAATGGGAGAATTGTGGGGAGGGAGGATTGAAGCTAGGGAGGACTTGGGGAGGATTTAAAGTTGAGGAGAGGGAGGGAAGAAGTTTGGGGGAAGGAGGTGAAGGAGAGTATTTGGGGGAAGTTTGGGGGAAGAAATGAGAGGGAAGGGAGAGGTGAAGCAACCAAGCAACTGTTTTATTTTTTTTTGGACAAGTTGAAGGTGTGGGGATGTTGTTGAAAGGTGAGGGAGGATGGAGGGGGGTAAACTAGCATTGTGAAATTAATATTTTACTTTAAGGGAGCGGGCAGAACACAAAAAAAGATTGGGAATATTTCTTGGGAAAAAAAGGTATTAAATAGGTGAGTGATTAAATAAACTTGAAAATAAATTTTTTATTTAAAATTGTAAATTTAAAGTTTTTAAGATTACAAGTTTCAAGTTTGCTGGTTAAAAACAAGTTTACAAACTTTAATTTGCGTAGTCCGGAAAGTTGTCAAGTTTTAATCATTCCAGCATTTTTGTTAATATATGCTGGGCAACTTTTCCATAAAAATAAACTTTTTCCGGAAAGTTTGTATATTTCAAGTTTGTAAAAATATTAATTTTAATTAAGTTTAAGATTACAAATTTTAAGTTTGCAACTGAATTATAAATAAACTTAATTTGAAGTTTCCGGAAAGTTGGAAAGTTTTCCTTCC